GTCATTTAGTTGTTTCAGTTGTTATTTATTTCAGTCTTATTTTTGCTCTATTTGTTATGTAAAGACTAAGGGCAGATCTGTCCTTTCCATGTAATGAGCATAACCTATAAATATTAATTAAAGTGGCGGCGGCAKAACATTAAGCTTTTGCTCCTCCTTTTTCAACTCTTGTGTTCTACTGCTTCTCCTCCTTCTTCCTCCTCTTTTCTCTTACCTGTCTTCTTATTTTCGAACCTGAAATCCCTTAGGGTTCAAGACTGATAACAGTCCTGAACTTCTACTATGTTCAACCCAGAAAACAGTTTCTTTCTTCTCTGCGTTATTTTTTGGTTTATCTATGTAAATTTTCATCTGGAATTGACAGTTTTGGTCAGTTTTGTAGCTTTTGCAGATATTCTAGTAAACTAATACACAAAATTGTATTTGCTGTAGGGGTTATGGCTTTATGTGCTACCAGTTCATATTATGACACAGCAGAGATTGCAACTCGAATTCTGCCAAATGTTGTTGTACTTACTATTGATCCTGATGGGTAAACAGTCACTTTTCCCATGTGATTTCCCCTTCACCTTTATTAGCTTATATTTGGTTACCTGTCTTGACATACATGATGCATGATGAGGTCTTTTTTGTTTTTTGTTTTTTTTTTTCATTCTAAGTTGTGTTTGGATTTTTAGTATGGTTTATCATATTAGAAAACAAAAAACACTGATGTAGTCATATTGCCTGGAAAAGATAATTGCTAGAATCAGATAATGGGTTACCACTTATTATTTGGTAAACCATTTCATTTGATAGTGATACTATTTAGTCTGGCACTTGCATGTTTTATACAAAACATGGCTGGTCATGTCTAGAGTTTCAGAATGGTCAAACATTGTATCAGACCTTGTTTGGATCAGCTAAACCTCAGCTTGCATTGGGGCATGGCCTGTTGGTGTAGTTTAGTATTAGTTCTAGTGCTTTTAATCAATTGGAATGATAGTTAAATTACATTTAACTAGTTGTTCTTGGAAGAACCATTGTGGATCAGATCTGGAGTTCTGGACTGGGATTTTGGTCCCACTAGATTGTGTGCATTGCAATACTTTGCCAGATGTCTAGCATAATCATGTAATGGTATCTGGGTCTTTTTTCTCACTTTGTAAAGATTATGCAGTATTATCATTCTATTTTCCTTTTGTACTATTCTAGTCTTGTAAACAGTGAATCCCGTTCTTTCACTATCTTTTTAGCACAACACTTTATTTGCATTGCCGACCACATGTAGTTGGGACAAGGCTTAGATGGTGATGATGATGATGAGAGTTTATTTGCATATGTAAAAGAAAGGAATAATAGTACACTCTAATGCTTTGAGAATTGAGATCACTAAATGGTAAATTAAAATGTCATCTTAGATAACCTTGTCTAAAAATTATCTTGACTATAGATGATAAGATCTTGATTATTTTCTCCAGGCTTTCTACACTCCATGCAAAATTTTACTCATTGCTTTAGTTATTCTTCCAAATATTCTTCTTTCTTTGAATTATACAAGATAATTTTCTTGTTATTCTTTTGGGGTATTCCAGTGAAGTTCGATCTAAGGCCTTCCAAGCAGTTGATCAGTTTTTGCAGATAATGAAGCAACATAATGAGAAGGTTTGTGATTAAATTCTTTCTGCATTTGATTTTTTTTCATTTAAAAATATTACAATAACCACATTGGATTTAAAAGTTTTATTTCATTAGAAATGGTAATCAGGAAATGGGCATTGCAATAGCACAAACAATGGGAAGTAACTATTTTTTTCGTTTGATAATGAAATAGGAATATAAAGTTTTAGCTTTTAATTTCTCCTAGGTTTCTGGATTAATCAGCAATAAAATTTTTTTATTAAAAATGTAATAGAACTCCTACTACACAGAAATGTGGTTAGTAGGATACAGAAAAAGCAGATTGCTGACTATTACAGTTTCTTTTTAATCCATATATCCTTATCGTCTTCCCTAATATTCTTTTCTGTCGTTCTATCCTCTTTTTTCCTCCTTTCTCCTTGTTTGAGTGATGCAACATCAAAATGAAGAAAATATCTGCTCTGGATTATTGTCATTCCCTCTTTTGTAGGTTGCACTGAATAAAGATCTGGAAAAAGAAAAACTAGTAAAGTTGTTTAAAGGAAAAAAGACTTTGTGTTGTATTCTGGTGATTTTATGCATGGTTTGCAAGTTATAGTTGTGGAGAGGATGCTTCTGCAAAGCATCGTCAGCTCCTGAAGTAAATCTGTTGCATTTCCAGCTAATTTTCTCAGATTTTGCTTTTGTGGTCCTTTGTAGATGAATATGGATGATAGTAATGGAACTTCAAGCATTGGAATCCCATCAATAGCTGGAAATTCAAGTTTGCTTGGGTAAAGCCAATTCTGACTTCTCATCAGCAGAGTTTAACAACGTAATATTATTAAATTTTTTTGAGCTTACCTAGAGTATTGCCCTCCTCTCCCCCAAACCAAAGAAAATATAACACACATTTTCCTTACTTTTTCTCTGGTCCCCCTTAATTCACAATAGAGACTTTCAGGATTTAATGCATAGTTTCTACTCTGAGATCTAGGCTTATGATTGTGGAGTTGCCCTTCCAGAGTTGATTTCAACTTTTATTATTAGTCAATGGTTTAATTGGTCCTAATTCTAGAAAAAATATTGCACAAAGGCATCTATCTATGTTAAACAAAATGGTCCCGTTCAGATCTGCTGCCACAGAATAGGGAACTGTTTTGGAAGATAAAGGGGAGAGCATTTGGATGAGGAGGGGAGTTCAGTGGCCATAGTGTTGCTGATTGCAGTTGTTTCCAAAGGATAAAGAGGTGGTTTCTATTGTTACCCTTTTGAACTGTATGTGGATGATTTTATAAACACTACAAGTTCCCTAGTGTTGGCGATGGTTGCAGCAAAGGTTGGGATGGATAAGCATCCCAAGCAGGGGAGCAAACCCAAGTTTAAGGATCAATATCTCTCATTTAGATTGAACCCTAAAATTAGATCATGGACAAGTGGATTTGGGTTTAAACATAAAAGCACTTCTAGTACTAGGATTAACAAAGCAAGTTTGTTAATGCCATTTAGGTTTCAAAAATCCATTGTTTGGGGACTGCTAGATGTCTAGAACCAAATTGGCATCATGGTTCTATTGACAATATTGGAAAAATCTCCCTGAAAATTTCCATTTTTCTAGATTGCGATACAAAATTTTCCAAGAATCTTTTCTTCCTAATATGCCCGATATTTTGCCAAGACTTTGGTGATATTTCAGATTTCATTGATAGACTATATATTTAAGTTCAAATTTTAGAATGTTATTAGAAGCTTTCCAATTTCTCATTAAAATCATCATAGTTTTTTAAAAATATTTTCCTAAAAGAACAAATAGGGATTTGGTTATTGAATGATTGGCTTGCAATTTTTATTTTAATATGATTCAATTAATAATCTACTACAATTCAAAACAAAAAGATAAAAGGCACACAACTACAAAAGAGGATTCTCAATCTAATCAAGACAAATCATAGCAAAAATACAAATAAAGACTAAAAGGGAGACAAATAAAAATACCTATTTAAGTCTCTTAATCTTATTTGATTTATCTAGTTGTTTGCCATGCTTTTTTGAGCCTTAGATGTTCGATTATACTTTTTCTAATGATTCCTTGAAGGTTTATAAATAATTCCATGTTTTTAAAAAATTCCCCTGATTTTTTTTTAATTTCCAAATATCTTAGCAAAATTAGCTAAATATCCCTAGAATCTCTCCATCTCTGCATGGTGAAATGTCCATTGATGTCAAAATTTTGAACCATGGTTGGCATCAATCTTTTAAAAGGCTTTCCTTAGGTGCACCTATGTACACAAGTGAGTTGGGTGCACCTCAGCTGGCTTGAACCTATGTTTTGATGATGTGAAAATGTGGTACAGCAGAGCTATAATGAAGTTCGAACCAGAAAAGAGAGAAAGAAAGAAAGGAGAGAAGAGAGGAGAAAAGAGAAAAGGGAAAGGAAGAAATTTTCAATATGTTTTAGATATTAGACTTTATTAATCCTCTCTGAGCAGTTACCCCACCTTTATATTAATAATAAAATGATTCTGAATTACAGATATGCCCCTGTTTATGATAAATAGTGGACAGGAGTGTTCAAAACATAAAATAAAAAGACTTCTCTATCCTGCCACCCAATACACCCTAAAAGACTATTCTTTTAACACTCCCCCTCAAGCTGGTGTATATATAGACCCAGCTTGTTAATGATGAAATCAATACAAGGACGATTAAGGGCCTTAGTCCATAAATCAGCTAACTTGTCCCCTGTCTTCACAAATGGTGTGTCAATATCACCACTTTGAATCCTTTCTCTAACAAAGTGGCAGTCTACCTCAATATGTTTTGTTCTCTCATGAAAAACTGGATTTTAAGCCACACTAATTCTCATGTTGCTTGACTCATGGCTCTATACTCAGCTTCTGCACTTGATTTAGCTGCAACATTTTGTTTTTTGCTCTTCTAGGAAATAAGATTGCCACCTAAGAAATACAATACCCCATTGTTGACCTCCTATCCGTTGGTGATCCAGCCCAATCAGCATCTGTGAACCCAGGCATAGTCAAATGACCATAATCTCTACAGATGATTCCCATACCTGGTGATCCCTTAAGGTACTTCATGATTTTGTACATTTTGGTATCATATTCTGATATTTTTGCCTAGGTTCCTATTAGAAAAGTGTAGTGAACAAGAAGTAGCTTGATTTCCTTATAGTGCACCCTGAAATTAAGTAGTTTTGTTAAGTTAATTTTCCCCCCTTTAATTATTTATATGCTCAAAATGGACTTGGTAAAGTACTTTAATTAAAGGAACTCAGATATTAAGTATGTGGTAGTTTAGAGCAATCAGTTTCTGTTGTATTTATTTGTGGTTTCTTACTGTTCTCATTGTTAGGGGTGCTCATAATCCGGTTAACTGATTGATCAGTTCAGTTCTTTGGTTTTTTTATATTTATAATATACATTATAAATAAATATATATATATATATGTGTGTGTGTGTGTGTGATAAATACTTTAAATATATATTATACATAACATATAATATATACCAGTCAGTTTTGTTAACCGGATTTTTCGATTCAGTTTTTCGGTTTTTGATTAGCACTCCTACTCATTGTAATTTGTGTTTTCATTGTACTTTTCATCTCTAGTGGTGGACAAGGACATTTCTGAATCAACAGTGTGGATGGGATTGAGTTTTATGATATCACCTTTTATTTTGTAATCACTTTCCTGTTTATTTGGCTTTTTCCCTTGAATTAGCATAGAAGCTATTTTGTTTACCACTTAAGCTTTATCATTAACAAGTTGTCCTAAATTTGTAGAGTTCCAGCAGGTTCTTTGTGCTAAACATTATGCAGTACCCTTTGCTCTATTTGGCAAAGTTTGCTGCTTGCCTTTCAGTGGTTAATCCATATGTTGATTCTATTATTTGATTTGTATATTAAATATGATGCATTTGTATATATGAAGTAATTCTTACTCCGACAATTCAAATGTAGATGGGCTATGAACTCCTTGACACTCAAGGGTAAAGCTTCTGAACAAGCTCCCCTTGCCTTAGCAAATGCAAGCACCCCTCTTGCTTCTGCAACCTCCAGCACCAGCTCAGGTATGCACCTGAGTCACTTGTTTCTTCAAACTGTGCTTTATTTTTTATGTATTGTAAAATATGCTTGATTTCTTATTTAATTATTGTTTCTTGTAAGATACCTACATGTCATGTATTTCAAAAATCAATTCAACAGCAAAAGTGGAGGGTATAATACAGAGAACCCTGTGTGTTTTTGACTTCTGAGAATTTGAGTCCAGTTCCAATGAAGAATTTGGCATGTTAGGTTGGAATTACTGTAGTTAGCAAATGAGGAGTTGATGATCACATTTCAAAGAACCCTGTAGACCTTTCAATGAAATTGTAGAAAGGTTTGGTTGCCATTGCAAGAAAACCTCCTTTCTTGGCAAGTGGAAACTGTTAAGGTGGCGTTGATCTGTAAGATGTGTTGCTGCTGTATGTTATTTCCCATGATATTTTGTATTTGGTATGGGATCTTCTGGTGTTTGGATGTTATGTTATATTCCAACATTTTCCGGTTTAAGAGGTGCACTATTCTCTTAATGCAGTTTTGGTTATTTATATATTGTTTTTTTCTGTTTCCAAAGAAATTGTAGTCACATAAAAAATTGGATTATTTTCTTCTAAACTATCTATGTTGGACCAGACTGCTGGCTGGGTGGTGTTAGATGTGAGACCTATAATCATCATCATTGTCAAAGTGCTACCCAAAATATTTGTGGTCAGCTATACTAAGCTCATTACTGTATTCCACTTTACCCTAGATCATTCTTTGCTGGATGTGTTGGACAAATCATTTTTGACAGAAGCACATAAATTACTTTCATAGGTTATATGCATTCCAATGCTCCTATCATTGTGAATGCCAGATGCCAGATGGACTCTATACCTGAAGATTGAACTATTCCTTTTTCATGTTCACACAAGATCAGTGCCTTTTGTCTATTTCTACATTGTTGAGTTCATATAACTGCTCAATCTGACTTAGGTTTGTTCTGAGGATGACAGTGGCCAATACTGCAGATACAGTGGCCATCCCTGCAAGTTTGGTTAGTGATTTGGCTGATCAACCTGCACCTACATCCCCAACATCAACGGATAGTTGGGGAGAACTTGAAGATGTAATCCATGATGGTCACAATGGTAACAAAGATGGATGGGATGACATTGACCCATTTGAGGAACAGAAGCCACCTCCAGCCCTTGCATCAATCCAAGCTGCACAGAAGCAGCCAGTTTCACAACCAAAACCTCAAGGTAAAGTTATCCTTTAATTCCTGTTATAGGAGGATTTTTCATGAAACTCTTGGTTTGAGTTGCACATCTATGAATTGTACTTTCAGCTTTACCTTGAGTTTCTTCTTTTAGTTGTTTTGCCACATGTTTCAAATAATTTTTAAAATTATCGTTTGCCACTGTTCCTGACACATTCCAAAGAATTTTAAAAATCACTGCCTGATCTGGCACCCAGTCAGATTAATTCTAACTCCATTCTATGAGCTTGTAATCTATGATGAACAAAGCAGGACGCTCTTTATGTTTTTAGAAGATTTTCATGAGTCAATTTTAAAGTCACTAATTGACAAAATAGCCAGGATAATTTCACATTGTTGTTCTAGTGTGACAACAATGCATGTGTTGCTTAATATGCCTTTGTTTTGATATAGGTTGGGGCTAAACCTAATACTTGCAACTTTAAGTGAACCCATGCAGTTATGGATCTGAAGCTAATCAATGTTTGAGCAATATTAGCTGCTTTTGTGGAAGATGTTCCATGCTTTGTCTCAGTTTTGGCACCATTTTAGCTGCCGCCTGCTGCCATTTTACCTCCATCGAATTTCTGTCTTAAGTGGCATTATAAAGGAAGCTATTCAATAGTTATTTTGTCTTATCAGTAATTATCTTTATAAAGATACTCAATGGCTAAATTGTGCTTTACAGTTACTGTTCAGCAGTCAAAAAATATGGTAAAGGGGATCAAGGAGGAAGACAATCACCTATGGGGTTCTATTGCTGCACCTGCTCCGCAAACATCATCAAAACCTTTGAATTTGAAACAAGCAAAAACACATGATGATGGTGATCCTTGGGCAGCCATTGCTGCTCCTCCACCTACCACAAAGGCAAAACCTTTGTCTGCTGGCAGAGGCCGAGGAACTAAAGGTGCTGCTCCAAAATTGGGTGCACAAAGGATAAACCGAACATCTTCTAGTGTGCTATAAATTTCAAATGCGGGGCAAGGAAATGTTCAAGAGAAATGGTTTGATTTTTTTTTTCCATCGTGATTATTTCTTTTTTAATGTCAATGAAGATGATGGTTTTTTTTGGTAAAATATGGAGACCTGAAGTTGTGTAATATATTCTTTTAACATTTGTTTTGTAATAACATTTTTAGGCAATGTATCTAGGGATTCCATTGTGAAATCACTTAACTGAAAATGTATCAGGTTATGTATAGAATTATAGATTACAGTGAAAAATAATACTGGACATTGAGAAAGTGTAATTAGAAAGCCAATGAGTTAAGTTGCTTCTTCTGAATCTTCTCGCGTGTAGAATACAAGAAAAACGGGTTAATTACTTGATTATACCCTGTGGTTTTGCTAAACTATGTAAATATACCCCATGGTTTTTAAAACTACAAAAGTGTCTAGGGCTGCTTAATTATACCCTATGGTTTCAGATGGGAGCTCCCCACAAGGCTTACCCCACAACACATCCCCTTTGTGCATTGTGAGATGTTTCCATTGCTGTGGGACACGCCTAGGGCTGTAATCGGATCAGACTCGGATTCCGCATCTGATCAACTACTGTAACCTACATCCAAACCTGATCGGATTTAAAGACTCGAATTCGAATCTTATTAAATTTAAATCGGATTCAGATTTAATCCGACTCTACTATAAACTTTTAAAATATCATAAAAATTAAAGTTTTATTTATTTTTCAACTTTTATATATAATAAATTGATATAAATATAACATATTATATTTATTATATATAAACCATATAGAATATATTTTTATAATTTTATAATTTTAAATATAATTATATAAAATATATATTAAAATTAATAAATATTAGATCAGATGGGGTCAAATCCAATCCGATTATTAATTAGATGTAGATTATAACATTTGAATCTGATTCGATTACATAAATACATCATCTAAATTCGAGATAATTGAATCGTTCAAATCGGGTCTTTGATTTTCAAGTATCATTAGCAAACCTAGGCACACCCTAAGCCCTTATAAATTCCATTTAGGGATAAGGTTAACTGCATCATACATTTTGGCCCATTCGTTTATAAATTTCTCACTCATTGTTTTGATTCACAAGTGAATAGTATAATGACTTTTTACCCATCATGTTTTATAAAATTTTCCTCTAGAAGATAGGTAAGTTTGACTTTTACGCCAATGCGAGTGATGAAATTGTACGGCAATTCACATTTATATCATAACCATGGTTTTCAAAACCAGCGGACCCCTGACCAGTTCAGTCACCAGGTCGGATTTTAAAAACCATGCATCAAACGCGGCCTAAAGTTGGTCAATAAAAAAGACACCCATTTCCATCTCTTATTACAATCTCAATTTTGCCCTTTCATGATTGAAAATCCTACGTAGTTTATACTATGAAATCCAAACTCTTTCCACTGAACCCCGCAACCTGAATACATAACACCCTTCGTGGGCTTTTTCCCTCTCTACATTCGCGATTCAATGTTCTCGCACTCCACGACTCGACTTTAATGTTTTCTCCATATTTTGTCTCTTGTCTATGCAATTTGCGTTTTTAAAACAGATCACCATTGGGAGGCGAGGTTTCAGAATTGACGGCAGTAGGCAGGTTTTGGGGTATCTCCGTCAAGAATTCCAAACTGAATCACCGTCGGGTCTTCAATAGCCACTTAGCCAGGGGTCGGTATCTTATATTCTTATATATTTGCTAGGACCTTCAGTTCAGTGGCACAAGCCACAAACAACCACTTGTTCCCTGTCGTGTGCTCTTGAAGTGACAGGTAAACAAGATTTAACTAGAGTGGGTTAAAGGGCTTCCGAGTATCTATTCTCTGATTTCATCCATGAGCAATCACTGCGTGCAGGTGCAGAATGCGAATTGTCATGTTTATTGTAAAAAGGCCCAAAGCTACAACTGGAAACAATTGATCAAATCACCCCATGTAATTTCTATGCAGATGCTGTAGTGAATTGACACGGTGAGATCATATAACCTGTTACCTGCCCCTGTTCTCTCATCCAAGAATCTGCCATTCTACATCTTCATTCCAACATCTATGAAAGCAACAACTTTGAAACAATCAATGTTCAACTTCTGTTCTTATACCTCATCTATACATGAAGAGAATTTTCTTGTTAATAAAGATGTTTTTCTTTGTTCTTGTAGTAAAATGTTTTGAGCCTTGGTATCAGATATTTATGGTATAAATTGTCTTTTAGAGAGCTTTTTTCTGTCTTTTTAAGAAGATGGTCATAATCACTTGCCCATGCTGATTTTTTGACCCAGTTAATCCCACGGGGTCAGGTAATAAGCATTGTGTGATATGAGTTGAGTTGCGTCAATGGATCTTGGAATTCGGGTGATTTGCTCCTGAATCCCGATAATTAAAATAGGATCCCTAAATCATCTATCTGTATAGATTACTTTTTATCACGGCATAGCATTCCCCTTCCACTAAACCCTCAACCCTATGGTGTTTCTGAATAAGTTTTGCCCTTCAGTCAAAAGGAAAAGAAAACGGAGACTTCCAGAGAAGACATTTGGGGGGAAAATAGCAAAATATCACCAGGAAAACCGAAAAGCCTGTATAAAAGAGGGAAAAAGAAGTTTTGAAAGAAATGTAGGTCGGATCCAGGCTCGCGTAATCAAAGCCATAAAGCATCAAAGCGAGCAGACATTTGGACCCCGGATTTCATCTCTGTGCACCTTACCATGCTTCCTTCATTCATCTAAAAAGAAGATCCAGAGCATCGGCTTATTGTACACAGATTTCAACCATAACTCAAACACACCCATCAACCGGAATAACATTGATTGTCTGATGTATATAATTATAAAAAGGAACGACGACAAGGATGAAAATCCAGAATGAAACCCTGGAATAACATCATGAACACAAAAGATAAGGAAGAAATGAAACCAATTGTACACAAACAAAAAATTAAAAACGCCTAGAACCCTAAAACGATCTAGCTCCATTACTGGGGCTGGAAGCCAAAGAGAAGACGATGGTTTCTCTTAACGTCCTATCCGATATTTATAGATAGGTAGAGGCGAGTTCTACGCTTGTACGTTGGAAGAATTAGGGTTTTGCTTTTCTATAAATAAACCGATCTTACTTCTCTTCAAATGACGAAACTACCCAACCTACGTCGAAAAATAAAAAGACGAAACTACCCAACAACCCGAGGCTCACAGAGTCACAGCCCACACAGTCCACAAGACCACAAGTGACAAGATCAGTATTTCAGTTCAACAACTACGAGTCAAGGGACTCATAATGAATTATTATGGACGGTTAGGATCTTCTCTCAAGAAGTGCGACCAATGAACGAGCACGTAGAACAGTGATGAAGGATCTAAGAACGGTGGGAGGATGAAGTACAGAAACACTACTGTTCCCCACGTAAACTAGAAGGTAGCAGCACAAACGGGAAGCAAAAAAATCCACCTGAGGAGTGAGGGCAGAGGCTGAAACGGATTCCAGAATGATTCCTGGGTGGTAGGAAGGAGTGGGACTAGAGTCACTCCCACGACACGAAACGAGACCAGATCTGCTCCTCATTACCTCATACCATGGCGCCTTACACCGACCTCACAGTCACTGTACATTTAAAACATTTCTCGTATTTACGGGAAATGTTAGCATGTTACCAATGCACCGTGAGATGTACCCTGTGAGGCGCACTGAGTGAGGAGCAGATTCCACCTCACACGGAACCAAGTTCCCACTTTCCCTGTTTGGTCGAGTCAGTTACAGCGAATGCAAAGCCCGACCCCACCGACATAATACTTGTGATTTAAAAGTGTAAAAACCCAGCCCAGGCACAGGCAGGCAGCACTAAGCAGGCATTGGTGTAGTCGTGTAGAAAAAAAAAATGTCTTACCACTACTGCTGATTCCTCCCACGGAGGGAAAGGTAAAAAACATTGAACACATTTGACTTGAGTTTTACTCCCGCCCCAGAAAATTAAGGAGAAATAGGAAAAAAAGAAAAAAAAAAAAGGCAAAATATATAGAAAATTTTCTCGCTCTCAATCTCTGTGTTTCGAACCCTAGAAAGGAAGAACAAGAAGAAATAGTTGGTAAGTTGTTTCACTGTTGTAGATTGATGCCCTACATTTTAGTTTTATAGCAAGCTTAGTTTTTTTCTTTTTTCTTTTTTTTATCGATGGCTCCCATCCCTTTCTTATTCTTTCTTTCATTGGTAATTGTAACATTATAGAGCTTAACAGGTAGCTTTATAATCAGTCTGATATGGTTATGTTTTGTTTTATTTGTTTGCCTCAACTTATGAGTAATGCCCAACTAGTAAAACACTGTTTTTTTTTTTTTTTGAAAAAGACTAGTAGAACACTGTGTTAAACATACAAGTAAAAGAAAATAATGGATGCCGTTACTGATTATGTTACCGGGTATTCTAGTTCGTAGTTCATACAAAAGTTTCGTCACAGTTTTCATCTTTAACTTCAATAGTTATATAAAAACTTGTGACTATAGCATTACCCATTTCATGGTTATTTTTATTGTATATGTGAAATTGCTTTCGTCTTTCTAAAAGATTTTAGTTATCTTTTTTGTGTTGTTTCGGTACATGAAATCACAAATTTCGAATAAAAATTGGTTATTATGCTCCATTTCTGCTTTCCTTTCTCATGAGTAAGCTCTTATGCTTTATTGCATAATGTTTCCCTTGCAAACATTTTCAGGCTTACTTCTAATCTCCCACTATATTGACCCAAGATACAAGAAAAGAATTTTCCAATTTCCTCCTTTGATTTGGATATATTTCAGTGATAATGTAGCTGATATTATAGGTTTTAGGAGCAATCTCGATTTCTCAATAACTTTTATTGAAGCAAGTGGTTGGTTTTTGTATTTTCTTTGAAAGTTGAAGTTCCACACTCAGGAGGAATGTCTGTTGAACAAAATAAAGATCCTGTACAAGGCATACCTCGTAGAAGATATGAAAGGACAGAACAACAGAAGGAAAGGCGTCGATTAGCCGATCGACTTCGGTGGCAGCTATTGACAGAGGAACAAAGAGAGCATCTACGTGAGTCCAGAAGAAAACGGCGGCGAGAGCTAGCTGATTCTCATCAAAGAAGACTGATAAGTGAAGAACAGAGGGAGGGACAGCAAATTGCAGAGACACTGCTGCAGCTGCGGATGACAAATGAGCAAAGGGAGAATGCATGTGAAACCAGATGGAAGCAGTTGACGGAGGTTACAGCTACTTCACAGAGATTGCAAATAAGTGAACAACAAAAGGAAAGAATACAGGTTGAACAAGTTTTATGTCAACAGCAAATGACAAATGGGCAAAATGAACATGTTTGTGAAGTTAGAAGGCGGAGACATATAAAGCTTGCAGCCTTGATAACAGAGCAACAAGAAGATAGACTTCATTATCAAAATGGAGCAAATGGAGATTTGAATCCTGAATCTATGAACAATTTGAGTGCATATCAGATACAGGAAGGCATATCCAAGAACCAAGGTGAAGCTTTACAAGTCTCCTTACAGATTTTCAAGATATGTTATCATTACACTTCTTAGCACCACCAACATTCATCTCACCTACATCCTATATCTTAATGTTGCATTAATTAGACATGCTTAACCAACAAAGCTATGAAGTTAACCATTGGACTTACCATGGTTATTGTTATTTTCCTTTTTCCCTTTTATGTCTGTTTTGTACCATAATTGGACTATTAAGATCCTCTACTAGGTAGGACTTCTGGGCTATGCCCATTCCAAGAGTTATCCCATTGATTACAGGTCAGATTGATGAGTCAGCCAACAGCATGAATTTCATATGCAGGCCCTTAAGTGGAACCTTTGTCGGTTTTAAGCCTCATCCTCTTCATTTCTCTTCTATCAAGAACTGATTATGCACACATGGTGAATATGCATAAACACTTGACAATAATGTGCTAAGCTTGACGGATATAAAGCATCAAATAATGGTATTGTAATGCAGGACAAGTACGATTAAATCACATAAGGCATGAAGCAAGAAAGATTAGGCGAGAACGGTTGAGCCATATAAGGCATGAAGCAAGAATGACAAGCAGGTTACGTTTGAGCCATGTCAAGCATGAAGCAAGAATGAGAAGTGATCAATCAGAGGAATCAAGCTTACTTGATGAAGGTATTTCTTCATACACATCTTTTCCTTTTTTTCTGACTGCATGTATCTTTTGTTTTTAGAAATGTAAATCTTAAATTATTTGCATTATAGATGATGAACAGTTGACTCATGAGCCACCGAATAAAGGTCGTGTGCGACTGACTGAAGTTCGCCGTCAAGCCAGATTAACCACTGACTTGTAAGAGATCTATACTGAGAATATGAGAACAGTGTATGTCTTGGTATCAACCTCCTCTGCCTTCTCACTAGATCGAGATGAACCTTGATGGAGTATCTTGAAAGAATTCTGTTCAGTGTAAACAATGTTATCTAACTACGGTTGGCTGCAATGCATGGTGTACCTTATGATGCCTCTCACCCATACTTAGGTTAGACCTTCTAGTAAACTATATTTCTTTTTCCCCCCATCAGAATCTCAGTTATGCCCTTTTTATCTTTTGATTTCCACTAACTTACTCCTTGTGGCCTCGTCATTATACCTCCTTGTTAGTTGTTACCCATTGAAGATACTACTACCTCCAATTCACTAATTTCTAATTTTGTCCTACTGTTTCTTGTCACTCATCCACTTTATCTTGCCATCCATTATTACTGAGGGTTTTATGGATGGAAAAAGTAGTCCAAGCGGTATACCAGATAGGCTGTTAATTATGTTGGCTTATTTCATGGAATGATGGAACTAAATGCTTACTGATCAAAAAAGAAGTGGAAGTTAAGGCTGCTGGAGTTTGAGCTACAGAATAGTTTGGATTGAAGGTCAGGCTTGGATGGATGCACCATTCAAGATACTACAAGAGAATAGTTCAGGAAAATCTTCTTTTTTCTTTTTTGATGACAATGAAAATGTTCTTGAGTGGATTTAGGGCTGTAGTTGATTCAATAGATGAAGCACAGTTCTTTTGGAAAAAGTTGCCTGTTAAAACTTCATATAGTGAAGAACTCAAGTCATAGGCTTAAGAGAAACTGGGAGATCATTATAAATTTAACTTTTTGGTTTATAATCTATAGCATTTGCTTCATTATGGCTACTGGATTATTGTTACTATTGTTAAATTAAGGCTATGTTTGGTTTAAAGGAAAAGTAGGGAAAGGAAAGGAAGGGAAGGGAAACCTTTACAAATCTTGTATAGGTTTCCCTACATTTCCCTTCCTTTCCCTACCTTTTCCTTCAAACCAAACATAGCCTAAGTGTTCAACAAACAACCCCCAGTTTAGTGAGAGGGGAAAGATCAAAAAATGTGTTATCACCTTTAGACAATCTGTTGTGTATGGATGGGATAATAAAAAGAAAGAAGGAAAGAAATGAAAAGGAAAAAAAAAACCATGCAAACAATTGAAGAGGTTAGTTTTATTTGAGATTCAGATCTGTTTGGGCATGGAGGGAAACAAAGTTATCAACAAAGAAAAATTTATGAATTATAAACTTTTCAGACAAGTACTAATCCAATTTTTAAAAATAGGCTATTGTCTGATAAAGCTAGATAATTATCTCAACAAGTATCAGTTACATTGATTTTCTATTGTAACTTGTTTTCCTTTCGTTTGTCTGCAAGAATATACAATAGAGTTTCTTGTATAAATCATATAAGCTTAAATATTTCTTCATGTTAATTTTACAGGATTATAAGTGTTAACGCCATTTAAACAATTCTTTTTTGGGTTAATTGGCATTAGATTGGATTTATGTCCTTGTTGTTACCATCTAAAATTATGACTTCCAATCTCAATCATTCATTATTATTTTAGTATGTATGTTACTATTATCAAACATGTTATATTTGGTGATCCTTCTACTAACATTACTGTACAGGGAAAATCTATGATATCAAAAGGACATGGTACTAATCAAAGCACCCTGTGTATTTTGATTAATACCACCTAATTGATTACCTCTTTTCTCATACCAGCTGATTGGCCATAAGCTTTTCCAATATCATATCTTTCCGGTATCATAGTTGACATGCTATATTTGAGCCAGTGTAATCTAATCATTTATGGAAAAATAAAAAGAAAAAAAGAAACTTTTATTCCCCACTGCTTTGTTTACCTGTTTGATGCACAGATGAGAAAACAGATCCTTTTCCTTGTCACATGACTAGCATCTACTCCAGTGGCAGTAATATTCTTGAAGCAGTGAAGATATGCTAATTTGAGCGAGTAATGTTTTGGTCTGCAACCGGGCTGTTTGCCATCTTCTGTACGCTGATAAACCCAAGCAGGAGTATTTACACCTCCAGCATTATCTGTGGATGGCAGTTGGTGAATATTTCATTGATAATTTGATAGCAGGGGATGTTGGCCAATTACCCATTGTGTTTGATTATGTTTTTCAAAATAAAATAAAATCATGTACACATTGGCGAATACCACTCCTTCAGTATTCCCATAAAATATTATGACCGCTTAATGGATGCAGAACTAATCAGCCCGAGATTTAATCAACCATTGCACTAAATGATGACCTTTTAAAATTTTGGATAAATTGATGAAACCTCCCATGAAGTTTCTGACAAACCTCGCGGAAGTTTGGTAATCTCAATCATTTCCCCTGAATTTTCTCATGTACTTATCCCTTCTATTAAAATTAGGGAAATGTCCAAAATATTTGTACGAGGATTCTAATAGAGGGGGCGTATTACAATTATCTAATTTCAAGGGAGGTTTCAACAATTTACCTTAAAATTTTATATATGCATAAATAAAGAGCTTAAACAAACGTCGAGAAAAGGATATACAATAAACTTGGTTTGAGTCCTGAGAGGATAATCCAGAACGAGAGAGGTCTAGTGTGGTTATTTCGTGTATTATGGACTGCCAAGGAATTAGATAATGCTTACGTTCTAAACAAAGGAATGCTTACGTTCATTCAAGATGGTAGAACCAAGGATAGAGATCGGCTCTTTTTGCGGATAGTTTTAGGAGATAGTATGAACTTGGCAAAGGATGAGTTTACATCCTCGTTCATACTTATAGTTGTTATCACGGGTAGCATTATTGTACGGTTGTTTAACCATGATTTTCAAAACCGGATTGGACTGGTTGGTCAGACTGGAAAAAACAGGAACTGGTCAGGTGACCGGTTCTGTTTTACCCCAGAACCATTATTTTGTCAAAAAACAATTGATTTGGTCAGCAAACCGCTGGCCTGGGCAATCAAACCATTCGAACCAAGGTTCAAAGTAGCGATACTGGTCCTTTTTTTTTTAATTTTGGTTCAGAGGGGCCGATTTAAGTCTCGGATACCCTCTAAACCAGGCCTTGACCCGATACAATGTCAGGAAGGGCCCAATACGATACATATTGGCTGATATGGGCTGATATGTAATGATTTTTTTTAACCTTGGTTCGAACTATCCAACGGTTTTAGCCGTTTTTTTATTATTTTTGTTTTTTTGTCAGAATAGGTTGTCCGTTCGGTTAAAACAGTCAGACCATTCAACCTGGGGACTGGACCCCTGACCGGTACATTGTCCGGTTCAATTTTAAAAATCTTGTGTTTAAATATCAAGAGTGCCGCTTAAGTGTTGTTGATGGATTTCCAGCCATGAAGGCTATTGTGGTTTTAGAACAAATAGGATCTCATCAGGAAGCCTGCCTTTCAAGAACATCAAATGCTTTTCCTTGATACCTCCTCCATGAACGAAAATCTGTGCAATTTGACATTTTGACAACAGCAAGTATCAGTCTACTCTCACTTTCTCAATGTAAGAATGACAATGGTTAAGAAAATAGTCTATCCAATGGAGATGGCACTCTTAGAAGTTGGAATTCTGTGTTCGGATGGCAAACCCTTTATGAACCGTTATCGTTCTGGTGAAAATATTTATTTACCCTTTTCAGTGAGCTGCATCGAAGGAATTGTATTTTCTTTCAATTCTCACAGACCTCAACTGTCTTAAACGTAACAATTTAATGAAAGCTCTGTTTCCCTTTCCATGTTTCTCTTCAGACTCCACAATGTCTCACAGACCTCAACTGTCCTTGGAGACGATGAATCCCCTGAGAAGAAAACATCAACCCCATTTCTTACCTCGATCCAACTGCATCCGGGGCTCTTCTTCAATCCCTTCTCTTTCATCGACACCCTTAAATTTGCTGCCTTGTCCCAAAGCTCTGCCTCTCTGTACAAATTCAATAACTGGGTATAATTGCTGCCTCTGCTGGGCTCCATTTTTAATAGGTTAGAGGCTGCTATTTCTCCAAGTTCTATATTACCATGAGCTCGACAGGCAGATAACAAGCATAACCAAACACTCATGTCAGGTTCAATCGGCATGCTCTGGATGAAACCATAAGCTTCGGTCAGGTGTCCAGCACGGCCCCATAGGTCGACCATATTTACATAATGTTCCATTCTGGGTTCAATGGCATAGTCTCTTTTCATCGACTGGAATAAACAAAGGCCCTCTTCGGTCAAACCCGAATGGCTACAAGATGAGATTAGGGCAAGGAAAGTAACCTCATCCGGCAATACCCCCAATCCTTGCATATCATCAAATAATTCAATCGCTTTTGAGCCCTCCCCATGAGATCCATAGCCTCCAACCATTGAATTCCATGTTATTATGTTTCTCATCGGCATGCTTTCAAAAATCCGCTGTGCATATGTTAAGCATCCACACTTGATATACATATCGATTAATGCATTTCCAACATGAAGATCCGACTGAATCCCAAGTCTTAACTGATAAGCGTGTAAAGCTTTTCCTTTGATCAATATTGCAATTGACGAAACTGCAACAAGGGTATTGGCGATAGATACAGAGTTTGGAGTCAGACCATACTGCAGAATTTGAGGAAAAAGACTAATGACCAGCCCTGGAAGATTGTTCCGGCAGTAGCAGGTGATCAGTGAATTCCAAGCCACCAAATTCTTGTGTGGCATGTCTGAGAATATGCTTTCAGCTTTGTCCGGCAAACCACATTTAGAATACACATCTATAAGGGCACTGCCAACAAATACATCTGATACCATCCCACCCTTGATGATAAATCCATGGAACCCGCAACCCAGCTCTACGTTCTCAAGTCCAACACAGGCATTTACTACAGTAGCCATAAGTACGGAATCTGGTTTTATTCCTTCACCCACCATACCACTGAAGAAATTCAGAGCTTCCTCAAATTTCCCATTTTGGCATAACCCTGACATCATAGAACACCAAGAAACAGTATCTTTTTTCTCAATTGAACTAAAAACGGAACAAGCATCCTCGGTGCTCCCACATTTTGCGTACATTGTCAGCAGAGCACTCTGTACAGCCACACTACTCTGTACCGATCTTTTTATCAGCTCCCCATGGATGTTTCTTCCCAGATCATATAAATCAAGCAGACTACAAGCTGACAAAATATTAGATATTGTGAAAGAATCAGTAGTTAACCCAAGTAATCTCATCTCTTTGTAAGCATCTAATGCTTGTTCAATGCAATCGTTAATGATATAAGCTGAAATCATTGCATTCCATAACTCAATTTCTCTGTCAAGTATGTGATTAAAAATTTCCTCCGAATCTTCTATAAGCCCACATCTTGCATACATGGTGAGAAGAGAAGTACAGACATAAGGATGCCCTTCAAGACCCATCTTGATAGCATCGCAATGAACCTGCCTCCCAAAATCTGTATACTCGCCCTGAGAACATGCTGACAAGACACTTGAAACTGTTGACGAACCCAACCTGAAATTCTCTTTCTTGACAAGTGCAAAATATTCCAAACTCTTCTCCCACAACTCGTTCTCACAGAAGCCACCAATCATCGCATTCCAGATTACCACATTAGTCTTATCTTCCAACATATCAAACACCATCCACGCCTCTAACGGTCGGTGACATTTTGAATACATATTTATTAATGCGCTTTGCAAGAACGGGTCATTACCAAACATGTTGCGAGCAAGAATGTAGGCGTGAATTTGCGTCCCTTCCGCAAGATTTGATGGATTATTACAAATGCCTAGGAGGATACTAAGGGAGTAGGCATCGGGTCTTACACCCAAGGATTGCATCCGGCGAAACTGGAAGAGACCGTCATCGATGCGACCGAACCTGAAGTACCCATCAATTATGGAGTTCCAGAGGGAGACGTCTCTTACTGAAGCTTCAACCTCGGACTCGGAGATTGCAGCGAACACTTGGGATGCACTGGAGATGGATCCGCATTTTACATACATGTTGATGAGAGAGGTGGCGATATAGGGATCGAATTGCAGACCCAAAGCGATGATAGCGGCGTGGATCTGCCGTCCATTACGGATATCAGAGAGGGCAGCACAGGCTTTGAGAAGAGAAGGAAAGGTGAACTTGTCGGGTATGGGAGAAGAGTGTGATGATGGACTGCTATTACTGTTACTTTGGTAGTTGTTGGAGTATAACAATTGCAAGGCTTCGGAGTAGAGTCCTTGTTGAACAAAGGCCCGGATCCTGGCGTTTACCAATGACGACGATGACAGAACTGATTGAGTCACATTTGAGAATCTTCGACAGAGAAGACGATTGAAATGCATATCATCGTTATCGTTGTAACTGGTTATCTTGCCAGCAAAACTAATACTAGGGGCCTAGCTAGGCGGAATTCCAAGCCCTACAAACAGCACGAAAAGAGAGGAGATCAAGCAAGGGAAGATAACCCATGATTATAATCAAGATCTCGGTTGGGAGACTATCCCACCTAGAACTAGTAGCGTGTAATATCAGCGCTTCTCCCTTCTCCACCTCCCCTCTATCCTCCCTCCGATTCCCTTCTTGTTTCCTCTTCGTCATCCTCTTTTCTCTTGATCTTGAACTTGATAATTCAATTCAGTAGTGTTCTCCATAAGGATAAAAGGCTACTTAAAAAGAAAAGTCGCGGTCGAATCGAGTTATTCTCCCGACATGAAATGATCACGATTCAGTATTCACCGTCAAGATCTGCTCCTCTCACACCTAGGGGTGTCAATTGGACTGGATTTCGTTCAATAGTCAAATGTGAGTTCACTATAAATGGACCGGGTTTATTTTGGACCGGTCCAATTCAATGTCTGGACCTTTCAATCTGTTCAAATTTGTTTTAATTTAGATTGGTTTCAACTTTCAACCCAAACTTGGTCTATTGACACCTATATTCCTATCTTATATCAATGTATCAGATTTGGCTTAATCCAAGCCAATCCAATATAAATTTATTATAAACGACCAGATCCAATCCAATCTAATAAATATTTTGGACTGGATTGGTCCAATCCAATATGGCTTGTTGATCTGTCCAATCCATCCAAATTAATTTTGGACTGGATGGGGTCTAATCCAAAACCAGTCCATTGACACCCTTTCTACACCTATCTCACGGCATGTTTCAGTCATACATTGGGAACATATCCTATACTTGTATGTCATTATTTATGAAAAATGTTTATATCCTATGTCATTATTTGTGGAAACCGTTTAGATCCTATATTTATGGAAGATGTTTCCAATGTATGGTAGGATGTAACTGTAAGATCGGCACTCTATGAGGAATAGGAATTCACATCTATACCTCACATAGGCTGCCCCACATGCACATCTCAGTATGCACTGAGAACATTCCGAAAGTTGTTAGTGAGAGATGTTCCCATTACACGATTGGGATATGTTGTGAAACGCCCTCTGTGAGGCGCAGATGTGAATTTTAAGAATAGATCCCAATTCATTTTTATTGATGGGAAGATGTTTCCAATGTATCGCTAAAATGTGTTAAGGTCAATGTGAGGCACGTTCTTTGAGGAGTAACTCTGGTTCCGTGATCATTTCCACAATAAACGGTGCCATGTCGATTGCATGTAATTTATTCGGTTTCAATGCCAAACTCTTTGTTTGGTTCCATGTTTTGTGGAGCTCATATCTCCTACCCATGAATGGTAACATGTAAATACAAAGGATGTTCTCAATGTAGAGCGATTGTATTTTGTGAGGCTCAGTTTGGAAAGTAATATAAATATGTAGAGTGTAAATATTTGTATTTGTACTCTTCCCACTGTGAACCTGAAAAAATGGTGAGTAAACGAAATCGCACAAGCAACAAACTCACATCTCCTACAGGAAAAAAAAAAAAAAAAAACTCTACCTAGCATCTAGCTGCACATTAGGAATATCTCCCATACATGCACATTAAATTAATGGGAGATGTTCCTAATGTGTAACTGGATTCTCATGCTTACAGAGTGTGTGGAGTTTTTGCTTGCAAGAAATCCCACATAAGCAACTATTGGTAGAAACAGCAAAAAGTTGTTTTAATTCAATTATACCCAATGATCCTATAGATCTCAAATTCAGATAGGGGGATATCTGAATTTAATTCAATTATACAAATCCTATACCCAATGATCCAATATCTCACAAAGATCAATTCGAATTCAAATTTGAATTCACTAAGGATGTTAGATATCCAAGTTGATTTAATTATACATAGGTCAAAATTTAACAAATTACTAATAGGAAAGAAAAGAGAAACAAAACAATCTATACAAAGAAAAACAAAGGCACAAGCATGTTTTCAATCATTTTGGATCAGATAGGAGTGATCCAAATTCAATCTCATTTTTTAAATGGATCCTATTTTTCAATCCGATCCAATAGGGGATGTTCAAATCCAACAAAATAGGATCGGATTTGAATTCAAATCAGATTATGATCTAGTCCATTTGCACCCTTCATGTGTGTTTAGGGTGCTCAAATCCTACTCACACCTACCCAAATGGCAAGGAATTGAGTTTTGTACGGGTTTGCCTTAACCCTGATCTTATTCTCTAATGTTCCCAATCTAACATAACTCAAAAACATACAATTTTTCGAACCCAACCTCATTTCTACAAGGTTGAACCTAACACCAATCCAACCAGCCTTTCTACTTCTTCTTCTTCTTTGTAAAAAGAACCCACAATTATTTTTTATAACACATTTTAAAAATCTAAAATACATTTGATGGTGCGTAATCTGGCAGCTCCTTGTTGGAAGGTAACTCGGATGCTGAGCTGGCTAGTTTGTTGGGTCAACCTGCAAAAAGACAATATTAGAGTGCCCGGGCTGCTTTAATCAGGGTGGGCACTTCAATGCTTAAGTCAACGAATTGGAGGTTTTGGAGAGAGCTAGAGAGCAAGATTACTAGAGTATGTGAGAGCTGTATCGTGCGTACCTTCTTTGAGGGAGGGGATGCCTTTATATAGGCATAAGGAACCGGGAGCTTCCTGTAACACAGCCGAGATTCCCAGGAAACCATGCCCACCAAGTCTGAAGGAAACCTCTCGACCAGATACGCTATCCTTACAGAGGGATAAAGTCAACTCCAATGCAGACGATGCAAATAGTCAGGCCTAACGATCGAATGTTATAATCCTGGAGAAGTCGGAGGCAATAATTCACTCAAAGGTGGAGATCCGGCATATCACTAGCTGAACTCAGGTCAAGTCAGCATGCAGCAGAAGAAGGTCGCCTCTCATGCCAACCTGACGTCTTGACGGAACCGGGGTAGTCCGGTGGAAGTATATTACATCATACACCAACCTGAGGTCCCATCTAGTTGTTCGCAGTTCAGCCTACCGGGGTGGCCCCAAGGTTATTGAAGTGTCCGAGGTGATTTGTTTATGTGGTGCCAAGGTGTTGGTCAACTGTTCGGAGATCTGGCATATCACTAGCTGAACTCAGGTCAAGTCAGCATGCAGCAGAAGAAGGTCGCCTCTCATGCCAACCTGACGTCTTGACGGAACCGGGGTAGTCCGGKGGAAGTAGATCACATCATACACCAACCTGAGGTCCCATCTAGTTGTTCGCAGTTCAGCCTACCGGGGTGGCCCCAAGGTTATTGAAGTGTCCGAGGTGATTTGTTTATGTGGTGCCAAGGTGTTGGCCAACTGCTCGGAGATGTTACGTGTCATGATATCATTAGAGGACCAAATCACCCCTCATCAACATTAATGTAAGTTGGAATTTGGCTTATAAGTTCTTAGATGTCACTTCCTCCCATAGTAAAAGAGAATAAAAACCAAAATAAGCATGAAAAGAAATCCTAAGCTTTTTAAGGCTATGGAGTTAAAAGTCATAGCAAATTACAAGAGTACATTTATATAGAAGATCAACATATTGGGTTCATGCATATCGATTGGGTTCATGCATATCGATTGACTGATACTTAATTTTATCAGCTTGATAATTCTCAAACATGGTGACAAAGATGCCTTCTATCATCCCCAAACATTCAAAACCCCTAAGTTGTATGTATTTTAGTGTCTCGGACCCTTTAGGCACCAGCCACCAGGCGTATTGCATTGATATTTTGACCATGCCCTATACATAAGAGTATCAATGACCCAATAGGGGGAATTAACAAAACACAAACCAGATTGAGGTTAAAGAATCAAAAACCTAACCTGACCCTATAGGGCCGAGTCAAGGTAAATTTGCCCTTTAACCCAATGCATTGACATCTCTATCCACAAGACACTGAGTTGCACATCAAGAACATCTTTCATACTTTAACCCAATGTATTGACATCCCTATCCACATGACACTGAGCTGTACATCAAGAACACCTTCCATACTTCAATGTTGTCATTTATGAGAGATTTCTGATGTGCTGTAGTGTCTTGTGGGTAGGTGTAACTAGCATCTTTGTGGGTAGCAAATCCAGAGTTGTTTGAATCACACTCAAAATTTGAGTCTAAATCAACTGTCAGTCAACCAATTGAAGAGACGCTGACTAATCAGGTGTGAATGCGGTAGGCAAGACTGGATTTCAGGACTTCGGATCTCCTACTCACCAGAACTCTATCCACGCCTACCCACAAAACACTACCTCCGTGCATTGGGAACATCTCCCCGTGCATAATAGCATATAAGAGGATGAGATGTTCTCCATGTATGACTGCGATGTTATGTGGGTAGGTGTGGGTAGATTTATCATGGGTAGGAAATACAGACTCAGGTTTCAGTTGCTTTGAACCACTTTGCATCACCACACACACACACAAAAAAAAAAAAAAAAAAATCGCATCAGAAACGACGATCATCACAAAATTTTAGAAGGGACAAAATGTTCACTTGATAAGTCTTAAAAATATATAGCCAGCGTTTTTTTACGAGGGAACTAAATTAATTTCGACTTGTGATTAAATTTGAATTAGGAAATAACATGGCTTCAGATCCCTATTAGACCCAAATGGAGGAAGAACGGCTGAGAGTGTTTAGGAATGAAGAAAAAATTTAAGGAGATACAGTTTTGAGAAAGAGAAAATGGGGAGTGTAGAAATTGGGAGTGGTAGTGGGAGGGAGAGAAGGAAATAGACTTATTTATTTATTTGGGTGAGAAAGGAAATAGAAACCATATGTGATTGACCTTGTTATTACTAAAAACAAATAAAGAAAGGAGATCATCTCATATGCAGTACACAAGTATGAGAGAAATACTAAACATCTAATGAATAATTAGATTAGAGGGAAAAAAAGGTACAGAAGCACCACCTAAACGTCACCCTCCTTTTCTTTTTTTTCTTTTTATTTATTTTATTTATTTTTTTATTTTTTTTGGGGAGAAAGACGGTTCAGCCCAAGGTTTTTTGGGAGAAGTCTAAGGACGGATAAAGGAGCTTACGCCAAACCAAGCCCATTAGGCCATCCTCCCCCATCACTCTTCTTCCCAAGCCCATTACAAGCATCCCTCAGACAGACATGAGATACTACCACTCTATGAACAAAACAGAAAAGTTACAAATAAAGATTGTCTATTCACCCCTTGCTTGGCTAGAGTATCAGCTAATCCGTTTGCCAATCTCCTCAGTCCTCACCCATTGCTTGGCTAAAGTCCCCAGCCGAGGGTCCTTCAATATATAATAACTAGTTGAGGTGAATGACCAACTTCACAATCTTGAATCTAAAAAATATTTCAAGACTTCACCCTTCAACATCGACCAACTATCTATACGGTGCCACTAAGAAAACCTCCTTTTAAATTAAGGATCAGTTTGGAAGAGTACAAATACAAATATGTATAAGGCATATACAAGGTTTAGAAATAAACTAAGACAAAGTTTTACACCGAAGATTTGTATTTGAACTCTTCCAGAGCCTAATTTTTTTTAAGGCTTAGTTTGGAAGGAGTACAAATGCAAATATGTAGAGTGCAAAACCTTATATTTTGTATTATTTTCTATCTATTTGCACTTTACATATTTGTATTTGTACTCTTCCCAAACTGAACCTAAACTTTTGGTTAAGCATAATCACTAAGAAAATTTGAACTTCCCAATGCATCATTAGACATTAGACAATTTTCAATATTCACAATCAATAATTTTTTAAGGTAAAAAAAAAAAGCCACGAACGATAACCTCAATCAAATTAATGATTCTCATGAAAGAAAATACCTTTACATTCCAACAATGCATCTATCAGGTTTTCTTCTTTCTGGGAGAATTTCTACAATAGAAACTATAATTTGCAAAATTCCTCTCATAACCAGCCAAGGGCAAAAGAATAAGTGAACATATAGAAAGAATATTCCTTTCTTGATAAGAATGGACCCAGCCAAGGATTCAGCTGATAATCCTGATTATGAAACCCTACCCATGAAACTTGTTCTGATCTTGCTGAACCTAGTAGATCTTACACTTCTTCAACCTACAATTCAAAAATCATAATTTAAAAGACTAATCAAGTCCACCCCCCCCCATGCGCAGAAAAAAGAAAGAAAGAACAGAGCAAAAATAATTAATTGAAATATTGAATGGCATATTACCTGATTTGTTCGGTTTTCCCCTTGGCAACCCACTTGGGGACTATGAAATATCAGAATGACCTGGGAGTTGTAAATGACTCATAGCTCAGATGCTTAGAGCACCCACTCCCATCTAGGAGATCTAGGTTCAAATCACCATTGTGTTTGGATATCATGGGCGGTAAGAATATCAGGGTTATTGAATCTCTTAATACCCGCTTTCTGATACAGAGCTGGTTTTCTAACAGCCTTTAGGGGCTTGCAATGATGCATAATCCATGGTTTAAGTAGCAATATTAATAAGAATAAAGATATAAAAATGACCTGAGGAAGGTTCATCAGCTCAAGAACAGCTTTCTTTGGTGTCAGTTCATTGTCAATGATGCGAGCAACTGCAGTCAAGACTGGCATCTTCACATTATATTTCTGGGCCAGAGCAATAACAGCCCCAGCTGTTGACACACCTTCAGCAACCTAAAAGTGAAATGGTAGATAGTTAAAAACATAACTAGCATATCTTGAGCAATTTTGTATAGAGGACTTTCTCAACCACCTGATTAATGGAACTTAATATGTCATCTAGCTTCTCCCCTGATCCAAGACGGACCCCAACTGTTCTGTTTCTTGAAAGATTGACAAAGCATGTAAGCATTATATCGCCAGTTCCCGAGAGACCAGTAATTGTTGTTGACTTCGCACCCATCTTCACATTCATTATAAGTGTTAAAAAACAAGTATAACATAACTAGAACAAAAATAAAAATAGAGATATAAAAAAAAAAAATAAAAAAAAAAAAACTCATCTTTGATCCATGGAAAACAAAATTAGCTTGTGAAAAGATAAAAAATTCAAACTAACATGCATATCTGTGAAGCTAGAACCTAAATCCACAAGACATACAGAAAGTGAGGATTTGCAAGCAGATCTACATCTGGAAGAGATTAAGTGCCATAAGATAGACTCATATAATTCCTACATCTATTAATTATGACTAAACAGATAAAATTACTTCCGCGTTGCTTAGTGGCAGTCCACAATTTCTACATGGTACTTGGTTCAGTCTAGCTCATCCTAGAGTGAAGGTTTCAGATGTAAATTGAAGCTTCAGTACAACTCATATAGCCACTAAGAATGATTCATAAACATTTACTCATTCAAATAACACATGTAGAAGGGGGAAATTGCAGATTACTAATACCTTTTTTTTTAACAATAAAGCAAAAATTTTATTAAAAGAAGAAATGAAGTACAAAGAAAGGTAATAAGGAACCAGGAGGGAAAAAACAGAACAATCCAAGCCCAACCAAATATAAGAACACCTCAACAACCCCTCATTAATCCAATACAATAAATAAAGCACCTAAAACTGTCACCATCTTTTTCCAACTGCAACGATGCCAAGAACTACACCCCTAAAAGCTCCTAGCCCATCCCAAGAATACAATACCCACGAGCGACATCTACAAGCTGAAATGCCAGCATCCACTCTAGGAAAACTTGTTCCAACCCTCGACTCTTTCAATAGACAACTACAAGCTTCACCTTCAAAAAACCTCAAATCTAATAATCTATCCATTCAAAAAAAAAAAACAGAAACTTAAATCATCTAGCTGCCTGAAACTAAGATAATCTTCAGTTCCTATAAATCTATTTCTTCTAAACCATGAACACACTCAACATGTTTCCATTCTGCCCCTAATCTCCACCAAAATTAATTTCGTCGCCATTAATACCCTTTCAATAAAATCCAGACATCAGACATATCCAAAATATTCATATATATATATATATATATATATATATGAATACCCTTCAATATTCAAATTATTGTCCTATTTGAGTAGTAGGCATAGCCCCTCTGGGCTGCCAACTATGCTGGAATTTGTAAGATTTCTGTCTTCTAAATCTCTTCTCTATACAACTTATCCAGCAAACCCATGCAAAACATATATATACCGAAAGGGAATATCTTGTGAAGAAAAGGAGGAAAATGAAGAACATTTGCCATGCGAAAGAAAATTAAAATACCTTTGTTGCTAACCATCGTATCTCTGAACAACCTTGTGCAACAAGAGCGGCCATAGAATTATTTCCAAGATTCATACCCTCTACAATCCCCGCTGCAATTGCAAGCACATTCTTGAGTGCACCCGCTATTTCTACCCCTGTAACATCACTGGAGTATCACAGGTTACGAGCTGAACTTGTGTGCTTAAATCTTATTCAAATAGTTCCAACTTTCTAACATTATCCACCAGAAGCCAAGGTACTACATCAACCTGAAAGCAAAATTTTTAATCAAAAGAAACAGCAGAAACATAAATTCTAATCAGATTTAGTGCACTTAAAGCTCTAATTTAACCAATTTGATAAAGGCAAAGGACTTATCACTTATCTACCTCGAAGTGCTGATTCTTAGATGCTGAGAAGCTAATAGTTGCTGTGCAGCAGATGCTAGATTTTTATCTTTAGATGCCACCACCATTGCTGCAGAAACATAAACCAAGAAAAAAGTAGGTATCCATGAGAGGTTGTCAACTTGTCATCTTTTCAATAAGTTGCATTCAAAGTATGCAGGACATAAATAAATAAGAACTTTAAAAATTTTTCCTGATAAGTTGGCAAATAACCTGTGGGTAATTTCCTCATTAATTCCAATGCAAAAGAAGGCCCTGACAGCGCAATAAAAGGTTGGCGAGGGTTCCCAAGTGCTTGTGGGATAATCTGAGACATCATCCTTAATGTATTGAGCTCCAAACCTTTGCTAAGGGATATGAATGGCAGATTTGGATCAACATGCTCTGAGATGCCCTCAAGAAAAGATGAACTGAACTGCAATTAAATAATTTGGGTGAGGGACATCCTGACACATATAAATACATTCCCCACAAAGAGAACTAAACGATGTAGTAAAGCAATCGACAACCATTTCTCGGAAAGAAAAAGACTTATCTGGATATACTTAAAATAACAAAAATGATTCAAATACCTGCACAGGGACTGCATGTAGACAAAAGTCAGCACCGAGCAAAGCAGCTTTGGCATCAGTTGTTGCAAAAACATTTTCCGGTAGCTTGTCTTCTGGGAAGTACTTGCTGAAAAAAAAAGTAAGAATATCGAGCACATTAAAATTGGGAGGGGGTATAAATTGTTGGTGGATGCAAAACAGAAGGACCATACATAAACAGAGAAGTGAAAACTGGCACAACTATATTCGTAAAAGATTGTTTACATTGAGAGCAGTTGCAGTAGACCAAAACTTACTAATTATAGTGGGTCTTGTTTATAGACTGGCAAACATGAGGATCTCGCACAAGCATCTTAACTTCCAGTTCTGCCTTTTTGGCTGCAATATGAGCAGCCATTGCCGTACCGAAAGAACCTCCACCAAGTACCACAACCTGAAGGCCACATAAACCTTAATCATGACTTCAATACATATAGTGTATGCCATTTTTGCTTCCATTCATTCAAGGTAGATGTGGTATCTTACAACATTTGTTATTTCAGCCTCATTTTTGGATTTCAAGAAGCGAAGACACTGCTTACAGTTCTCAGTGACCAAGTGGGAGTGTTAATTTGAAAAAGAAATATATGCGGAAGAGAAAAGCAAAATCAAAACGAAAACAACAAAACAATATTGCGCGGTTGAATCCAGCATTGCTAATCAAATTCCTAGGAGAACACCATCCATAATTCAGCAAATTCCAATCACCGAAAGGAAAAAGAAAATATCTAACTCATAACCAGAACCCTCAAAGAGCACGGGAAAGGGAGAAACAGAACCTTTTTAGTCCGCTCGAGAACATCGGTCTTGGCCTTGGAACGCCAAGTCCGTGACCACCTGACAAGTTTCTCCCAAGCAACTCTAACCGCTTTCCTGCGATCTTTACGGCTATCAGGAGCATTGACGGGATTGAGGTTAGGTTGTTGTGCAGTAGAAAGAGAGTGGTCTTGAGTTTCGGTAGAGCAATGACAGGTCTTGGCGGGAGAGACAGGGGGAGCAAGAGCAACTATAGGCTTGAGCTGGACTTTCTGTAGTCTGAAGCCATAACATGGATGGGATGTATGAGAATTTGATGAGAATGGAAGGTTCAGAATCCAGGGTTCTAAAGGAACTGACATTGGCTAGAATGCGTGAACCAGGAACAGGCGTTGATTGCAATGGATTTTCACAAGGTCATAGCCATCACTTTTTCCTTTCTGCCCTTTATCCATTGGCATTCATTCCCTCGCGATTCTCTTGCTGTTTATATTACAATTAGCGGGGATCCGTGCGATGCACGGACAAATCTTAAAAATTTAATAATTTTATTTATTATTAATTAATATTAAATTAATGATCAAATTTTGTTATTAATTAACTAAAATTATTCAAAGTTAATGTTAATATCTAAAATTTTAATAATTATATCTTTATTCAATATTGATTTATAGAAAATAATTATTGTTAATTTAATATGAACAAATATTTTTCAATAATTTTAGTTTTATTAATAATTTGTAGTAATTTTAATAATTGTTATTATTTTTATTATTTTTAAATGAAAATGTAATTAACTTTAAATAAATAAAAATAATTATAAAAACTAATATTTTTATTAATTTCACTAATAAGTAACAATTATATAGGAATGACAACGCAATGGGTTCAAGGCGGGGTACCCCATCTCTATTCCTACCCCATAGTCAAGACACTCTACCCCATCCCCACCCTTAGGGGCAAAGCACCCCACTCTTCATAAAGGATGGGGAATCCTTGAATTTCCCCGCCTTGTCCCGAGTATTAGGTAGGTTCAAGTAAATGTGTAAATACGGGCCATGCTGGCCCACAGGGCATCTCGGGCCGTGCCTCCCTCCCCTAGGATAATTTAGGGGGTCAGTTGGCACGATCCACGACCTATGCCATGTTGTGGGCCTGGCTGGTCTATGGGTTGAGCCTTGGGCCAAGCTATGAGAGGTCCATTTAAAAAAATTGAAAAAGATGTTTAAACTTTTATTTCATATGATTTTTTATGTATACATGTTTATATATACAATTACACCTATTCATGGGTCGGGTAGTCTAACGGCCCGATCCGGCTTGACCTGTTATTTTTTAGGCTTGGAAAAAATTTTAGGGTTGTGGGCTCGAGCTCGAGCTTTCTCAAATAAGCCCGTCCCAAACCCGAGCCTGGTTCGATACTATTATATATATAAAAAGTACTTATGTTATATATAATAAATATAATATATATATGCTTCTAAATTATTAATAAATATCAATTTATTATATAAATATAAATTATACTATTATTTTATTAAATTATTACTAAACTAATATAATATTAGTTTATAAAAGTAACCTATGATGACAGACATAACCCGGGCTCGACCCGGCTTACACCTCTTTCCGGTATCATATCTTTTCTGCATCATTTGATTTTTTCTAAGGCTTTGTTTGGTTTAAAGGGAAAAAAAAATCTTTACAAACCTAGTATAGGTTTCTCTATCTCTTCCTATATTTTCCTTCAAAATAAAATATTATTTTTCTGATTTTCTCCTCCATTTCATTGCTTTTTTCATGTTCGCTCATCTCACAACCCACTAATGACTCCATATTTATCCACCAAGAGTTAAATTTTGGTTCAAATGATGAATTGGATGAAGCAACGTTATCGTATATTCGTATTCTTGCAAAAAAAAAAAAAACACACCATTCGTTTGTTAACAACATGTGTTTGGCAGAAAATCCCATTCTCCTAAACACAAGGCTAAGTTGTACACTAATGAATGGGAATCCATCAAAATTCACGGAGCGGTTTTGATTGGTCAAGCTCTCAGGTTAGTATATAATTTAGCATAAATTATCTATCAGATCTGGACTGATATGATAGATATGGGTCTCATAAAGCTAAAGTCAAAAAAGGGTGTTAAAAGTTAAGGAAAAGTACGAAACAGACTTAATGTAGATTTCTGATATATAAGTTATAAGTATTATTTTTGGTCATTTACTAAAATCTACCATTTAATTTGTGTTTTACTAAGATACCCCATAGTTTATAATGGCTTTACTTCAGGAAAGTTTGTATAAATGGTATTGGCATCTTAAATTTTGTACCAAACATACTCCACCTTTGTTAATCGAAAGCTTGCAGAGAGACATAAGCTTATTCTCTTTTCTCACAAGACATAAAGCCCACCATGGTTGATATCTTTCAAGAAAAAAAATGGATAAACCGTATATTTATTTATTTGTTTTTCTTGTATTGTTCTCCAATCCCATCCAATATATTATTTCCTAAATTGAATGAACGTTTTTTGTGAAGCATTGGATCAGGAGTAGAACAAGAAAGAAAACAAATTTCCAACTAATCGACTCCTAATGAAAGATGAATGCAAATTGGAAGCGAGAAGTAATTGTTGTGCTCAAGAACTGAAAGGCTAAGGAGGTGTTTGATACAGTGGCGTTGTGGTTTGGATTGATCAATACAAAAATATATTGACACATCATGAGTGTCATTTCAATTAGAAAAATGATGTGTAAGAGTAAGAAACATTAAATTTAATGTTTTAGGTAGAAATAGCACCAAAGTAGAAAAATCTCTATCATACAAATTTATATTAATTAACCCAAGATACATCAGCAACATAACAGGACTGTACCAAATACCCTCTAAGACAAGGGAAACAATTCTCGCTAAAAGGATGAAGTAAAAATTATGTAGAAACATATAGAGAAATATGAAAGTTTTCATAGGAAATACAAAATTTTGGATTGAATAGGTAAGAGATATCTTATGGAGAAGTTTCGAAACTCGTAAAGAATTATAAGGAAAAATAAAGTGAAGATAACCAAACGATTCAAGTCTCAAGCAGAAAAAGAGAATGAAGGGGAGGGAAGGAGAGAGAGAGAGAGACCGCTACTTGCATGCATTTAAAACTTTCATGGTAAATTTTGAAAATTTGAAAGAAAATGAAGAATAAAAAAAAGTCACAAGATATCTGTAAATTTATTTGAAAAATTCAGGGCATGTTTAAGTCTTTTACCCTAAAAAACAACTAAATAATCGCTTCTCATCTATATAAACATAAAACTTAATTTAATTTGTTAAATTAAATAATAAAAACTGGTGTTAAACAAATAATAGCCCGTACTTAATAAGGGATCATGCCTAGTGATAAGTGAATACACATGACAAAAGAAGGTAGGATTCTTAATATTTGATTTTTTTTTCTTTCAAGTTTGATTGAGGCTTTTTCTTTGCTTTGACCTATAACATTTGAAAATGCAATAATTACATTAAGAGGTATATTGATAGTGGTGAAATTTCTTTTTATCTACAACGAATTCTGAAAATTGTCAAATGTCAACCTATATATGAGATTTTTTGTTTGTATTTTAGAAATATCATTAGAAAACAAAAAATTACAATATTCGTATTCAGAGATAGGGATCAAAGGGAAACAAACATCCATTTCCCACTTGCTTAAGTTATAATCAGCGGAGGGGGCCCTGCATTGTAGGATTCGCTCATAAACTATCAGGCTCAAGCTTGATTCGAATTAGAGACTTGAGCTCGAGCTCGAGCTTGGCTCGAGTAAAAAAGCTCGGAAGTTCGAGCTCGACTACATTTGATTGCAGGTCTCTCGAGCAGTCGAGGTGTCAAGCCGAGGTCTCTCTCAATTGCCGAGGTGCCAAACTGATGTCTCCCTCAGTTGTTGAAGTGTTGAGCTGAGGTTTCCCTACCAGGCGAGGTGTCGAGCTAAAGGTCTCCCTTAGTTGAAAAGGTACCGAGCTGAGGTCTCCCTCAGTTGTTGAGGTGCTGAGCCAAGATCTCCCTCAATGACCGAGGTGTTGAGCTGAGGTCTCCCTCAATGGTCGATGTGTCGTCTAGCTCAAGCTCGATTTGAATTAGAAACTTGAGCTTGAGCTCAGAAGTTCGAGCTCGGCTCGACTCGAACTCAACTACCTTTGATTGCAGGTCCCCTAGCAGTCGAGATGCCGAGCTGAGGTCTCCCTCAATTGGAGAGAGAGTGGCATTCTTGTAATTTATAAGGAGAGAGAGAAAGAAGGCATTCTTATAATTTGTAAGAAAAAGAGAGTTGATAGGAGAGAGAGTGGCATTGTTGTAATTTGAAAGAAAAAGAGGGAAATAGAATTAGTAGGAGAGATAATGGCATTCTTGTGATTTGAAAGAAAAAAAATCAAGAGAGAGAGAATTGGTAGGAGAGTGTGGCATTCTTGTAATTTGAAAGAAAAAAAAGCAAAAGAAAGAGTGGTAAAGAGTGGCATTCTTGTAATTTTGATAAAAAAGAGAAAAAAAGCCTCTTATATACACATTTCAGCTTAATATATTTATATATATTATTTCAAAAAATACAAAAACATCCCCTTGAAGTTTCTGACAATCATAAAAACCTTCCTTATAGTTTCATTTTAACAAATACCTCCCCTGAACTTTTGAGAAACTCAACAAAAATCTCCCTTCTGTCACTGTCCCAAACGGAAAACATTAGATTAATGCACCATTTTTTTCCAAATACCCATTCTACCCTTTTATAAATTATTTTACATACAAAATTACTAAAATAACTCCATTTTAACTCAACAAAAAACCTTTTTTAATGATCATTTCATTAATTTTACAACAAAATTACTGAAATATATTTTTTTGTTGAGTTAAAATGAGATTATTTTAGTAACTTTGTATGTAAAATAATTTATAAAAGGGTAGAATGAATATTTGGAAAAAAACTGATGCATCAATCTAACGCTTTCCGTCTAAAATAACGGAAGGGAGGTTTTTGTTGAATTTCTCAAAAGTTTAGGAGAGGTATTTGTTAAAATGAAATTACAGGGGAGATTTTATGATTATCAGAAAATTCAATGGAGGCTTTTTTATTTTACCCTAAAGGTAAATAGGAAATACGTAGACCTGTTCATGGGCCGGGTGGCCCGACGGGCCGGCTCGACTCCCGGACGGGCTTGAACAGGATTTTTGGCCCGCGGGCTTAACCTCGGGCTAAAAAGCCCGGCCCGCATAAAATTCGAGCCGGGCTCGGGCTTTGCCAAAATAGCCCGGCCCGAGCCCGGCCCGGCCCGACTTATAGTTAAACTTAAGTAAATCCGGCCCGACCTATAGTTAAACCTAAGTAAAAACCCTATATGATGTCTATTTGAATAAATTTTTTGATTTAAGGTCATTGATTCACTTGTAGATCCATTGTTCATTTAAATAGGGGAAAAACATTTAAATTAAAATAGAAAATGTCAGAAAATTTTGAATTTCTTTTATTAGATCGGGCTTCGGGCTTTTCATCAGGGCCGGGCTCGGGCCCAAATTGTAGGCCCGTTGGTCGGGCCGAGCTCGGGCTCGGGCCTAACAGTTTTCTGTTAATAAAGAGTCAAAGCTCGGCCCGGCCCGGCCCATGAACAGGTCTAGAAATACGAATGGGTTGGACCAGTGCGTATTCGGTATCCCGCTGATAAAATGCCACTTCTGGCTATGAATTACCCGCTTTCTTCATTTCGAAAGATGTACCCCAGCCTGCACAAGAGCTTTGAACATTAGCTTCAAACTAAGCGTTCTCGGTAGAGCACTTGTAGGACTGTAACTGCGTTCTAGTTGCAGAAGTAATCTCCATTGTTGTACGGTCCTAAATCCTCTCTCTGCTTTTTTCGTAAAAATCTTGCTTCCACCTTTTTTGTCTAGACGGACAGAGCCTACGGTGAGATCGTTAACGAAGAACTCACTTGAACTGATAGATTACCAAATATCAAGTTAGGGTTTCTAGTTTCTTGCTTCCTGAGATTCCTTTATCCATTAGCACACTTCGGAGCTATATTCTTGTTTCTAAGACTGTTTTAGGTTGTTCATTTGGAGTACTTTCTTTCTCTACTATCCTTCTAGCTGTTTCCATCTCTATATCGTTTCGTGTTTGTAGAGATAGATTGTTTGTCTGTTTACTTTTCAGAATTAGTTCTCGAATTACGATTTCAGCTTCTACGTTAATTGTCTTTTGGAATTTATACCGCTATGCTCTGAACTGGAATATGTTGCGGTGGCTTATCGGCTAAGCAGTCGAAGAATTTGAATTCTGATGAATTTTCTTAGATGTTCCAAGAGTAGTTTTTCACTTTTCCTCTGTGTTGTGTATTTGTATTCAAAATAACAATACTTACTATCCATCGGACACTAATTTAGTTCGTCCGTTTTTCTTTGGTAAATCGTTTCAGGTCGGTGAAGTGATCTTGTTGTTGCAGCCTTTAAGAGAGGGGCGTTATCTTCAGTATAATGTTACAGTGGATGGGAGGATCGAGGAAGAAAGTGAATACTGTAAGTAAAACGATACTAGTTTTCATTTTTATAATTGGTAGGCTTAGCACTTATCGTGGACAAGATGATGCCATTGACGTGCACTTAAAAAGAAAGGCTGGAATTAATGGATCAATGAAGGAAAAGGAACCTTGATTGCGACAATAATTCTAAACATACGCATCTCAATAGGAGACTTCATCCATACCGTGGCATGCATTTAACTTTGGATCCACGATTTTGTTCGATAGATACTGTTGAGGTGTCAATTAGGTTGGGGTGGGCTCTGAACATTTTCTCCGAGTCTGATCTTAGCCTGATCAGTTGGTTCCAATATTAACTAGCTAAAATTTGTCAAAATCAAAATTGGGCAGGGTAGTGGATTTTAAACGATGATATGTTCACCTCATTGGTCAGGTTATCCGCCTGTGGGACTTAAAATGTTGATATATCATACACACATATATGCATTATAAACAACTATATTCTGGACCTGATATACAAAACCTTGGCTGTATTCCTGCTAGAGGAACATAATTTGATCTGTAAACATCATCTATGGCCGTGTAATAAATGAGTGAAGGGTCTCCTATGAAGAGGACATTAAGGCTTATAGGTTCATATTTCCTATTATGTATTATATATAATGAAGAATAATTACCATGTATTATAATATATAATACATTTAAAAGAATCTAGATGATGGTTTCAGGGGCCAGACCCTCAGGATTTTAAGAAATTAACCCAATTGTGAACAAAATTCAATTTCAAAGCCAACATCAAGCATGCTCAGCCCATGGAGGCCCCTCAAATCTTCAACCAGCCTGGGCCTGGCTGGATGATCTCTGCCTAAGCTGTAATCTTTACCATTGTTATTGCTCTTTGTTTTTGTCTTTTATTGTTGAAGGACATACTTTTTCTTGTTACCTTGTATCCTAAATTTCCACATGGAATGATATGTAAATATTATGCATCCCTTCCCAATTTAGATTCTGAAGTACAAAGCGTCCTTCAGTATTTGATTTAAACCATGGCATTCCCTCAGTAATTTTTCCTGGATCATATCTTGCTAGGTTAACCATGCATTATTAGTTATGAAGAATTTTCCTCTTTTTCCCTGTTATTTCCAATCTTGAAACTGTAGTGCCTTGTAAGGTTTTCTTACTCTTTGAAACTTTATAGTTCTTTTTCTTGACTGTTGTATGCTGTTAATTTTGTTTCTCACGTTCTCTTTCTATGAGAATGTCTCATCATTTAAGATCGTAAGATTCTTAGTCTCACCATGCAATAGTTTAATTTTGGCAATTATTGCTGAACTTATTTAAGTTTTATACATAAGCCTAAGAAAATGACACTGGGTTTCCTATACCAATGTGTTAATCTCTTCTTTTCTTGTTGGTTCAATTTATATCGATCATGGTGGAACTGAAAAAACTTCAGTCAAGAAAATCAACACAGAAAAGGTAAGATACACATTTCCTAATTTTCATTATATATTTCTGCTTCATGTTTAGTATGTTAAAAAGTTTTGAAGACATATTTTGGAAGAAAGTGACATAGAAAAATTTGTATTGTTTATATTTATTCATCATCAAATTCTTATTGTGTAAATGATAAAAGTGAGACACTCCTGGATGAAGATGGGATAGACTTTTTCTAACCTAATTAGTAAAATTTGCAGGCAAAAACAATACTTTGAACAACGGAAGAGACAGCAACAGACTGCTGGGTTAGAGAACTATGCTGATGGAACAATCAAATGCAGCCAATGGCATGAAAAACCTCGATCACTGGATGTCCTCAGTTTGCTGAACTTGGCAACAGTTGCTGAAGAACACAGTTCAGATTCCAATGGTAGATCATTTTATACATATGAAACTGTTTGAGGATTCTGTTTTCTCACTCTATAATGTTTACCTTTTTTTGATAAGCTACTCTATAACATTTACCTTGTTTCTTTCTTGGGTTCGACTATGACATGGAAAAGATATGATATCCAAAAAACAACTGACCAATAAATCAGAATCATAAACGTGGTAGGGAACATGGTGTTATTTATCAAAATTCATGGGTGGGTTTTGATTGGTCAAAACTCTTTCCATACCATATCTTTTCTGTATCATAGATTTTCCCTTCTTTCTTTTATTTTACTAAGAGGTTTTCTATGCAAACCATGGTATTATATTTGTTTAGTTACCAAAAAAATCATATTAAGTTCGGAATTAATTTTACTTATCAAAAAAAAGTTTGAAATTAATTTTTTTGTTGCTTGAATGGATGGAATATATGATATAATTTATTGATTTCATTTAATTAATGTGTCTGACATGTTTATGGAGACTTGTTATCTGGTCAATACCAGATATATTAAATTAAGCAGGAGAAGAACCATTACAAAGTCATTCTGTACTGTCCTAACTACCAATTTTCTGAATTGTGTCCTGATCTTAAATGGTACTCAGTTTCCCAAGTTGATTTTGTCCAACATCTTCCATTCTTTGTGCAAACTTTGTTGTTCCTATAAATCAAGTTGTTGGCGTGCTTAATTCTTTCAAGAGAAGTATTGTCTCTTTATTTGAAATTTTGAACCAAAGTTGGTCCAACCTTATTCTGGTGATCTAGTCAGTGCACTTTGTTGTTGGATTTAATTGTTTTATTTCTACTGTTAGAATACTGTCAGCATGTTCTTTTCTCTTATTTAAGTTTTATTTTTAGGGTGTGCTGCCAGGAACCTACTTGTAATTTATTTATCTTTTATTTGTTACATCATATTATTATAAATTAGAAGCTGGGCGTCGCCAGCCCAATCTTTTGAATCTCAAACATCTTTCTCCCTCTTCTCTTCTCTTCTCCTCTTTCTCTCTCTTTCTCTTTCTCTCTCTCTCTCTCTCTCTCTCTCTCTCTCTCTCTCTCTTCTTGTAAAAAACCATGGTATCAGAGCGCAACTCTGGGCAATTGGAGTCATTTTTTCTTCTGAATCGTATCCATTCAACCCAGGTTTCTGATTTCTTGGACAGTGAGGACAAGAAACCCTAATCAGACTGATCAGAACTACTTCTTGTTGCTTCTTCTGGGTTCTTCCTTGGTCATAACACCAAGGTAATCCTAGCAGGAGGAGGCCGATGCTGTGAAGCTTCCTTTTTTTCTTTTGGCTGATGCTGTGAAGGCTTAGTCGTGGTTTTGCACCTTCGTACAGGGGTGTGTGATCCCCTTTGTCACAGGTATGTGCTGTGATTGATTAGTGTGTGAATTGTGAAGTGTGTAGTCCAATGGTGACTATTTTTTAGTGTTTCTGGACTGTTTAGTTGCTGCCAGTTGACCTCAGCAGTGGGTACTTTATTTCAGAAGTAGTTTGTGGGGTTTTGTGTCCTAATTGTGACTGTAAGAGGTGGTACTTGTGTGACGACCGGTCTTGTGCACCTGCAGCCTTTGTTTTTTGACTTGTAGACCTGCATTTGCCAATGGCGAATGATGATTCTGCCTCATTTGGGGTTACATCAACCTGTAGTACAGCTGATATGAGGACTGAAAGTATGATGTTTCCTATGCCTATTACTCCTTTAAACGGCCTGAACTACCTGGAGTGGGCTAAAGGTGTAAAACTTTATGTAACAACAAGGGGAAAAGCTGGTTACATAAATTAAAGAGTGAAAGAGCCCAAGAGTAGGAGTGCTGAACATGATCAGTGGGACCAAGAAAATAGTATGGTGATGTCTTGGCTTCTTGTAGCCATGAAATCTGATGTAAGGAAGAACTTTATGTGGGCAGACACTACAAGTGAGATATGGAAACAGGCCAAAACCACCTATTTTGAGCAAAGACGCTATGCCAAGATCTACCAGTTACAAGTTGAGTCCTCAACTTGTAAACAGGGGAACCGTAGCTTGTCAGCCTATTATTCAGCTCTTACCTTAGTATGGAAGGAATTGGACTACTATCAAACTATGGAATGGAAACATGATGATGATGCTAGAGCATATAAGAAGTTGGTTTCTCAACAACGGGTTTTTGCCTTCTTGTTGGGACTAAACCCCATATATGAACCCCTTAGAGTTCAGATTTTAGGAAGTAAAGAATTGCCTTCAGTCCAAGAGGTGTATGCCCTTGTTCATTCCGAGGAAAGTAAGCGGAGTGTGATGGTTACAACTGAGGGGGAGAAACAGGTAGCATTAGCTGCAATGGGTGGTAATAATATGGGAAAGAAAAGTGACTCCAGGAAAGTTGATGATAATGATAAGTTGTTCTGTACCCATTGCCGACGTTCAAGACAAACGTGACACATGTTGGGAGCTCCATGGGAGGCCAAAGTGGGCTGTAAAGAACCAAGAACAGGGTAAGGTATAGGGTCAGAAGAAGCCTAATACAACACACAATGCAACAAATGTGGCAATCCAAGAAACTTAGTCTGTTGGAGTGTCAACTGATACTACTCAGGAGCACTTCATTGGTTTTGACCCCAAGGAAGGTATCATGAACTCCTTCCATAGTCATTTGGAATCATATGGGAGGGCCTTGCACCAGATGTACAGTTCAACTTCTAGTAATCCTTCTGCCTTTTATGTCTCCACTGCCACTGATTCCCCCTGGATCATTGACTCAGGGGCATCTAATCACATGACCGGTAAGCCAAACCTATTTCAATCTTATAACCTTTTGTCAAGAAGGGATAAGGTTAGACTTGCAGATGGATCATTCTCCTCCATTGCAGGCTAATGATCAATATCTCTTCTTCATGGACTTAACCTAAATAATGTTTTGGATGTCCCTCAGCTTCCCATCATTTTTTTTTTCTATTAGCAGCATCACAAACTCATTAAAATGCAGTGTAACCTTTTTCCTAATTCATGTGTTTTTCAGGATCTAATTTTTGGGAGGACGATTGGAAAAGGAAGCTTAATGGATGGTCTCTACACTCTCAACAACAAGGCTGGTTTCTCGGTGTCATCCTCAGAGTCGCATAGTCAGTCAAATAAGAGTCATTTTTTTTGTGGCATACTCGGTTAGATCATGTGCCTTTTGAAATGGTGAAGTCTTTATTTCCTTATTTATTTAAGTCCTATTCAGTGTCAGATTTCCATTGCCAAACGTGTTAGTAGAGCAAGCAATGTAGAACGGTATTTTATTCAAGTAATAAAAGATCAAGTTTTCCTTTCCATATTGTGTATTTTGATGTGTGGGGCCTACTACCATAACTTCGGACGGAGGGTATAAGTACTTTATCACATTGATTGATGATTTCTCTTGCTATACATGGGTATTTCCCATGCATAGCAGAGACAAAGTCTCAAAGATCGTGAGAGATTTCCAGAGGATGGTGTTTACACAGTTTCATGTTGAAATTCAGATTTTTCAATCAGACAATGCAAAGGAATATTTCCATGGTGAGTTTAATGAGTTCTTTGCTTCTCATGGTTCCATTCATAGGAGCTCGTGTGCAAGAACACCACAACAAAGTGGTGTTGCAGAAAGAAAGAATAGATACTTCCTTGAGGTAGCCCGAGGGATGATGTTACATATGAATGTTCCCAACTGATTTTGGGTTGATGCTCTACTTGTTGCTGCTTATGTCATAAACCGCATGCCCTCCAGAGTGTTAAACTGCAAGGCCCCTCATGACTTATTGTTCCATTAGTCTCCTTTATTTTCCATTCCCACGAGGGTGTTTGGTTGTGCTTTTGTCCATGATTTATCTCTGTCCTGTGGTAAGTTGGATCCTCGGTATATTCCCTGTATCTTTCTAGGGTATCCCTCTTCGCAAAAGAGTTACCAGTGCTTTGATCCCGTTGGTCATAAGTTCTTTGTATCCATGGATGTCTCGTTTTTTGAGTCTAAACCATTCTTCCATGCTTTTCCTCAGAGGGAGAGTAATGTGGAAGAGGAGAAGTAGGTCTAGGTCTGTCAAGTCTTGCCTCCTTCTATTCCGGATCTTGCTCATTTTCGTGTTTTCCAACGTAAATGCCGTAGAGATCAGCAATGTGACAAAGATGTGGAGCCACCAAACATTGAGCAACCAACACCGTCTGATTCCCAGGAGGTAAGTCCAACTCCTTCTATTTCACCTATTGATACCCTGACTCTCATTTTGGTTGTGGAGGACCTTGACATTCGTATTGCTCATAGAAAGGGAGTCGGGTCATGCACTACAAAACACCCCATTACCCTGTATGTTTCTTATGATCACATTCATGGTTTAAAATGTTCCTAATTTCCTTAATATTTTCACAACATTTCCATTTCCATGGGTAGCGACACGAAATTTTACTAGAACAGACATTTCCCCAATGAACACTACCAGACCTATGTGGAGTACAAGAGATAGTACCCACGACATATTTCCATTTTCACTTCCATGGGTAGCAACATGTAATTTTACTAGAATTGACATATTCCTTTTGAACACTACTGGTACTATGTGGAGTACAAGAGATAGTATTATAACATAAGTTGGTGACAATATTGTAGATATGTGAAGTAACAAGTTATTGTCCACCTAACTTACATGATTGCAACTTTGAGCTAGCTCAATATTCATTTCAAACATGAAGTTAAATAATAATTTTTGTTTCTGTAATAGATTATTTGGTTGATTTGTTACAACCATTTGCATTTTCTAAGAGTTTAAATTTTGCTTTAACTAACTCTATCATGAAGTTCTAAAGCTTAAGGTTTACAAGGCAACTTCAGAACGTATTTTTTTGTCTATAATCCTAGTTTCTTAGTTTTGTTTAATAACTTGGAACATGACAATAATTTAAAAGGTGTGCCTATGCTTCTTTTGTCATTTCATTAAATATCATTCTATATTTTTCATATTTTACAATGTTTCCACCATGTCTATAATTTTTGCAATATTTTCATACGAAATTTCCGATATGTTTCTTATATTTGGATGACCAACATTTCCACTGACATCGACATTTTAAACCTTGATCACATTTCTCCCTCTCACCGTGTCTTCCTATCTGTAGTTAAGGGTGGATTCGAGTTGAGCCAAGCCGAATAGCTAGATATTCGAGCTTGGCTCGCCAAGGTAGTACAAGGCTCGAGCTCGGTTCAAGCTAGAACCTTGAGCTCGAGCTCGGCTCGAGTCAAAAGCTCGTAAGCTCAAGCTTGGCTCGACTTGAGAAAAATGTTTTATAAATATATATATATATATATAATATTTTTATTTGATATTTAAAAAATTAAGAATTATAATAATTAGTTATTATTATATATAAAAATAAAATATTATATATAAAATAATTTCTATAATTTTATATTATTATTATTATTATATGTAGTTATTCGAGCTGTCTCGCGAGCCTCACGAGCCGAACTTTATTAGGCTCAAGCTCGGCTCAATTAATAAACGAGCCTATAAATTGGGCTCGAGCTCGGCTTGAAGCTTGGTTGAAACCGAGCCGAGCCGAGCTCAATTAGCTCGTGAAGAGCTCGGCTCATGGCCACCCCTATTTGCAGTAGATAACATCCCCATACCCAGAAATGTGGCAAAGGCTTTAAAATATCCTGAATGGATAGATGCTATGAAGGAGGAGATTAATGCCCTCCATAAGAATCATACATGGGAGTTGATGGATCTTCCAAAAGGGAAAGATCTAGTGGGGTGTAAGTGGGTGTTTACAGTGAAACATAAGGCAGACGGGACAGTTGAAAGATACAAAGCAAAGCTGGTAGCTAAAGGGTACACCCAAGTCTATGGTGTTGACTATGATGAGACGTTTGCTCTAGTAGCTAAGATGAACTCAATTCGGGTTCTTCTATCATTGGCTGCAAACTTTGACTGGGAATTGCATCAATTGGATATAAAGAAGGCCTTTTTAAATAGTGATCTAGAGAAGGAGGTGTACATGGTTCAATCCCCAGGTTTCTGTGCCAAAGGGAGTGAAAATAAGGTTTATAGGCTAAGAGAGTCCTTTTATGGTTTACAACAATCTCTTAGAGTGTGGTTCAGTAAATTTCATATAGCGGTTTAACAAGTAGGGTTCAAACAATGTTAGTCTGATCACACTCCCTTTGTGAAGAGATGTTGGGAACAAGTGGTTGTGTTGATAGTGTACATGGATGATATAATCATTGTAGGAAACTGGAGCAAAAAAATACAAAAGTTGAAGGAATTCCTAGCCTCTCAATTTGAAGTGAAAGATCTGGGTCCCCTAAAGTACTTTATTGGAATTGAAGTTGTCTGCTCAAAAAGGGGCATCTTCATTTCTTAGAGGAAGTTTGTCCTATATCTGTTACAGGAAATAGGAAAGTTAGGTGCAAAACCAACCGATACCCCTATGGATGTTGATCATAAACTGGGAGATTGTGATGGTGAACCACTGAAAGATGTGAAACAGTTTCAAAGGTTAGTGAGAATGTTGCTTTATTTGTCCATTACACATCTAGACATTGCTTACTTAGTTGGGTCCTGAGCCAATTCATGCATTCCCCTAAGAGACACACATGGAGGCAGCAGAGAGGATCCTTAGGTATTTGAAGAAGTATACAGGAACAGGGTTGCTATTCAGCAAACATAATCATTTGAAAGTGGAAGTCTGTACAGATGCTGACTGGGCAGGTGTTGTGGATGATAGAAAGTCCAAAAATGTACTGACTGGGCAGGTGTTGTGGATGATAGAAAGTCCAAAAATGGGTACTGTACATTTGTAGGAGGAAATCTAGTGACATGGAGAAGTAAAAAACAAAGTGTAGTTGCAACTTGCAAGGTCAAGTGCTGAAGTAGAGTATAGGGCTGTGGCACATGGGGTGACTAAAGTTCTTTGGTTGAAGAACCTTTTAGGGGAACTTGGGTTACTGTCCACAATCCTATGTCCTCTACTGTGACAGTAAAGCAGCCATTAGCATTGCTAGCAATCTTGTCCTACATGATAGGACCAAGCACATTGAAGTGGACAAGCACTTCATAAGAGAAAAAATGGAATAGGGAGAAATTTGTACTCCTTATGTCAAATCCAAGGAGAAATTTGCTGATATTCTCACAAAAGGGCTTCCATACTTGCAGCACAGTGAGCTGCGACAAGTTGGGCGTGATGGATATATTCAGCCCAACTTGAGGGGGAGTGTTGTTGGATTTAATTGTTTTATTTCTGCTGTTAGAATGTTGTCAGCCTAGGCTGCTGTCAGCATGTTCTTTTCTCTTATTTAAGTTTTTCTTTTAGGGTGTGCCGCCAGGGACCTACTTGTAATTTCTTTATCTTTTATTTGTTACATCATATTATTATAAATTAGAAGCTGGGTGCCGCCAGCCCAATCTTTTGAATCTCAAACATCTTTCTCCCTTTTCTCTTCTCCTATCTTCTCTCCTCTCTCTTCTTGTAAGAAAACACACTTCAAACCAGCTTTCTTGTAACAAGATGAATACATACTCTGGACTTTAAATGCTTTTAGGTTTTGATTATCAATATATGCTTTGCTTTTTCTCCAATGGATCTATGTGCTTTGTGAAATTAATGAAATATGTAAAATGTTCTCCATGTGAGGAATATGGAATGGAATAACTTTTGTTGTGAGTGGTAGGATATTTGTCATTAAGCTGCTGATAACACTGGTTTTAATTTAATATGATTTTCTTTTATGATGTCCAAAGTTTCTAACCCTACTTAATTCATTGGTAAAAGCAAGGGGAAATCCAGAAATAAATGCTTCATCAGTTATCCACTCTATTTCAAAATGTCCATCATCAAGCCTTACAGAAAAGGTCATTTGTGGAGATTCTGTCAATTTGAAAGAAGCATGTGAGCCTGTTTTCTCTCATATGACTTTACCTATTTGTGAAAGGCAAGCTATTTTCTTAATTATGAACTGGACCATGTAGCTCTTGATTTGGGTTGGTTAGAAATGGAATGTTATCTTGTGATGGTTCATATGCTGAATATGGTTGTTGTATATGAAACAGTAACTGTATCATCTGGACATCAGATTGAGACTGTATCCCAGGAGAAGTAAGAAATATTTCTGTGTACACCTATCAACTGCATTCATTTCATATGTGCTTGCACTCATTCACATACATCTGTAAGGTGAATGCCATAGCTATCCTTGTACAGATTTAAAACTCTATGATTAAAGTGTGTAGATAAGCAACTTGCATCTCCTTTCTTTCTTTCTTTCTTTCTTTCTTTTTTCTCTTTTTTTTTGAGAGACGTCTGTGTCTTTACTTTACATGCTTCTGATTTGTGGATGTTCTGTATTGTGTGTGCTCTTCTGTGAAATGCTGACATTGCTATCACCTAACAGGGGTTTCTCCAACAGTCCCGATAATTTGCCACCTTCTTGTAACTATTCTTCCAAAGGAAATGGTGACAAAAGGAGTCACTGGAAGACAGATTCTGAACACCGTAAATGTCAAAAACCATGCTGAACACAACTTTTAGGAATTCGTACTTTCTATTTTTCTGTTGCTAGGTTTGCTGACATTAAATTATATAGGCTATTTGTTTGTATATTTGTTTAAGCATAGCATCCATCCCTTTCTTGACTTTTACCTTTACCCTCATTAGTTACTTTTTTGACCTCCTCATCTGTTGTGTTCTATTCCAGAGTTATCTGTTCTTGATTTAGTTGGTGGTGGTGAACCAAATAGTGATTCAGAAGAAAGTGTAGTACATGAAGCTCATGTTGCATTTTCTGTGCAAGGTATGGTCTTATTGTTGATCTGGAAATCAAGAGCCTTCACTAATATTAGGATCTCATTCATGATGGTTACACCTTTAGCCTCTGTATCATTCTGTAAAAAAAATTTCTTTAAGAGACAGATTTAGACATGTATTTTTATGTCAACGTATTGTGAGATAAGATCAAAATTGTCAACATACTTGCACAATAAAAGGGAGGAATGCTGACTTTGCAGATATATGGAAATTCTAAAGAAACAAAGGAAACTGATTTTTGATGGTAAAAAATGTTAGGAAATTGGTCTTCTAATCAATCAATTTTCTTTGGAAAAGCATTCATGAAGGGCAATCTAATTGTCATCTTCATGTTTTCCATTTGCCTTTTCTTTTCAAATGGTATGCACAATTATGGAGAGGACCATACTGTAATACCAGCATTATATCATCATCATCATCATCATCATCATCATCTAAGTCTTGTCCCAGCTATATGGGGTCAACTACATCAATCCTGTTCTGGCATTCAGTTCTGTTCAGTGCCATATCCATTGTTAAACTATGGGTCCTTGAATAATTTCTCACTAATTCAACCCATTATCCTTTTGATTTGCTCCTAGGTCTTCTAGTCATTTCAACTTATAACAGATTACTTCTTCTAGTCATTTCAACCCATTATCCTTTCCCTCACTTTACTACCTATTGGATCCATTCCTAGGTTCCTTCAAATAAGATCATTTCTAATCCCATAATTTCTAGTTTTCCCACTCATCCATCTCAAGCACTTCTACTACACTCATTTTTAAACATGTTGTTTCTTCAGTGCCCAACACTCTTTTTTATACAATACAACACTGCTGACCTTATAACTGTTTTGTAAAAAGTTTCTTTTAGCCTAAGTTGTATTTTCCTATCATACAAGACCTTGGATGCACCCCTCCATTTTTCCCATTCTACTCTAGTTCTATGGGTGGCATCCTCCTCGGTTTCTCTCTTGTTTTGGATTATCTAACCAAGCCAATGGAAAAGGTTACTTTGAGATATCACTTGGTCTCCAATCTTAAGTGTACCCTGAATTTTGCTCATAGTATTTATTGAATTTATGTCGCATATATTCTATTTTAGTTCTAATCTTGCATTTAATCCTTCTTTGTATTGATCAATTCATATTGTCATTAGCAAACAACATGTGCCATGAGACCTCCTCCTGCATGTGTTAAGTCAATTCATCCATGACGAATGCTGACCCTTGGTGAAGGCCCATTGTAACTAGAAAATTTGATATCTCTCCTACAAATATTCTGACATTGGTTGTTGCCTCCTCATACATATCCTTTATTAAGTCCATATACCTATTTCAGACTTCTTTCTCTTTAAAAACCCACCATATTATCTTTCTAATGACTCTATCTTGTGATTTCTCTAGGTTAATGAATACCATATGAAGATCTCTCTTCTTCTTTGTAAACTTTTATATATCGATCATCTCAATAAAAAGATTGCTTCCATGGTTGATCTCTCTGGCAACATAAACCAAATTCATTTTCTGATATACTTGCTTTGTATCTTAACCTTTTCCGAATCACTCTCTCTCTCTAAGCTTTACAATATGGCTTATGAGTTTAATCACACGATAATTATTGTAACTTTGCATGTCACTTTTTATTTCTAAATGTAGGAACCACAATGCTCTTTCTTCATTTGTTGGCATCTTATTTGTTTTCATTATCTTATTAAATAGTTTAATAGCCACAATAATCCTACCTCTACCATACCTTTCGAAACTTCCAATTGGTACATTTTAGTAACACTAGAGTTATTACTTATTAATCCCTTCCCCACCAGCACCCTCTATATGTTCTTCATTTAGTAAATACCAGCATGATACATGTATTTAACAATGGATATGGCATTAAATGGAATGAAGTGGAGAAACAGTATTCATGTAGCTGATTCCATATAGTTGGGATAAGTCTTAGATGATGATGATACTGGGAATGTGAATTCATATATAACTTTCTCTTGTTTGTCAGGTTTAGGTAAAGTGGGGATAGAAACACCATTTCATTCACCAAGCCAACCTGGCAGGTAATTTTATTTGGTATGGATTTTTGAAAATATTCCCTCTAACTTTCTAAGTATTGTATATAAATGAATCAAATAATTAAAAATGATGAGATTAAAGCTTATAGCGAACATCTTGCATTCTTGTGGGAAGCAAATTTGCAATGGTTGAGACAGTCTTTAGGAGTCTTATATTGATATTGCAGGAGCAGGAGTGGATCATATTTTGGTTGTTGCACGGAACCTTAGACCCTTCTTTTATATCCTAACTTGATTAAGAATAATGTGCTTCCTGTAGTTCATTATAATTTGAAGGATAGTGTTTTATATTGTGGTGCCTGTGGCGGATTGTTAAATAGGAGGAATGAGGCACCAAGTCTCCTAATGTGCACAAGGTTCATTAACAAATTTCATCAAAGAGCCTGTATGATGGATTTTCCCTAATATATCCTCCAAGCCTTCATTAAAGAGCCTGATTTAACTATTTTCATTGAAACCTACACATTAACTTTTAAAAATGTTTGAAGGAGTAAAAGCCTCAAAGGTGCAGTATTGTTTTCATGTTTCACATGCTGATGTCCAAAGTATGATCTTCTATAATTGGCTTAATTGTATGTTTGCTACACCATCCAAATTTATCACAACTGTCTTACTCACTTTCCACATTTGGCATTCGTCATATTTAGATTGCAAAAACTTGTCATTTTTAATAGAACATTTAGGAAGAAATGATAGTAAAAGAAACAAAAATTAATGGTGAACAGTTGTTAATTAATCACAATTTAATTCATTTTTTCCTAGAATCTAATTGTTTCAAATGTCTGGATTGCTGTAGTATGTATGTTAGTGTTTTTTGTGTTCCACACACACTTTTAACTTTACATAAAAAAGGCCATTACCCAATGTTGGTCCCAGCTATCTGGGGTTTTGGGAGGAGTAGACTGGGTATGGTCCTAACCTGGCATTTTCATACAGAAAGTGGCTGTCCTCAGACTTGAACCCACATTCTCATGCTTTCCAGCCCGAGATTTTACCATTGCACCAACTGTTTCAAGAATTACCTCTGGTTTATCTCAATTCTCAACTACTGACCAATTTTCTTGCCCATTTTCAGCTCTCTTGTGACATGGCTTGTGTAATTCTACATGCACGTGCATCTAATTTATTGCTAGCTAGTTGTATATGTTGTCCTATCATAACTACTTTGAAGTTCCTACTTTGTTAATGCAAAGGGGGAAATAAAGAATTTCTGGTTCTCTATCTGAAAGTGTCTTGAATTTTACATGGTTTATATTAGAATCTTCTCCAGCAGTTGTTCTTCACCATCAAATGCTGTAAGGCAATTTCACTCATACGAGGACCTTATATACGTCATGGATGATCTTGAGCATGAGCTGGTGAGAATTATACTGAGTAACTACTCTTTCTTATTTAATTGGCTGCATTTGGACCATTTTAACAACAGTCTTCCATATCATAAGAGAAAAGAATTTCTTGATGCACCAGAACTCTTTTTTCTTTTTCTTTGTTTAACTAAATAGTCCGGCTGGATTCTTGTTCTGGGGATGCAAGGTGTCTTCCATAAAGTTGTCCCCCAAACTTGTTTCTATTCTTGCAACTTTATGCTTTTTGTTAATAAAGATTCAGTTTTCCTTTATTGTCCATATCTATACATATTTTGATTTGTTCTCAGCTTGCTATTTTACCTAGGTAGTCCAGAAAGATACTCCAAAAGGTGTGATACATCAGAATATAGTGATGAAGGCAGGATGTATGCCTGGTTTTAGTTACTTAAGATAATTCATGGGTGTTTACCCTTTTATATCATTGTGAGGGCAGGACATGCCAGGTTTAGGGCCACACATGCCCAACCCTAAATCTTGGTCCTTACTTTGTTGGCTCAGGCTGGGTCCTGAACTTCCCATGGAAAAGTTTTTTGCAGGCACAGGTCTAGACAGAAGCCCAGAAGTCCAAGCTCAACCTGTGGAAAAGTTTTGGTCCTGTCCAAGTTGCAACACTAGATATCAATATAAGATATGCACCATACCTGCTACCTGAATTTGTCCATAGAAAAAAAGAATGTCCTTAAGTTATGAATCAATCAATATCCATACTCATTTACCAAAAGAAACTCATTTATTTTCCCATGCCCTTTGGCTCTTCAATATCCTGCAATTTGATTGATGTTCAGCTGTGGTGGTTTATAACACTTGGATACAAGATTCATCATCCATGGCTGAGTAGCAGACTGGAGAACAGTCCAATATAGTATTCTTCTAAATCTTTACTCTGATTTCTGCTTCAGGGGTTCAGCCTAGAAATCCCTACTGGAATGGATAATAAGGTTGGCTACTTCTCTGTAGGACATATAGATGAATTAAATTTTCATTGTGAATCTTTTGGAATAAAGACAACTCACAAATCTAGTAATGCCCTTGGTTATAGATTTACTTAACAGCTTCCCTAGGTTGGATTATTATGAGCTTGTGGATTTCATTCCAAGACTGAATTGTTGTTCTTATACTTGTGATTATATTATGTGAACCCACCCATCAGTAAGTTTGTTGTTTCAGTTCTTTCCTGTTATTGTTCACTACAGTGCAAAAAGCAAAAGCAACGTTTTCTATTGTTTGAAGGGTTCCATTAAACAATAGAGTTATTGATTAATACAAATTAGTGTGTTAATTGCAGGATGCCAAGTTACATGATATTAATTTACCACTTGCCAGGAGTGTTTTTGAGAGTCCTTTCATTTCAAGTAGCACAATGGATTGGTCTGGAAATCCAAATAGCACAAAATGTACTGCAAATGATTGCATGAAATTTGATATCTGTGATACTCAAACAGATAACTTTTTGGATGAGGAACAGTATTTCTACAACAATATGGATAAGAAAAATTGGAAGACTTGGAATGGTAATTTCCTCCTTTGTTTCTTCTCCTTTCCAGTTACATTGTTTTTATTTCATATCCAGAGCACTGTCATTCTGTTCTGCTCTGTTCAATACCATATCCATTGTCAGATTATGGGCCCTTAAATCATTTCTCACTACTTCAGCCCATGTCCTTTTTGGTCTGACCTTACATGAAGCATATCCTTTTTATTTGTTCTATGGATATGCTCTTGTTTCCGAATTGTACTTAAAATGATTGTCTTGTCATTAAGTTCTATGGATTGCTTTCTCTAGTCTATAAATGGAAACAATATACATGGAAAGAAATATTTTGCAAAGTTTTGGGATAGAAATTATCTCTACATGCAAGTAGAAGATAATTCACTGGAAGCATGGTTCTTTTTTCCATCTTTGCCTCTATATTTCCCAAATATGACAAGGAAACATCAGGCCAAGGTGTAGGGTACAAACCTTACATAAATTTGAAGTATCAAACACAATATGGCACCCTTGTACAAGTATCTAGGCATCAGCTTAGCCTTTATTTGTCTTTTTTCCCCTGGGGAGGGGTAGACTAAAAGCTTTCTAGGTGGTTAAAGTCTATAAGAGACCATTTCCTTGATCCCCTTTTGAGGTTGCAGGTGCTTTGTTTGTTGTACAAAGGTGGCTCTAATTTCTTCCTACACCCACTGTGTTTGGAGTCAGGGGACTGAAGTGGAGACATTGGACAATTTCAAAATTCTATGGATTCTAGAATCACTTAATGTTATCTTGGTGCCTTGAATTCCAGATGTGTTTGCTTCATGACCCGGCCTGAATTAAGTTGAGAAAAACCCGGAGGCAAAATTTCATAGTGGTCTGTTGCAGAAGCGCAGATGGTTTGCAGTGAATGTCTGTTTCCTCAGTCACTTGATTTGCAGTTGCTCAAGTCTATTTTGCAGATGGTTGTTGATTCACAGTTGCTCAAGGCTGGGTTGATAAGTCACACGTTCCTCTCTTGGTCTAATTGGAGCTAACTCGATTAGGGTTTTTTTACATAAATATCTTATTGTATCTTGTGCCACAAGCCATCTTGTATCTTGAAAGTCAAGAAAAGAAAGAAGGCGGGTGTGTGTGAGATAATTTGATAGTAAAGGTACTTTAGGTGTATTGGGAGATAGGGTTTGGTGAGAGAGGTAGTAAACATGGTGACTGTAATCTCTACCATTTGATAGTGGATTTCTTCTCCTTTGATGCCCGTGGACATAGGCTATAATCTGAACCACATAAATCTCTTTTTGTTCTTTGAGTTGTTCTCTTTTGTGTTATTTTTTCTTCTCCTGTTTTCTCTACTTGCCCATCGTTTATAGTTCCTGGGTTTGTTTGTTCCCCAACACTTACTCTCCTATGCATTTGAAGTAGCATGGAATTCAGTATCTAGTGATTCTAGGTCTGCCAATTTTGTATCTTTTGAGGATTTCTAGATTCTCAGGGTGGGTAATTACTTAATTCCGTTTGGGCCTGGGTGAGGGGTGAGCTAGCCTGCTCCTTTTTTTAGGGTTTATTGTAAGGTTTTTTCCCTTGGTTGGCCTTTGTGGCTTGTTTTTTTGTTTCTGTTTTGGTGTAAGGCCAAGTGTTTTTGTCTCTTGCAGTGCGTGGCCCATCAGTGATTTTTGGGTCACTTCTTACCTTCGTATTTTCTCTTGTTTTATGAATCCATACACTTAATTTTTGTTGAATAGAGTAATCCAGACACAGATTAAGTGATTCTAAATGAGTTGGCTTCCTATAGAAAAGAAAAGTATTAAGTTATTTGTATCAACACATGTTTTCTTATAACTTTCTCTATCAAGTTCAAGTTATAAGTCCTCATTACGTCATTTTCTTACCAATTCAGATCACCTTTTATTTGGTCTTCCCCTTGTTCTTTTAGAGCCTTGTACTTGCACAAATTGACTCCTCACTGGTGCAACCATTTATCATATGTACACATGACCAAACGATTTTCAGTTGACTTTCCTTCATCTTGCAACTAATTGGACTTCATTAATTGGTAATTGTTTTTCTAAAAATGTTAAATTACTGTCATATTTGTGTTAAAATTCTGTGCTCAGTAATGACATTAGGGTACATGATGCACATAATCCACTTGTTATTGAATCAGCCTTAATTGCAAATTTGCAATATCCCCTACATGAGGGACTTCTGTTTCTATGTCAATGGTTTGGGAGGTGGAACTGCATCTTATGCTTTTATCTTTCAGTTTTTATGGAACTTGATGTGGACTTTACCTGGGTGTTGATTCATCTTTTTGTTAACCCCACCAGCTAGATCTAGCTTCCTTAATGACAACTTTCTTGACGGGGGAAGCTATGATGTTGCATGGAACAGCCGATCATACCAGGGTGGTGATTCTCCTAGGTTTTTGAGAGCTGAAAAACATGAAGCATCTGAATCTGCTTTTCAAGGCTCTTATTTACCAAATAAAAGGTTATCTCTTTAAATTGAGACCTTTTTTTTATTTGTTAATATTATTTTCAACTTCATGAATTATTTATATATTATGTCATCTGTGCAGGGATGCAGACAAAGTACCCAGAAGATACAACATTTTAGGTGCTTCCCTTTTCATCACAACTGTGCAACAGTGATGCTAAAACATCTCTTTGTTATCTTTTCCTTCAATTATGAAACTAAAGTATATTATCACTGCTGGAAAATAAAACATATTGTCCATCATAAAAAACCTGAAACATATTACCATTCAAAATAAAGAAAAGAACCTAGAACATATCTTCAATGCAAATACTCCCCCTGTGTGTGTATAAATTTTTCGTGTCATTGTTTGTCTGCTTAGGTCATTCTGAAATGGGGAAAGGTTAATAATTTAGCATGTCAATATAGATAAATGGTTGGTATAATTAGCAAAATCCACACTTTTGTGAATCAAACATGATAAGTGGTGAACAGAAGGGGTAATGTTTCTCATTGAAAGATTTGTTGGTTGGGTAATTAAAAAATCACTAAGATCCATAGTTATTCACAGCAAGTGTTTAACTTATTATGGTAAGATAAATTCCTTGTCTTGCTTTTTTTCTGATTGTCTCTAGATCTGTGGATTGATCTCCATAAGCGATACAATTTTTAAAATAATTTGCTATTAACTTTTCCATTATTCATGTAGTGTTAACATTTAATACATTAAAAGAAATTTTGGTCTACATAGATAACTCTGGCCTATTCTTTTAAGAAAGCGATTGTCCTCTTTTCTTATTTGATAAATTTCTCAATGACTGTGGGAACCAGAATCAACTGCTCCATACTGCAAGCACCCAACACCAAAAAAATATGGCTTCATAACTTCAGATGGGAAAAGGTATGCCAGATTTAGAGGAATATGTAAATAAGTGCATTATAAGTGTGCTCATGTAAATTGTGTCTAGGTATCCTTCTGTGGGTGGGAGTTGGGGTTTTCATAGTGTTCTTGATCAACCAAGTTGGTCTTATCTTTCAAAAGAAGATGCAACAGATGGCATGAGCTTGTTGAGGTAAATCTTAGGAGCATCTCTTGTTGACATTACTATCATTTTTCACTCTAATGATTGTCTTGAGTTTATTTTGATTGATATTTGTTTCTTGTGCCTCAATGTTATTACAGTGAAGAGTCATGCTCCTCCAGTGCAGGTTATCTTATTGTTTCAAGAGCTAATTTGTTTATGTGAAATTATTTCTTTTGGGGGCATTTGGATAAAGAACAACTTTATTTGTAATATTATTGCCAGTCACATAACATTGGCATTTAATCCAGGTGTGCATAATTCAGAATGGTCATCATAAAAATTACCGTAAAATGTAAATATTTATTTATTTCTAAAAAATTATTTGATTTTGGTAATGATGCCATTTTGAATGATGCCTCCTGGCATACAAATGCCCTGGAGTTATAATATTGAATCAAGTTATTAGTATATCAAATGCTCCATACAGCATCCTATTTCTTCAGAATAATTAAGTGATTTCTTCTATTATTCCTGTTGCTTGTTAGTGAAGGGAGAGAAACCCATTAATTCAGTATCAAACGTGATGAAATTGAAACAAAGCATGAGAAGAAACGAAAATGAGGTGCACATTAGTTCAGAAAACAACTGTGGTATGAAGAATATATATAAAGAAACAAAGTGCAAAGACATGGATGAAACTCACGGAAGGAAAACCTTGAATGGGTCAGGAAAGTATAGAAAGGTGCATGATCAGTTGAAGTCCAATTCGATTCATTACACAGGAGAGCCTTACACTCTCCAGAAAAGTTTAGAATTGCAGCACTGCCACTTGTTTAAGGAGGAAGGTTCAATTGACATAGGTTCAGGACTGGGTTCTTTCAGTAAAACTTCTGCAGAAGATGAAGATCTCTGTGCTAAACTCTCAATTCCCAAATTATATCCCAACATACAATCACCTAGTAAGAGATCAAAGTGTAATTTTCCTGTTGAGTTTGGGCCTTCTGTCAGCTTCATCTCTGGAAAGACTGCTTTCTTGCAGCCACCTAGTCCTGCACGTTATCATGACTTCCCCACTTGCTTAAACACAGCATCTGGGTCAAGCAAGCCAGATATCTGTCTTGAAATGGAAGACAAGCCTCCATGTTCATCTTGTGTTGCTGACTCTGAAGGGGAGTTGGTATTTTCTGATTTATCCAGGCAGGAACATCTTGACAAAGATGAAAATAAACCGGAGTTTCAGAAAAATGACTACCTGAAGTTTATGAAGAAGCAACAGACAGAAATTTCTGCTGCAGATGGCGACTTACCCTCACGAAGTGGAAGGACAAAGGATGCTACAGATTCGAAGGATAACTGCAGTGAATGCAAGGGGTCAAAAGCTGAAGCTCCTGAGCTAAATGAGAGGCCAAAGACAAAAAGTCATATTGAACATGTAGAAGATATATCTTCAACTGTGATGGAGATGTCTGGCAAGCTTGAGAATGGTGTAAATGATGACAAGTAAGTGCTGTTCTGATATATCCCCGTTTTCTATCTAGTAAGACAATAATGAAAGCTTAGAATTTTCTTTTACTAATAACTTAAACTGTTGTTATCAGATATGGATTTGATGCTCAAATTCATCATCCATCTCAAAGTGAGAGTGAAGGTGTTTATTTTTCTGTTTTAATTAGATAGGTCACTGCCTTTTATTTTAGTCACTTCTGACATATTCAGTGAAATATTCCTGATATCCTAGTGCAGGGAAAGAAGACTCTGGATCCAAGAGGAGAAACATTAATAGTAATGGACTGAATAATAACATTGACCCATCTTACGAGGTAATGATTCAAACTTATGTTCTTCAGCTTCTGTGCGTGCAGAAGGTGCTGAAGGAAGCATCTCAGGACACTATGAAGAAAGTGTGATGCTTGTCTCATGCCTTTAGTTTTTAGATAAAGAGAGTTTAGAATTTTTATGGACACTAGATAATGAAATACGTACTTTAACTGCCAAGTACGAATGACATTTGAATCCGAGTTATACATTGCCCATAGTTCCCTTGTTTCACATTTTCACAATTCCACTCATAAGGCCCAGTTTGGGAAAAGTGCAAATACAAATATGCACGGTGCAAATTCAAGGCCCAGAGTTGTACGTAGAATCTCTCTGAAACTCTTGATCAACACAAAAACGGTAGACTCGTCTAAGGTAGTCGCAACTGAACCATTTTAGCTCCCAAGATCTTATTGCAAGTCTATTCATCAGACCTGAGAGAGGAAGCTATATCGTTTTTGCCTCCCGTTTGGATTTATTTTATTTTATTTCATTTATCTTGCTTTGGAGTATGAAGTTTGAATAAAACATGCAATGATACCAATGTTTAGAGAACCGGACCGGGCATAGAACTGGAGAAGGGAGAGGTTTATGAGTTAGAGGTTTGACTCGGGTTGAACCAGAGGTCGAAACATTGGTATAGATGGTAAGGTTAATTTTTAAAATAAATGATTAGGGTTCAAGCTTTTTAACTTGCATTTTTTTTTTTAAATATGTGTATAATAATGTATATATATAATAAATAGTTATTAATTAGTGTAAATAAAGAGGTGGATTAGTGGTAATTAAGTAATATGTGAAAAGAAAAGGTTTTGGGTTCAAATCTTATTAACAACATTTTAAAATTTCACTATGTATGAAACCCAATGGCTTCATGAAATTGGGGCCGGTTCATTGGTTTTCTGATTAAACTGGCCAGTCAACCGGTTTTAAATAAATCCGATTATTGGGTGTGACTGAACCGGTCAGTGAGACTTGGGTCACTGTTCAACCGGCCGGCCGGCCAGTCTGGTTTTCTAAACATTGAATGATTCTACCTGCACTGGTGCGGTCATGTCCACACATTAATAGACATTCGAAACAAACATGTGAAGGAGAATGCCAAGCCGACCAAAGGCCGCCGTCCAAATTAAATCCCTTCATCTGTATGATTGAGAAACATATATATTTGACTCAAAAATATCCGTTACGTTGGTAGAAAAGAAGCATAAGAAACAATCTTAAAATAATTATCATCCATGAATGGTCTTTTACGGACTGGTACATTTCTACTTTCAACTAAAGGGTCAAAACTCTGCCAGGTCTTCAGTTAAACGCTTCTTATATTCATTCATGTTCAGCTGTCTGTTTACAGTTTACCTTCTCCGGCAAAGCCCCCATTGCACTGTTTGCTAAACTGTATCATATGGCCTCTCAGGTAGTGTTTGGAAACGGTGCAAATAAAGTGTAAATCCCGGTTTAGGGTAAATTTACACTCGGGTTCATTTTTGTTTGTGTTTGACAATATGGTCTTCCTCCCATTCAGACACCTGTCCTTCCAAACTCAGAAACAAATTAGGCATGTGTCTTATTCTGATTAGCTGTCTTTCAATAAAGCTGTCTAACATACATAGTTGATCCTTCACAATGTTATATCATGTGAAGTAGGAATTTCTTACTCTCAATCCTTTTCAAAAAAAATGGTAAATGGAAATTTAAGCACATTATTTCAGGAAATAGGTAACTCATGAATCAACAAACAAACAGAGAAGTTTGTTTTTTATACAAAAGTACTATAAAAAACAAACTGCTCTGTTTTTTATAGTACTTTTGTATTTCAATTTTGTGTTTCAGTCTCTATTCAATCCGGTTATGGAGCACAAACGATTACAGGATTAAGCTTTTAAGAAAATGGCATTAATCATATACAAAATGAGATTGCCGACCATAGATGACCATTTTTGTCTGGCCGCCGGTGGCCGAGAGTGTCATAAGAAGGTGGATACGATCACCTGAGAAGAAACTTCTGTCTGAGATACAAACTATTTGTTGTTTATTTAATACCTTTGATAACAGGGTTTAAATTTAATTTAGATGACATCGCTAGCCACCGGCGATCACTTATGGGTGGCTGCCGGTGGCCGGGATGGTCATATTAAGTATTTATAGGCTGCCGTTGAATTGTTTTAGACCACAACATCGTCTGAGAAGACAACGGCTCAAATGAGAGTATAGAGGCTATTCGGTTATTAATTAATAATAACAGTCACTAATAATTAACATTTAATTAATAACCCATCACCGTACTGGATGTTGTAAATGCATGTGGACATTGTGGAGGCAGAGCAGCCCATAGGGGAATTGGTTGCACTCATCTGCACTGTAAATTATAGAAGTATATTACTCCCACAATGGTTTTGTTTTAAAAAATTTGAATGAGTTTCGGCACGACTGTTCTCAAGCCCCTCCTCTAGAACTCTTCCGCCATCAAATTGAAATGCCAAGCAAAACAGTTGCATGCACAAATCCTTAGGAGGAACAATAAAGCTTCTTCCTCATCTCTCATGGCTATCGTTCTCTCCATCTATTCGCATTTAGACCTTCTACACGAATCCCTTTTCATATTCAACACATTTCCTTTGCCTCCCTCTCTTTCTTGGAAATCAATTATCATATGATGTACTTCCAATGGCCTTTTACTCCAATCTTTGATCTCCTTTAACGAAATGAGGGCTACTAGCAAATGCCCAGATCACAATATTTTCCCTTCTGTTCTAAAATCTTGCACCTCCTTGATGGACTTGAAGCTTAGTGTGTCAATTCATGGATGCATTATTTGTCTTGGTCTGGAATCTGATTTTTATACAGGTAATGGGCTTATGAACATGTACTACAAGTTGCAAACCACTGACAAAATTGATAGACCAGAATCATACACCACCAATATCTTTGAATATTGAATGTTGTTATTTGTGACAGTATTTCGTGCACTGCTTCCACTAAATCCATGTTAGGTCGCTCCCGATGTCAAAGATAAGGAAGAGATCAATCATTGGGCTTCCCAATCCCATCCTCACAATGTAGTTGCTGTAGCCCAAGTACCGCCCAGAGTGGGCTGGGACTCTAGCCTCCGACTTCTTTACTACAGATCCTTTAGAATTGTTGGAGAGTCTAGACTGGAGGAAGTCGACTCAGGACTAGTCTTCAGAGAGGATCTTGATGGCTGAGTGGGAGTGGTTTTGTATTCCATCCGCCCAGGTGGGAGCATGGTGTGTTTCTGTAAACTATCTTTAGTCTACTCTTGCTGTTGTTTGGACCTAATATTAACTTGCAGAAATTGAGAAACTTCATTAATCTGATCTACAAAGAAGTAGTTTAAAGTTCAAACTAACTGTGAATTATGTGTTTAATTAACCTTCGACAAAAGTGGAGCAGGCTGTTTGCTGCTTTGGCCCATCAACGACTACCGTCTTCAATATGATATGATGTTGCACATCTACCTCTCATATTCAATAAGAAATTCCCAATTTTTCATAGTTTCTCATGAATACATTTTTAGATTTAAATTTTACCACCATAGCGAGAAAGTTTTAGCATAACAAAATCATTAAAATGATTGGTCAAGTAAACAATAATTAAATAAAATTTATTAATAAAATAATAACATTATTAAATTTAACATGACTAAAAAATGATTACATTTAATATGACTATTTAAATTATAAGAAACTGATTGAATAATTAATGAAACAGTTAAATAATAAAACATGAATCAATATTATATAAATGATTAAACAATTATAAAATAATTAATTAAATGAAAATATTAAATGATTAATGAATGGATAAAAGCAATATATGAAACTACCTTAATGAAATAGTCATTATAAATGTTTTATATGGTGTTGGTCTTTTAAAAATAGGATGTTGATTATAGATTAAACCTGATTTATTTATTTTTTAAAATTAAACAAGAAACTTAAATTGAACTTATCATACAAGTATAAGTTGTGAATCTCAAATGAAATAATAAATAGTGTAGACCCATTATTCTAAAATATGGTAAGTCTCTTAAATCAAATAAAAACCTAACCTAAATTTCTAATATAGATGATTTTTTTAAAAAACTTAAATAGTTCAGACCAATGGCCCTGTACTTAGTACGGGGGTCATTCCTAGGAATGACAAAGATTATAAGTCAATCTTTGATTACTGGATCAACAACTATAATTGAAAATCCTCTGAGAAAAAAATTTGTGCGGGATTAGATTATGAAGTAAGATCTTTAGACCAATGGCCTTGTACTTAGTACGGGGGTCATTCCTAGGAATGACAAAGATTACAAGTGAATCTTTGATTACTGGATCAACAACTATAATTGAGAATCCTTTGAGAAAAAAATTTGTGCGAGATTAGATTCTGAGGTAAGATCTTACATGTTAAGATTGAGAATGGATTTGAAGGTCATTACTATTGTTAAAGCACCTAAAAGAATTCAATTTCATGAAAGCACAATCATATTTGTTAGTGGAAAATAGAAATATAAAAAATATGTTTATTTATTTTTCCATTGTATGACAATTATTCTTCTTTCTTACCTATGTGATTTTATTATTGTTCATATAACTTTCATTAGACTATTTCATTTATAAAGTGTTCATTATTATTTATAAAGTTATTATTTCTATAATGAAGACTGTGAATTCATATAACTGTCATTATCAAATAGTTTCAAAACTGAAAACTATTTCTTTTCAAAAATTGATTATATATATAATTAACTTCCCCATACTGAGTACAGGGTCATTCACTAGTTTACATTGATAATAAAATATAAAAATACATTAATAAAAAAGAATTAAATTTGCATTCAAGTAGGTTTTTGATAAAAAAGGCATAAATTTTATTAAAATTCTTGTTTACTTCATTACAGCTAAAAGTTTGTTTGGTAAGAAAGTAAATTTGTCGGTACAAAACTAACCCAACTTTACAATTTATATGAACCATTTTACACTTTACATATTTGCATTGTTTCTAAATGTAGCGTTTGTTTACGTCTGATTTCCAGAGGAGCTTCAAAATGAACTCTTGAACTCCTTACTCCAAGCACTTGGTTGGACAAAATCAAGTCCAAACGGATTAATCTCATCATTCATGCATATTGAAGTTGCGAGAGTAGGGAAAAGAATGGGAGGATATAGTAGAACTAGTATTTCTTTGTCCATGCGAGATGGGATGTTCTCCGATGACATGACGATGATCGGAATCTCTTTCATGGTGGATGACTCCTGCAAGCGGACATGTCTTGATCCGTTAGATTTTATTCCATTCTATGAAATTGATATCAAGCAATAAAGATGACGGCAGAATCCCCTCCATTCTAAATAAAGGATTGGAAGTGAAGAATGAGAGATGATGAAATCCACACTGAGAAGTAATAGTTTGCCTCAATTTTAGTAGGTAGTGGCCCTGCCCCTGGCATACAATAATCAGTAAGAATCTAGTTTACCTTCAAGCCCTACACACAGAGAGAGAGAGAGATTTACCAAGTAATGATCAGAAGAGTAGAGGAGAAGGGCTTTTGGGAGAAACTGTGGATGTTTATGATTATAGGGCATTTGGACTTTAATTAGGTCGAGGGATTTCTCATCATCAATATCAATGAAATACATCAAAATTGAGGGTAGGGAGCGTTTTGCACTATATCTCCATCTCCACATGTCAATGTGGGCAATGGGATGAGTTGTAGGATTCATTCTCTCTCTCTCTCTCTCTCTCTGGTATCCATTCATTCATGCATGCATGGCAGTAGCCAGTAGGGGTGTCAATTGGACTGGATTTGGTACAATCCGGTCCAGTCCAATGTGAGTCTATTATAAATGGATTAAGTCCATAAATGTTTTGGATCAATTTGGATCAGTCTAATTTAATATTTAAACAGTTTAATCTGTTTAAATTCATTTTGATTTAGATTAATTTCAATCCAAACCTGATCCATTGACACATATATTCTTATCTTATATTAATGAACCGGATATTAATTTAATCCAATTCAATCTAATATAAATTTATTATGAATGAACCAGGTCCAATCTAATCTAATAAATATTTTGGATCAAATTAATTCAATCCAATATATCTTATTGATTTTGGACTGGACGGATTCAATCTAAAACCGGTCAATTGACACCCTTACATTGGCAGTGGCACTATCCTTTAACGTTATCACAATAGGTTTACTTGATGTCAAAATGAAAGACATAAATATCCTTGACATGTCAATTCAATGGTGAGAGTGAGAGTAAGAAATTCCGTACCATCATACTGCTTTCCAGTTGCCACATGTCTATGTATATCATGCACGTGATATAAGTGCACTGCTAGGACCACCTCACCATTGGATTTACATCTGCCGCGTATTATAATAATAATGGCCATGTGGACAAGTCCAAGTAAAAGCCCCTCTTTTGTATTTTAATTTTTATATATTATTCGTCCAATATAATTTTTGCCGCATTTTTATTTAACAAACAAACTAATTACTAAATACTAATTAGGGTTCTGCAATTAATATCACTATCCATTCTCCGAATCTTGATCCCTCCTCTACTCATCCCATGTCACACCCCCACACTATCCATCATTTCGTCTCCTTTTACGATTATTACTACCACTGCTACGAGTACGAAATGTTAGAATAATAAACAAATATCATTATTTCTTTAGAAGGGTGAGTAGGTGAGGTGAGGTGAGATATTTTCATTTTGGATGATAAAAAGAAGGATGAGGATTAAAGTGATGTTTGGTGATAGATACAAGGTTATTCTAAAAAGGAGGAACACTTCTACACTTGATCTCCGATCCAAAATCCAAAATCCAAAACCACGTTGCAACTTCCTTTCCTTTGCTAGAATGAACCAATGCAGTATTAGCGGGGTTGTTTGGAAAATGGTTGGATTGGAGTTGTGAGGTTTAAGACATTGGGTTGGACCGTTGGATTAGATATTGGAGTTGACGTCAACCCAATCCAAACTGGCCCACATTGCAGCCCAACACAATCTCAAGAGGAAGAGGTCAGTACTCAGTGGAACTAGAATCCTCTAGGCGGCACGTGTTTTGCATGTAAGGTACGCGATGCTGGCTTAGCGGTCAGGAGTCGTTCTTCAACTGGGTGGTGGGCCCCTCAGAGCTATGCTACTTTATTTTTGTTTTCTTTCTCAGTTCTCACAAATGCTTTTTTTTTTTTTTTGTGGCAGTTTCACTTCTCACAAATCAAATGTTGGGCTTATTTAATTAATTTCTATAATCTATACTAGTCTACATTGGACCAATATCGATCATCCTGACCGTTGATTGATAAGGATTTAAGGATTACATACTCAATTCACTTATACAAGGACTTTCCCCATCTAACCGGTGCAATAACGTCTCCAAAAAGAAACCATGGATTGGAATCGGAATGACTTGTCGTATCCAACCAAGAACGCTATTATTCCTATCAGATGGTTGTCAAGGGTTGGTCTCATTAAAATTGGATAGTTTCAGCTTTCAAGCCAAATGTCAATGAATTAAATTGATTTTTTTGATGGATTAAATTGATTGTTAGATATAAAAATAAAAATAGAGAGAGTCGCGACAGATAAGTAAAAGAGAAGTTGTTTAATTAATTACCACTGAGCTTCCATCCGTGACGATTTTGGATTAGACTACAATATAGATTGACGGATCTCCGCAGTTTTATTTGTTGTCGTCGAGCGGTGGATGAATACGATTACAATCTTGGAAAGAAGTTTCTCGTTTCAGATACAGACACAACCATCTCCTCTTTCTTCACAACTTCACCTTTCCGATTAAGCAAGCTGAAGAGCTTAGCAAAACTAACTAGAGTTTGAATGCACCGATGATCTACCTGTGACTGTGAAGATCTTTTGAATTTCATACTGTTTTTTTTTTCCGATCTAAATTTTAACTTTTGAGGGAAGGAATAAAAATAGAGCACTTTATTATGATATGAGTTTTATTTTTATATTTTGTTAAGTAATGTGATGCGGGTTTTCTTTATTATTGAACTTCTGTGATCTGGTGGTGTCCTTTCTATTCTCGATTTGGGTTCCTCTGTTTCAGTCGGTTATTAAGAGAAACTGAGCAAGTAACGTATTTGGTTTGGATTCTCTCTTCTGGAGAGAAGATGAGGGAAAAGCTACGATTTTTCATCTGGGCTTTGTTTCTCTGCGGTTCCTGTCTCGGTAGATTTGTGGTGGAAAAGAATAGCTTACGGGTGACTTCACCGCAGTCATTGAAAGGTGTTTACGAATGCGCAATTGGGAATTTTGGTGTTCCTCAGTATGGCGGCACCATGGTTGGGACTGTGGTTTACCCGAAAGTGAACCAAAAGGCATGCAACGACTTCGACGAGGTCGATCTATCATTCAAATCGAAGCCTGGAGGTCTTCCGACCTTTCTTCTTGCTGATAGAGGAGGTCAGTTATGTTTTGTTTGCATATGCTTTTATATTTTTCGAACCGGGTAACTTTATAGCTTCCTTGAGTTTTAATTTGTTTGCGACATAAATGCTTCCTCGTGATTGATCAATTCTGTGATCTATGAGTTTATGTTGTTTATTAATGACGATTCTTTTTCCTTTTCCTTTGCTCGGCTTGTAGTGGAAATTTTTAGTTTGGTGGCTTTTGGGTATTAATTATTGTTTTTTGGGGCATTAACTACTTAACAGTTGCATTTGCAATTTCCACCTGGTTTGAGTGTATACCTTCTATATTATCTTGAATTGGGCTCTTCTCAATATAAAATGTTTCACATCTCATCCCTGGTTGCCGAACCGAGCTATACTCAAATGCTCTTATTCTTACCCATTCTACCGTGTGAACCTGTTTTCTAGTTTTGGCATCTGATGTTCTGGACCCAGCAGATTGGTTTAGGAAGTTCGGGAACTGATCTTGATGTCTCTTGCATTATATATAGACCTTGTTTCCCGTGCTTTCTGATAACTTGGTTTTCCATAGATTCATATACACGCGAACTGAGAAAAAATGAATCATGAAAACTTGCTTCTAACCGATAAGCCTTCAATTGCTGGCAGATTGCTTCTTCACCTTGAAGGCATGGAATGCGCAGAAAGCTGGCGCAGCAGCTATACTTGTTGCTGATGACAAGATTGAACCTTTGATCACCATGGACACCCCAGAAGAAGAGAATTCAAGTGCTGATTATCTACAGAATATCACCATACCCTCGGCACTTATTAGCAAGAGTTTTGGGGACGGCATAAAAAAAGCTCTATCAAATGGGGACATGATTAACATTAATTTGGATTGGAGGGAATCACTCCCCCACCCGGATGAGCGGGTTGAGTATGAATTCTGGACAAATAGCAATGACGAATGTGGTCCTAAATGTGATAGCCAGATTGAGTTTGTCAGGAACTTCAAAGGAGCAGCCCAGATACTTGAGCAGAAGGGCTACACTCAATTCACCCCACACTACATTACTTGGTACTGTCCAGAGGCTTTTACTTTGAGCAAGCAGTGCAAGTCTCAGTGCATAAACCATGGGAGGTATTGTGCTCCAGATCCTGAACAGGACTTCAGTAAAGGGTATGATGGAAAGGATGTAGTGGTTCAGAATTTACGTCAGGCTTGCCTGTTTAGGGTTGCAAATGAAAGTGGAAAACCATGGCTTTGGTGGGACTATGTAACTGACTTTTCAATTCGCTGCCCAATGAAAGAGAAGAAGTACACCAAGGAGTGTGCAGACCAAGTCATCCGATCTCTTGGTAGGTTCGAACATTTTAGCTTTGTTCAGATATCAAATGGTTCTAAAGTGTCTGTATGTCTTTTTATGCCTTTAATTTAGGTTGACATGCTTACCTTGAAGGAGAAAAAGAAATGAAGTAGACTATGCAATTCATATGTCTATAACTCAATCTGGAGGATGTTAGTATCTCTCTTTTTTTCCACTCTATTCATTCCGGAAGTTTTATCTATTCAGTAGTTTTTTTTCGAAATTCATACTGTCAAATTTAGTTTAATTATTTTTTATAATAAACCCCCTTTGACTCCCCCCCCCCCATGCATGAATTATTAGGAGTTCCAATATGCATGGTTGTTAGTATATGATCATCCAAGAATTAGCCTCTGGCTTAGTGGCCTTGATTTTTCTAAATTTAAAAAATATAGAAAATACATAGTTATGTATTTTTTTTGGAATGGTAAATGTATAATTATGTATTCTATCAGAAGCCAATTTCCTAGTTTGCTCCTTTCTTTAAAGGAAAATTGATAATGGTTATCAACCAACGTATGCATGGATGGTAGTCAAGGTTATCTTATAACTTCTAATGTTAAATATTGTTATGGATTGACATATCTTAACAGGTATTGATCTGAAGAAGATAGACAAATGCATTGGAGACACAGAGGCAGATATTGAAAATCCAGTGCTTAAAGCTGAACAGGATGCACAGGTTATCCAGTTCTTTCATGGTCACCTATGATGTAATTGTATCCTTTTCTCTTCTTCATCTTATTCCTTATTTTTGTTGTACTGATCTTGTCTTTGATCCCATATTTAGATTGGCAAAGGTTCTCGCGGAGATGTTACGATACTACCAACTCTTGTCATCAATAATAGACAATATAGAGGTCTGAAACAGTTAATTTAAGGCCTATATGCAGATCTATCTAATGTTATTCTCCCTTTTGATCTCTAATATTTATGTTCAACTGTTGCAGGTAAATTGGACAAAGGAGCTGTTCTTAAAGCAATATGTGCAGGCTTCCAGGAGACTACTGAGCCAGCTGTTTGTTTAAGTGAAGGTTAGAAAATCTATTTCAGCGTGTCTGCATTTATGTACCTTGTTGATATTGCTCTAATACCAGTGATCCATTATACCGGTTGTTATATAGCCTGGTTTACTGTGTATATTCTGTTAACTCATCTGTCTCATTCCATAAGGCGGCCATGTCCTGGTGGGGCATGTAGCCTTGAAATTAAACCACCTGGGTAGCCAACTATCCTTGTCCATGTATAAACCTTTTCCCCCAACCATTCTTTTTAGCTTGCCTAATTCTTAAACCCTCCGAATCTTGGGTAGGATTGGTTGTGCGATGCTGGCCTTATTTCCATCATGTATGTCCTATTACCTGTTAGTGAAAATTGGTACTCATCTCTCTACAATTCCTGCAGATATAGAAACAAATGAGTGCTTGGAAAATAATGGTGGATGCTGGCAAGACAAAGCTGCTAACATTACTGCTTGCAAGGTACTCTCTCATTTCAACTTTTTTGTCTTGCACATCCTTTCCCCTCTTCTTTCATGTTTTTCTTTTTCTTTCAGTTAATTTTTAAATAATACAGTTGGACTATGAGCTATTTCTCATTTTTACTTCACCACCTTCATTTTTTTTTGTATTTGTTATTATAAATTTATAATAACATATACCATTTCTCTTCTCAATTTATATAAATTTTCTGTTGAGTCTTTTTTTACCTTTGGTGATACTTCTAATGTTTTTCACATTAACTCTCTATAGGATACATTTCGAGGAAGAGTGTGTGAGTGCCCTGTTGTTCGAGGTGTGAAGTTTGTTGGTGATGGGTATACCCATTGTGAAGGTAAATGCTATTTTGTGCTTAAGATGCCTGCATATGTGTTCATTTACATAAATCCAATGCACTTTTCTGTTTCACCAATCTACCAGCTGACATATAGTATTGCATATCAACCTCAAAGTTAGAGGTTTCTAAATTCTGGTGTATCATCTGATCATTGATAGCTTTGATCTCCATTTCTTACTTCTCTCATGTATGTTGAGATGGAAATTATTCTGCATATATATGGTACTTCTAACATAGATAGAGGCCTAATGATTATTGAAAAGGTGCTAATCTGGAAAAGAAAGCTAGAATGTTTTATGAAATGATGATTTTTTGTGGAAACCAAATTCTTAGAATAGAAGTTATATGTACTTGTATCAAATTCCTAGAATCTTAAATTTATTTATCCTGTCCACTTAATATTGACATCAGACTAGAAAGGATTTGTATTCATTTCGAGTATTCCTAGGATCTAGATCCAATCAAAGGTTTGCTTTTTTCGTAGAGGAATTGGATTTTAAAGACTTGCATCACATTCAACCTTTTGTTAACTATATATTATTCTTATTCTGTCATATGTATATTTATCTCATTTAATCAACTGATTAATCATTGCTTCAACAGCTTCAGGAGCTTTACGCTGTGAAATTAACAATGGTGGTTGTTGGAAGAAAACCCAAGATGGCAAGACTTTCTCTGCCTGCATAGTAAGTGGTTCAATATTACATGCTACAGAAACAGTGTTGCTCGTACATGAGATTAGAATCTAACATGTGTCAAAGAGTTTGCCTGGAAAGATGAGAAAACATGGACATGCAGACATGTCTATGGAAAAATATATACTATTAAAATAGTTTTTTTTTTTTTAATTCTAACATTATATGCTTGCAAAAATGGGTCTTAAATGTTGCCTCTGTTACCAAGTAATCTTTGATACAATTGTCTTGTACATTATCTGTTCATTTATGTCAAATAAGTTAGGAGATAAAAAGGAACTGCTGTGTAGAAGTGTCCTCAAGAATCCATGGAATGTTGGACATCAATGCATGTCTGACACGGGCACATTGTCCATTTTGGATAGTCACGCAACACTGTATAGAAACCTTTTCATCTGTGTGTATCTTTTTTTTTTTTTTTTTTTGGTATCTGTGATTTAAGTAGGTTGCCATTGTGGTTTTCAGGAAGATCATTCCAAGGGTTGCAAATGTCCTCCAGGATTCAAAGGTGATGGAGTTAATTCATGTGAAGGTACTTCCAGTTTTCTAACCTTTAGTTTCTCTAGTTATTGTCATATGTTAGTTTCTGAGTTCTGATGGGGACCATTAGGCTTGCAGAGGGACTACCTGTAATTTTAGTTCTATCATAAATATTTGTATTAGATGCAAATAAATATTTGTATTAGATACAGCAGGAGCCATCAATAGACTCTGGAAAAGCCAATACTTTTGCTATTTATGATTCATATACAAGAAAAGTATACTTACCTGAACTCTTTGTGGATGGACAGTTAAGAAGAAATGTATGCCTTGTTACTAGAAATTCTGGTGTTCCTCTCCTTCCATATAACACACTATAGCTAAGGGATAACATCACAACTCACAAGTTCTTTTTGCTCTATTGCTTTGTTTTCTTATATCTCAAGAGTCAAGAATTTCCTAGGAGTATGTAAAAACATCATCTTGACCTAAAAACTGCCAAGAAGTAAGCCTACAGCCCCTCACTGAAATTGCAATGAATGAAAAAGATGATTGGCATTTTCATGAGCTTCTTCAAATAGCAGGAAATTCAACTTTGAAATGGTTGTACTTTGTCTTGAGCTTGCTTTTTTGTTTACCATTATCAGATGCCTTTTTATTTACTAACTACCATTTTGATTTAATTTCCTTTGCAATAGGAACCGTAAATTTGCTATAGAACTCAACAAGGACTGATTCCATGCATAAACAAATTGTAAGAAGGTTTACAGGAGAAAGCCATTTACACAATTTAAGTTAGTCTTGGGATATCACAAAGAATTCTCTCCCAATAATTGGTTCTTTATCATATAACTCTCCTTAGATAAAGGACTGTCAACACCTTTAAAAGTAGAGAACACCAGAAGATGGCAAAAAAGGGGATTAAGCCTTAGTGTGCCTAACCTTATGTTTTAAGTAACAGAATAACCATCACTTGGATCCAAACAATACCATGATACTTGATCTTGTAACATCTATACCAAACCAAGTGCTGTAATACATGACAAACAAGTGTTGCAATATATGACAACTGAATTGATGATGAGGTAACAAGTTGCAACTTTAATGTGCCTAACCTTCTTAAGTAACAGAATAACCATCATTGGATCCAAAAAAAAAATACCATGAAGTATGATTTTGTACATTCTCAACAGCTATACCAAGTGCTGAATTATATGAAAAACAAATTTATAATGAAGTGACAAGTTGCATGCATTTTATGGAGCTGGGCTTTTCTAGCTTGACTTCTCTAAGAACTTATCTTGCTTTGGTGGACAAAAAAGTGGAAGAACCTAACTGCAAAGGGACTGTTATAAATTGGATGCTGTTGGGGACCTAAACTGGATTTTCTTGGACACAAGGTTCAAAGTATCGATACACCTCTGTATTTGCAGAGGTGTATTCGTACTTTAAGTGATGTGCCTTTTATTTTTTTTAGCTTTTTTTTTCAAATTTCAGTTTTAAGTATAATTATATATTATTTAATAAAAAAGGGGTTCCCAAAAACACCTGTAAACAGGTGATTGGGCACCCAAAGATATGATACGATACGCCCGATCAATACTTTGAACCTTGCTTGGATATATTGATACCCCCAACCCCCAAAGATTTTGAAGTGGGTTCATGATTATATGCCATCAATTTAGGAACTTCAATCTGTATCTTATACAATCTTGAGATAAATATCATCATCACCATCATCATCTAAGCCATATCCAGATGTTGGTTACATGAATTCTCTTCTACCGTTTTGTTCTATTCAATGCCACATTCATTGTTAAACTATGGGCCCTGGCTCATTTCTCATTACTTCTCAACCTATGTCCTTTTCTGGTCTGCCCTTGGCACTTCTTGCCCCTTCAATTTAAATTCTGCCTCTATCATCCTGTGCAGATGTTTCATATAGGTTCAGGAAACCCTCACCACCAAACCATCCCATGGACAAAAACAAATTTTATGTGGTTTATCTTGGGGTATGGTCAAGTACAGATATCTGATTATACACGGTGCAATTTACTTTCTGCACCCTAGAGTTGGTCTAATAGTTTCTGGATGGGTCGTAATCTTAGTTCATACATTATACCCTTAAGACAGTAGAAGAATTATGAGTTTTATGATCTGTGGTGGGGTGTCCCACTGATAATTGGTAATTTAGTTGGTAGTACAGGGTGATATACCTGACTATTTTTTTTCTTTGACCACCTAAAAATTGCCAACTAAAAGAGTGGTGGCAATCAGGAAACACATTGATTCAATTTATCTGGTTCTTTCTATTATCTTGTTCTTGTATGAACGATCATAAAACTTCTTGCTGTGTTCCAGATGTGGATGAGTGCAAGGAAAAGCTTGCTTGCCAATGTCCTGAGTGTAAATGCAAGAACACATGGGGTAGCTACGAGTGCAGCTGCAGTGGCAATTTATTGTATATGCAAGAGCACGATACTTGCATAAGTGAGTATCTCTATACAAGCATCATTTTTTTTTTTTTTGGTGCTTGTTCCACATGAGATCCCATTGTCTCTTAATAGAAAGGAACTCGGGTTATCATTTAGTATGAAGTGGTCAACTGGACATTGGTTCTCTAGCTTCTTATATTGACTATAAATGTCAATTATACTCTACTAAGAACTCGTTTAGTTTAGTATCAACTGACAACTTTGTTTTCCTTTTACCTTTTTTCTTTTCTTTGTGCATTGGGTAAGGCATAGATTAGTTAATAGTAGTGTCTGTGAATCATGAAATTCTCATATATTAATCTATAATTTCTCTACCATACTCTTAACGTCTAGACATCTAATTATTATTGGAATAGTTTGGAATGATTTGGCTTTTGTTTCTTGCTCTCTTTTATTGTCTGAGTTCTCTTTCATCTTTAAGTATTGGAGAGTTTAGGAATTATGGGTACCATACTACAAAGATGTGTCATAAAGTCTACCATACCAATTGTCTTTAGATGTTTGTTTTTTAAATTTTCTTGGAAAAATTTTACTGCCTATTCTTTTTCGCTGTATGCGCCATTAATTTCACCCATGGAATGAATATACAGGTAAAGAGGGTACCTCCACCGTCAGCTGGAACTTTGTGTGGGTCATGGTCCTTGCCTTGGCTGGTGTTGGTGTTATAGGGTATGGCGTGTACAAGTATAGAATCCGGGTATGTTTTGACATCCTTTTGTTACTCTGTCCTCAGTTGTTCACCCCCCAGACCCCCAAAGAAAAAGAGTTGATGATTATGCTCGTATACATTCTTGGCATTTCTCAATTCTCATGGTTGGTGAATCTCATGCAGAGATACATGGATTCAGAAATCCGGGCCATCATGGCGCAATACATGCCATTGGATAGTCAGGGAGAGGTCCCTAATCACATACACCATGGAAACATTTGAAACTGCAGCATCGAGGAGCAAGGTTTTGCGCTTGATCATATACCCTCCCTGTGCCTCCTGTTGATTGCTTTGTCGATGGGGGGAGCTTCGTCTCTGTTACTCTGTCTGTACGTGTATGTGCTTAATTTAGTTTACTAGTGGGTTCTGTAGAATTTTTGCCCTTTTTTGTATGGAGTTCAGACACACTGGCAACCTAATCCACGTACAAGCCGAGTCTGTCTATGAAAACTTGTCATGGTTGGTTCCCAGTTCCCGCTGCCACAGATAGGCAGGGCAGCTAGGTGATTTGGTGATTATGTCCCTTCAACCTAGCATTAGCCAGCATTATCCGGTTAATATTAGAAGGCAATTTCTATGATAGCAGAAAGAAAGGTATGATACCTGAAGAACATTAGCCAATTAGGGAAGCCCACGTGAATCTGAATGAATACCAGTTGATTGGTTATTAGTTTTGTAGGTAGGTGGGTACCATATATAATTTACACCAGACTTCAAGCCACAACATGAAAAAGAAAACATTACTTGAACTAACTTTGCATTTTTTTCCCCTATTAAATACATACTACTATACTATTTTTTTTATTAATCCTATTCACTGGATAAGTGGGAGGAGAAAATTCAGCAATCACAGAAAAGAAAATTTCGCCACCCATGAGCCATGTCCATGGGAAAGCAAGTACTCGACTGCGTCTCGGTTCACTACTATCTTCAACGAGACATGGCCTCCGGAATAAGAAACATTGGTAGGGCCTGGGACCCTGGGTCAACAAATATTGGATCCGTCCAAGTTTGGGGTGTTAATAGATTTAAGACAGACCCAGGAAGAATCTGGTCCAACCCTATTGTGATTTGTGAATGCTATTGTGAATGGGTAGCTAGGAATGAAAGGCGAATTTCAGATGGGTCTGTTCTACCAGCGTACCACCAACTGTTGCAGATAATGAATTGATTCAATTTAATGGTTTAAGCAATTAATGGATTTAATTTAACATCGAATCAATTCATTATCATATATAGTCTTTTCATGGTAAGATGGAAAATGGGTCACCTTAGTTTTTGGTATTTTAATGGAGTAGTCAGGTGGCAGCTTTTAAACGGGTCTCTCATCTCAACCCAAGAGGCCAAGATTCCCACTATTCGTTGCTCCTCTCTCCCCAATGCACCTCGAATCAACACTCAGATGAAATTGTTGTTTAAAACATAGATAATGGTTTGGGTTCTCGGGAGGAATGTGGGCGGAAAACTTTATTGTGTGGACATGGAATAAAACCACGACACCAGTCTACCATCTGCACCAAACAAGTAATGAGTGGTGCAAGATCAGCAATATCTGCAACTTTTTTGAACGACGAAAGCAAATGGGGTGGAAGTCATTGGAGCTCAAAAAGGAAGAAGTCGCTGGAGGCGGATCACCGACATGATGAAGACAGGACTCGGAAAAGGAGAGCGGAGGGGAGAAGATAAGGAGTCTTAAGGCTTTTTATTATTTTGGTTTCTTCATTTTCGAAAGGAATGAATAATTAAGTACGTTACCTGCAACTACAAATTCAATTGCAATGCATTAATCGATAATCAGTAAATGCTTTTGTCATAGACTCGAAAATCCCTTTAAAGTCGAAACTCAGGCGATACGAATTTGAAAATTAATTCACTGTCGGTTCCTCTGTCCAAAATTTGACGTATGGTAAAGTCTGTCTGTGTGTCTGTCTATTGATGGGGTTCCTTCCGCACAGCCACAGCACACACTTGTACACACTACCGAGTTTTGAGAGACGCACTTACTGTCTCCTCCACTACTTCCTCTCACTTTTATTTTAATTTTTAATAGCCCCACAATCCACACCTCCCATCACTTTAACACTTTTTTAATGCTTTTGCCGCTTCCTTTATCCATCTACCTATCTCCCCACCTTGTCCCTACCCTTTTTCCTTTAATTAATAGAACCAGAAACACACGGGAATTAGTATAGACCTCGGTCAAACTCAGAACATGCTCAGTTTGGGAAGAGTGCAAATACAAATATTTACCGAGCAACTACTAATATATCATATTTGTATTTATACTCTTTCCAAATCTCGGTGGTTTTTAAAAAAGGAGTTTTGTTTTGCCCCAAATAACATATTTTTAATAAGACTGGCAGTTCCTTAACATTAATCAATTCAGCACCTTATTCAATTTCAGCCATTTAAAATGATATACTATTATATATATATATATATATATGTAATTTTGTTTTTTTAAAACAAAAATAAATTGCCACATCAGCAAAAACCAATATGATTTCGTTGATGTCATAGCTGTTCTTGATTTAGAAAACAAAATCATGAATGTTGGAGAACACCCCTCGATGTTCACAACAATGTTATCATACTTAGGACAGGATGTAAGACCGTTTTGCTTATTTCAGTCAAGGGTTGAATAGTGAAATCATGTTTCTACCATTTCATTCATTCAAATAAAAAACATGAGCAGTAAAAATATAACATATACTTTTAGATTTTCTTTTTCAAGTTGTTTATATTAAAATAAGCTTAAGATAATGAACCCAATGTTGTGACATGATAAAGATAAATATATATATATATATATATAATTTAGCATGTATGTTGGGTGTAGTTTAATGAATATTTTTCATTCCAGTAACTAAGGTTTAAGTCTTGCAAATCTTTTTTTTTTTTTTTTTGCAAAAATATATACATATTTGGTCAACATAGAAATTTAAAAAAATAGACATAGATGTTGTCATGGCTTGATAGTAATATAGAAAAAGAAGTTAAATGAGTTCACTTTTAGGTGACCTGAATGGGTTGTTGAAAATTGTCTTGGCAACTAAAAAATTGGATTGCTAACTTCTCCAATTTATTTTGTTAACACTTGTTAGTGAACCTCAATGTTTCTAAAAATAACAAGGAGATGAAAAAAAAGAAAGAAAAAAAAAAAAAAAACTCTTCCTGTAAGGGCACATGCTATGCATGTGTGGAAGTAAAGAGTGAAGATATAATTTGAAATCATATAATCAAATTTAATTTTTACGAGCTACACCAAAGTCAAGGCAAATATCTGTTTTATATAGTATAGATATGGTGGGTCAATGGTTCAACCATTTTGGGACAAATCATGATGCTAAAAATTAAACAATACAAATATAAAAATATATAACATTACATAAAATATAAAAAATGTAACAAAATAGTAAAAAATTAGACATATCTTTAATGTTATATATTCATCATTGTAAAGCTTAAACAACAATAGGTTGATAAAGAACAACTATTGGCACATTAATGATAAAAATGACTATAAACACATAAAGAAATAAGTGGATTTAGATGAATATTAGGTCTAAAAGTGGGATATCAAGTCTTCGAGACTTGAATAAAATTCTTTAAGAATAAAAAAAAAATGAATCCAAAATTATGGTGCATTTATGATATATGTTGCATGTTAAATCAAGATTTCAACCAATCACATTAAAGACATTATATGGTCTACTTATTTGATTCACATTTTAAAAGATGTACTTATCATCATAACCAACATCAAATATGTTCACTGTGATGTATATATTCATTTACTCACTAGTTCACGCTTTTTTTTTTGCTTTACGGGTAGTTTGTGCATCATAGATTTTTCCAAAATATTTTATGATAAAGAACGAAATTTAAGATCCATTGGCAAGTGGTTCGACCGATCGGGTCATCGGGTTTTTTTTTAGGTTGACAATTTAAATGAACCTGAATTCGGAATTCCTGATCCGGCTGGACTATGGGTCGGATCGAAGGTGGGAATATGGGATAATTGCAATTTGGTGGGTGACATATTTGTAAATTTTCAAAAAGGTTACCTCTTGGTGTTGGATATCATTCTCCGGCAAAGCGCGCCGAACATTGGACGTATTGGACACGTCATAAAGCAGTTGGTGACCAAAACGCCTTCTGTCCTCCACATAGGATTAAGTTTGACCCAAGCTTCTTCTGCCACGTGTACTGAAAAAAAAATAAAAGAGGGCACATCTACCTGATTTTCGCTGCTAATAATAAAAAGAAGCTATTTGCCTATTTCTTTCAGATGGGCAGAAAGCTCTTTAATGGCGACTGAAGTTGGCAACTTTTTTTTATGTCTCCCGCCGATTCAGCTCTTACCGACGACTTTCTCGAAGGTTTTCCGCTTAAACTAAGGCTAAAACCCGTAACTTTCCCGTGTCGGTTCAAGAGACCAGTCTATTGTGTTGCGTCGTCTCAGGTTCCGGCGGCATTTCCGACGAAGTGAAGGTCAATCGCCAGGAGTTGTTCCACCACTTGTTTCTCACTTTATTGAGTCTGATATCCTAACTCTTAAAGTTTAGTGCGGTGGATCCCGAGTTAGCCTTCAGTTCCAAGCTTGAAATAGGGGCGTTTTGGCATGTTAGTTATTTCTAGGGTTTCTTTACTGAAGATTCTAGTCATTCTTGGTATGGTTTGCTTTGCTTTATAGAGCCTTCTCGTTTTGGTTATTCCTTTCCGGTAGTAGCTTCGAAATCATCTGCTAACGAGATTTTTCCTTGTTGAATCGGTCATTTCGTGTTTTGTTGGAGGTCTTTATCTGCTTTTTCGTCTCTACAGGTAATCTCAACAACTTTTGCCTTTCAGCTCATATCAGTTAGAAAACAAACAATGCTAGTGCTATTGGCTTACTTTCTCTAGAAATGGACCGGAATTGTTCATTTGAACATCTTCCCCCCACACAAACATAAACAAACACATCAATCTAAAAGTACTTACTATTTGTTGAAGGTTTAGTTCGTGAATCAGTCCTTTCCAGCCCTAACTGTAAACCCGGTCACAGAATCGTGTTTTTAGAAAAATTTCTCCACAGTTCTGGTTATTACATCTGAGATTTCTCAGTGCTGTTACTTCTCTTTGCCTTTGAAACTCGTTTTGGAGGTTGTAAGAAGCTTCCTACAGTGCAATGGCCGCTTAACATCTGCTCAGGTAGCTGTTGAAATGGGAAAGCTACTTGGGTTTTTTTCCTTTCTTGTCTTAGTCCCGCTTTTTGTGAGATCTTTGGATTCAGTTCTCAATGACGATGTTCTTGGGCTAATTGTCTTCAAGGCTGACCTCCAAGATCCAGAGTCGAAATTGATATCTTGGAATGAAGACGATGACAGCCCCTGCAATTGGGTGGGAGTAAAATGCGACCCCAGGACCAACCGGGTCTCTGAGCTTGTTCTTGATGGATTCTCTCTATCTGGGCGTATTGGCCGAGGACTCCTCCAACTGCAATTCCTTCGCAAACTATCCCTCTCAAACAATAATTTCACGGGGAGCATAAACCCCAATCTTGCACGACTTGAGGGCCTGCGGATCATTGATCTTAGTGATAACAGTCTGTCAGGATCAACACCAGATGATTTTTTCCTGCAATGTGGTTCTTTAAGAGCAATATCCTTTGCCAAGAACAACTTGTCAGGACAGATCCCCCAGAGTTTGATCTCATGTTCAACCCTTGCGAGTCTTAATTTCTCCTCCAATCAGCTATCTGGCCCGTTGCCATCTGGAATCTGGTCTTTGAATGGCCTTCGATCACTTGATCTTTCAGACAATCTACTGGAGGGCGTGATTCCAAAAGGTATGGAAAGCTCATATAATTTGAGATCAATCAATTTACGGAAGAACCGGTTTTCGGGGCAATTACCTGATGATATAGGAGGCTGTTCACTCTTGAGGTTGATTGATTTCAGCGAGAATTCTCTATCTGGGAGCCTTCCAGATTCAATGCGGAGACTTACCATGTGTAGTTCTCTGAGTTTGCATGGCAATCTATTTAGTGGAGAACTTCCGGCAGTGATTGGAGAAATGAGAAGCCTTGAGGCTGTAGATCTGTCCGGGAATATGTTTGCTGGTGGCATCCCAGGTTCATTGGGGAATCTTCAATCACTGAAACTATTAAACCTGTCTAGTAATGGGTTTAGTGGAGGTGTGCCTGATTCCTTGAGCAACTGTAAAAACCTATTGATCATCGATTTTAGTCAAAATTCATTGACAGGTAACCTACCAGCATGGATTTTTGGATTGGACTTGCAGAAGGTTTCCCTTTCAGAGAATAGACTAAGTGGAGTGATAAAAAATCCTTCCCCCCTATCAATGGAGCCATCATATAGTAACCTACAGGTCTTGGATTTGTCAGATAATGCATTTTCTGGTGAAATTCCCGGGAATATTGGGGTTTTTAGCAACTTGCTGATCTTGAATGTATCCAGGAACTCTCTCGTTGGTTCTATCCCAACAAGTATAGGTTATTTGAAGGCTGTAACTATTCTTGATTTGAGTGAGAACAGACTGAATGGTAGCATCCCATCTGAAATTGGGGAGGTTGTTTCTTTGAAGGAACTGAGGTTGGAAAAGAACTTCCTAGCTGGCAAAATTCCATTCCAGATTGGGAAGTGTTTGTCCTTAACATCTCTGTAAGTTCTGTGTCTCCTTGCTGTTTCATTTCTGCTTTGAAGGTTTATTATCACTATGAAATTTCAAGCTTTGCTTTAGGCTGTATGATCTATAAAAAATCATTTGACTGGCTCATTCCGTCACAAGTATTTATTATTTTCGCACTGTTTTGTAAATTCAAGGTTCTTAATTGTTTTGCTGAAAACTAAAAGGCCATTAGCCAATGCCTGTCCCAGCTATCTGGGGTCTTTGGGAGGGGAGGACTGAATACAGATATGCCTTTTGCCATTTTCCTGGAAACTGAACAAAAAAAAGGAATAAACTTATCTTGTTTTCAACTTATTGAAAATCCACATTCTTCTTCCACCATTGCTTGTGGTGATGCTTTAGTTGCATTGGTTATAGAAATCACTGTTCTATTGTTTAAATTTTAATAATGAGGGCCAGACAACAAGGAGTTAATCTGACTTGGGATAATATTTTGTCTTGAGATTTTGTACTTGTTATCATTATTGTAAGTTTCTAATCTGAATTTTTTTTTTCCTTTTTTTTTTTGCATAGGATCCTGTCGCAGAACAACTTCTCAGGTCCAATTCCTGCAACCTTAGCAAATCTCACCAATCTCAAAATTGTAGATTTAGCCCTGAATAATCTGTCTGGAAGCCTGCCCAAGCAGCTAGCCAATCTCCCCTATCTTTTGTCTTTCAATATCTCCCACAACCACCTCCAAGGAGAGTTACCTGCTGGTGGCTTCTTCAACACTATCTCCCCCTCCTCAGTTTCTGGTAATCCATCCCTTTGTGGCTCTGCTGTTAACCGCTCGTGCCCTGCTGTCCTTCCCAAACCAATTGTCCTTAACCCTAACTCATCTTCTGATTCCTCTGGCATGGGTTCATTCTCTCCTAACCTTCACCCCAAGAAGATCATTCTCAGCATCTCTGCCCTAATTGCAATTGGTGCTGCCGTCGTGATTGCCCTCGGCGTGGTTGCTGTCACTGTCCTCAACTTCCGTGTGCGGTCATCTACTTCACGTTCTGCTGCAGCCCTCATGCTTTCGGGTGTTGATGACTTCAGCCATTCTCCTACCACCGATGCAAACTCAGGCAAGCTTGTCATGTTTTCTGGTGACCCTGATTTCAGTGCCGGGGCCCATGCCCTGCTCAACAAGGACTGTGAACTTGGCCGTGGTGGTTTTGGAGCTGTATACCGTACGGTACTCAGAGATGGCCATCCAGTTGCCATCAAGAAGCTTACTGTGTCAAGCCTTGTTAAGTCCCAGGAAGATTTTGAGAGAGAAGTAAAGAAGTTGGGGAAGATTCGACACCCTAATCTTGTGGCGCTCGAAGGCTATTACTGGACTCCATCACTGCAACTCCTTATTTATGAGTTTATTTCTGGTGGGAGTTTGTATAAACACTTGCATGAAGGAGCGGGTGGAAGCTTCCTCTCATGGCATGAGAGGTTCAACATAATTCTAGGGACGGCAAGAAGCCTGGCTCACTTGCACCAACTGGACATAATCCACTACAATCTGAAAGCAAGCAACGTCCTGATTGACAGCACTGGGGAGCCAAAGGTTGGAGATTTTGGATTGGCGAGGCTGCTACCGATGCTTGATCGTTATGTTTTAAGCAGCAAGATACAGAGTGCACTTGGGTACATGGCGCCTGAATTTGCATGTCGGACAGTGAAGATAACGGAGAAGTGTGACGTATATGGGTTTGGGGTTTTGTTGTTAGAGGTGGTGACAGGGAAACGGCCTGTGGAATATATGGAGGATGACGTGGTGGTGCTGTGTGACATGGTGAGAGGGGCATTAGAAGAAGGTAGGGTGGAGCAGTGCGTGGACGGGAGGCTCAGTGGAAACTTCCTAGCGGAGGAAGCAATTCCAGTGATGAAGCTAGGGTTGATCTGTACGTCACAGGTGCCATCAAATAGGCCGGACATGGCAGAAGTGGTTAATATATTGGAATTGATCAGATGCCCATCCGAAGGCCAAGAGGAGTTGGTATGAATTTGACTCTTTTTTTTTAATTTACTACAACTAGAAAGGGAGAACATAGAAGGGATGGATAATGGGTATTCCGGCGAAGAAGAATCCGGCTAGTTTAGCAGTCTAATTACACAGCGAGAGAGAGAGAGAGAGAAGAAAAATTGATTGTTGTAATTTTTGGTTTTTAGGAAATTTCCTATTCACTCGTTTGTTTTCTGTAGGTGTTGGAGGTTTCTGTTTGTAGTTTCTTCTGTGTCATCATTTCTTAGATTATGTTATTATTGCTATTGTTATTATAATATTGCCGGATTCTTTTTCACCGGGTTTCAATTTGGAAGCCCTTTTGAAATCTGAATTGTGAACCAATTGTTTTGTATTGTGGCTGAATTTCTCAAGTCATTATTGGTTCAATTTTTTTGCACTTGAGTGGAGACTGTACTACTACTGCTCTTTGCGTGCCATTCAAAAAATATAAAATCAGGAGATTTGTATTGTACGATGGATGGATGGATGGATGATGGTATGTATGTAAAGTGAAGCAAACAGGAGACCCTACCTACCCCCTACGATCCAATGGTGTGTGGTAGAAGTAGAACCGGCTGTCAAGCTGGAAGTGGAACCAGGAACCGCAAAGCTGAACGAATATTTCTATTAAGCTACATCGCTTTGAGGGGTTATTATGATTTCTGACGACGCATAAACAGCGTCGTCTCTCACTTTTTGATCTTGAGGCTGGGGACTGGCCGACTGGGGTGGTGTGAAGTGTGATTGTTATTCAGAGGTTTGATCGGTATGTGTTACGTTGTGCTTGGCTACTTGGTTGGCATTGGCCGTTGGCCCCACTCTATTTGGTTCCTCCGAACAGTTGCAATCTTCTTCTTTCATTCAGAAGCTGGATTTTAGTGATACACGCTGAGCCAAAGCTAAAGTGAGGAAGCGAATAACCAAAAGGAGGGTGGAAGTAAATGGAATTAATGAAGAAAGAAAAAGAACCATTATCAATAAAGAAAAGCTAATGCGTGCCTTTCGTAGCAGAGTTAGAGATAGTGATGATGAGCCGAGAGAGAGAGAGGAATAAGGAATTATTTTTCTTGGTAAAAGATGAATTAGTGAGTAATGAAGTCTGAGAAACTGAAGGTATATTTTTATACAAATGGAATAGATGCTGTCGGAAAAGAAGCACTCTTCATGTTTCTTTTTCATTGTTTTTTTTCCTTTTCATTTCTCATTTAGTTTGCTTTATCTTTTGCTTCTCGTATCTTTTGATTCCGATTTCTCCATGTGGTGTTTGGCATTGATGCCGGTTTTTGAAAAAATGGTGTTACATCGGTGCCATGTCAGAAAAAGCGGTGCTTCAGAAAATGGTCTCTTATTTGATATCATTTTTTTAGAAAAAACCTTGCTCCAGCTGTCAGTAATGCAATGATGTGACATCAATATAGCATCATTTTGGGCATTGGATGATGTAGATCAATGCTGAAAACCGTTATACAGCACTAAATACCAAATAAAACCGGTGCCTTTTTTTCAAAAAACAGCCTATGTGGCAACATCAATACCAAACAGAAAAAAAAAGAAGTCGTTTTCTAAAAAAAACGGTGCAATTAACTCTCATATATACAAAACCGTTTTTTCAGAAAACAACGGCATTAATAACAAACACCTACTTAGCTGACGTCTCTTCAAAAAAACCGAAGAGCTTGGAGTTCCCTTTCCTTCGTCTAGTATCATAAACAAATCATCTTTTAAGTTGTCAACTCTTCCCTTCCCTCCGTTCAATTATATGCATTACTAAATTTCGGATAAATAACAATTAGCTTGTTGGGGTCCCAACTCTCAATCCCAAAACACTGGCCAGCCTTAATTAATATTGTCATTGAAAATTTCTTTACAAAGACAAAATTTCAATTATTGTTTAGCAAGGCAAGGTAGGTAGTGTTGGTATAAATTATAGACATATTATAATTATGTCACCCTTGCTTATCTCAACCTTTTTATTAAACTAATACATATCACTTGAAACTTTTGCTTATTTAAATGCTATTGTGGGCCCGCCTTAGAGAACCTTCTCTATGGACTTTGCACTTACTACCACTGTTGCACATGGGTTCTCTCTCTCTCTTGCTATTCTACATGGGTATGAAATAGGTGCTCTTCATAAATCTAGTTTTCCAAAAAAAAAAAAGAAAAAAATTGTGGTGGTAAATGAGGAAAAGGGAAGAGAATTTCGAAAAACCTGTTCCCATAATTCATGGGCTGATGGGCATGGCGTGCTTCCTGTGAAGAAAATAGCACGAATTTAGAAAGGTAAGAAATTAAAAAAAAAACAATTCTTTAGTCTTGAAATGTGAGGGGGAATAGTTGGTTCAGAACAAAGAGGAGTTTTGTACTTATTTACTTTGTCGAGGGACAAAATGATATCCCGTGCAACTTTCACAAAGCACGTAGTGGTTGATAGCATATGATGTTGGTTCTGCAAGACGGCACATTGTAACTATATTTCATATATATATATATATATTTATTTGTTACTGTTTTATTTGGAGTAGGCATGTTCAACAGTTTCATGAGATCTCAGTGACTAGGATTTTATAGTTCTGATTTTTTATAGATTCAAGTGTGAGTGGTTTATTGGAGTGTTCGGTTGGTGGAAGAAAAATACAAGATCCAAAGTATTAAAAATGTAAAAGAGTATTGGAAAATATAATTTCTAGAGTCACATCAAAATAGATTTTTTTATGCAAAAATTAAGATATATACACATGAACATGTCATAGAAGCCCAGATATTAAGTCCTCAAAATCTATCAATTACAATAAAAAAATCTTAAGCTTTAATGACTATAAAAAAGAGATAAATACATAAGAAACAGTTTATGTGAAGTATGAACCATAAAGAGCTACTCTTAAAAAACAAATTGACGATCAAAATTATAAATTTTAATGATCAACTAAATTTATTTTTGTTTTTGTTTTTTGACTCATAGGCACTAAGAATAGAAAGTTGTTAAAGTCCATTTAACTCTAACAAGAAAATCAATTTTAATGTAGTGGTAAGATACTAAGATTTGTTCCATTTCATTAGGAATGAACATAAATAGAGCTTTTTACAAGCTATTTGAGCGGGCCCAATAAAATTTGGTTTGTAAAGTTTACCAATCTAATTGGATTTCTATTATGTATTCGATTCGTAATAAATAAACTTGCACACTGTCGAGTTGAGCTCAAGTTTATGAGCTTTTGAGTCGAGTTGCATTTGAATTCATGTTTCTAATTCGAATCAAACGCCCAAGCTCAAGTTTACCAATCTAATTGGATTTCTATTATGTATTCGATTCGTAATAAATAAACTTGCACTGTCGAGTTGAGCTCAAGTTTATGAGCTTTTGAGTCGAGTTGCATTTGAATTCATGTTTCTAATTCGAATCAAACGCCCAAGCTCAAGTCTCATTTTTTTTTTATCCGAGGCAAGTTTGAATAGTCAGATATATGGCGCTCAGCTAGAATCCACCCCTACATTTCATCTAAAAGACTTGGGTTCAAATGAGGGTGATCACAGGTCAAGGCTGATCTGCACTCAGCACCTATGCTAAGAGTTCTAGTTTGGGCTCAGGCCTGGCCCCGGCTGGGCTCGGTTTATGGCCACCCTATGATTTCAAACATATTATGAGAATAAAAACATGAATCAAAACCCAATTCGATTTTATTTTTTTATTGTACTTCTCAAATATGCCAACACAAATATTACATTTGAGATGAAAATTTTGAACACTGTTTTGAAAGATGTCAAGACATTTGGATTTTGAACACTCTTTGAATGTCTGTCTTGATGTAGACCTGGCTGTTAACTGCTTCCGGATCATCAAGACTCACTTTTGGAGCAGTTGGACTGGCTTGGAGCCATTTTGGATTTTGCTGGTTTGAACCTACAAAATGGGAGCCACGATGAGACCCAGTGCTGCATGGACTCTCCTGAACAGACAACAAACATGAGCTGGGGAGTCTTGACACCCCATACATTCAGAATTTCAGTCTCAAATGAATGTCATTTCTCACATCTATCAAGTGTTGGTAATCACCAAGGCAACGTTTCAGAATTAAGACCCCATTTTGCAACAGTGGATGGATGACATGACACACACACACACGCCTTTGGCCGGCCGGTATCATACCTTTCCGGCATCATAGATATTGCCGGGAAAGGCCATTTATGGATATCTTGGTTTTGGTCCCAACTCCATCTGGCACGACCTCTTTCCCTTTGCCTTTCACTCACATATGGTACAACACAAGTGGGGGGCGATTACTGGTGCGGGCCAGCAGGTGGCATCATGGTGGGTACACTGGGTAGGTTCCATCTTCAATAATAGACCACAGTCTGAAACAATCTTCCAAGAATAATAGACACTTTCAATTTGAAGTGAAATGATTTTAATGGGACCATAATATATGGTGTTAATTTGGTGGGGAAGAATGCCCCATTGACAATTGCCAATCCCCTCCTCATTTAGTGCATTTGGGACCCCATCCTATGGGAGAAGTTCATTTATAGTAGAGGGAGAGGAAAGATGTCTCTAAAGATTCAGTGGGGAACATAATATTTCATGATCGATCGATGTTGAATAACAGTACTAATTCCATACTCAAAGCATTGCTTGCATTCTACACAATACTTAGTAATATTGTCTTATCCGATGTGTTCTAGATCAAGCACACAATCAAATAGCCCTGCCAACTGGACAGAGTCGCGCACTAAGGTCTGCAACCAAAAGAGAAAGTCAAAGACCCGAAGAGTTATTCCCCGGGTAGGTACTCTGATGTTCAAGTCAGTAGAACAGAAGGATAAGTGGTCGGGGCGAACAAGTGAGAACAATGTTGATCCGAGCAGAGCAGGTAGAGTAGAGGTGTTTCAAGTCCAAAAGTCCTTTACCCTGAGCAGAGATTACCTATTTATAATTAGACGTCCATATTCTAATTGGATGAGACTTCCGGGGTTGCTAGGATGAGGTTGTTCGTCAAGATTTTCGATATGGCTCCTCTTCCCAAGCAGAGTTAACTTCCTCGTCTGTACAAGACACTCCTTCTTGATCGTGCTTATCTATCTTGCGTGGTATCAATGTGGCTAGAGAGAGAAAATGGCTGCAGAGGCTGCCACATGGCATCCTTGGCCAATTCAAACATAATCCAAACACTTAGTTCTCTGCATGCAATATACCGAGGTTAGAGAGAGAGAGAGAGTTTGGCCCATTTAGAGAAGTGAGGTTGGAGAAAGCTTTGGTCTATGGATGCTGATTGATTCCTGAGCTTAGTCCTTTACCATGAAAGCCAATTTCCTTGGCACATCTCCACTTACCCATGTCAATCACTTCCAAAAACAAGAACGTTTCATTCGCACCCACCCATCAGTTTCATTCTATCTTTGATTTTATTTGTTTTTTGAATTCCTTTCATGAAAGGTAGAGAAAAAGAGGTTTCTGGAGTGGATTGCAGTGGTTTTTTGTAGCCTTTGGAATGTTCATAATGACTTAGTTTTTAATCTTAATGGTCATTATCAAGAGTTAGAGATGTAATGAAGTTTGCCAACAGACCTGAAAATGGTAAAATCAGTTGCTCAAAAGTTTTTTAAATGTTTAATGGAGCATAATAGGATTTCAGATGGCCAATGTATTATCATCAGGTGTGATGGTGGTGTTATGAATGGTAGAAAAGGATCATTTGGTTTCTTTGCCGTGTATTCTAACTGTTCCTTATGGTCCAGAAAAAGCTGAATTAAAAAGATGGTAGTCTAAAAGTATTCGGGTCGAAATTGATCTGGAAACAGATTAATAAAAGGAAATTAAAAACATGTGAATACCACTCATATATAAGCTTTTCCATTGAGCTCACGAAAAGCATGATAAAAAGAGATTGAAAGGTCAATAGAGACGGACCTTTTTTGGCTTGGCGTTTGGGTATCTCTAGCTCCTTAGCAGGAATGTCTACTGCTGCAGGGACTGTAAATTTGCTTTGAGGGTGCTCTCTCCATCATTCTTTACCATAAGAAATAATTACTGGGATCCTGTTAGAAGAACAAAAAAGAGTACTGAAAATCATGATTTCTTTCAGTCAAGATACCAATAGAAGAACATAAACCCAGTATAAGCTTTTAGTTCCTTCTGTAAATTGTGGCCTGAGAAAGGAGAGAAACAAGAAAGCCACAACCCAAAGGAGAACTAGGAAGGAAAAGATTAAAGATACCCGACAATAATTGATGTTTTAATTAAGGATCAACTTTGAGTGTTTTTATCAAGTTTTATGAGTTGAAACTAAACAGTCTAAACTCATGCTGGTTGAGGCCTTGGTAGACTGATCGACTTGTTTGTTTAAAAAGTTGACATTGAAAATAAATGGCAAATAACCAAAATATAGAAAGAAATTACAGGGTAATAATCTCCCTTGCTAGCATAGTTGGTTTTCCTAACTTCAACTGTTGAAACTCGGGTCAATGGGGATAAAAGGAACGTGACGATGACAAGTGACGGGCCATTTGAAATCCCATAACAGTCGCAAAGAATAGAAGAAAAGAAGATAACAACGGTTTGGTTTGCTTTAAAGAGAACACTTAATCGCAAATTAGAGCCACCACTTAAAACATAAAAACAGATTGCGGCTGGATGCCGTGCACATCCCAACCGTGTATTGTATGGGAACATCTCCCAATGACAATTACGGCAGATGTTCTTAATGCAAGCTGAGATGTGCATGTGGAGCATTCACTGAGGTGCACCAATGTGAACTCTTTAAAATCTTCATCTTATATAAGTTTTGACATACTTTAAAATATCCGGAGAAGTACGAATAGGCCCAATGCAGATTTATGGATTCCACTGTATAGCTATAAACATTCAAAAATGTCAAAAATCCCTACTCTATACACCAATGCCCACCCATGAATTGGCATCAATTTCGAGCTGACACTCACCCCAACTGTACTTTGGGGCTAAAAATTTTGACCCTGAGCTGAACCATCATTTTCCCTAAAATATTCTCATCCGTGGGAAAATCTATTTATGCCAGAATTGACCAATCACCCCCGGTTGAATTTTATAAAAACCAACTTGATTAGTTAGTTAGTTAGTTTTATGATGCAAGTTGATTGGTTAGAAGGTTTTCTCGTATCACTTCTTCCCACAGTATCGTAGGTAAACCCTTATTTTTTTCTTCACTTTTTCTTTAAAATATCAATTTATCTTGCCAACAAAACGCGTTCCAATACTCTATCAACATGATCGGACGCACGCATCTCATACATGGCAGGTCTCACTTTTATGATGGGTTCTAATGGTACGATGAGATGTGCGGTGTCAGATAATGCTGGCAGGGTATTGAAATATAGAGATCCCAACTCCAATTTAGGGAGTCTGGATCTCCTGCCAACAGTATACCTTCCAACATGCTCTAACACTGCACATCTCACCATAAGACTAGGACACTCCATTAAAGTGGGATCCACCATGTATGAGCTTGAGAAGTGCGGTTTCAAATCATATTGAGAGGGTGTTGGAAGGTATATTATTGGCAAGGGACCCGTACTCCAATTTAGAGAACAAACTAGGGATTCTATCTAATGGGAAAAAAAGACTAGGGGTTCTAACCTACTGCAAACAAGATTGCAAGTGTAACATGGGCTCGTGAAACCTAATTAAAAGCAAGATTTTTAAAACTGACTTGGACAACGAACTAGTCTGGGTCCGGTTCTCAGGTTGAACGGTCCAACTGTTTGAACCAAACAAACAGCTCATTCTAACAAAAAAATAAAAATATATAAAAAAATTTAAACCGACCAAACTGTTGAACGGTTCGACTGCCTGGGTCAGCAGTTTGCTGACCAAATCAATGGTTTTGAGGTAAAATAGAACTGGTCACCTCCCAATTTTTTCGATTCGACCGTTCGGTCTGGTCCGATTTTGAAAACCATGATTAAAAGTAAAGGCATTGAATACATGTTTTGATAACAGAATGCATCACATAGCAAAAAAAGTTAATCCAACCCACAAACCTGGCCCAACCCAACCCGAAAATATATGGTTAGGGTCTCATATTTAGTTACTTGAATTTGAGAATGACCCGACACAGCCCAACCGAATCCCATTGATCCAATTGTTAGGTCTAATTGGGAGTTACTCTTTATGTATTGTTAGAAGTTTCCACTCTTTAATCTTTATTATTTAGTCTTTACTCTTTATCGTTTATTATTTGAATCATTGAATGTTCAAGTTTGAAATTTTAAGAATAATTCCTTTAATTTTGGTATTTTTCATGTATTTATTCTTTATTTTTTAACTTTCAATTATTTTTAAGGATGAACCAAATTGACCCATCAATCAACACTAATATGAACATTTAGGGTTAGGGTCTAGAATTTTCCAACCCAACCCGAACATGACCCACCCAACCCAATTGCTAGGTCATAGACGTGTTTATTTTGATTTGATTGGGTCCCACTAGCCTGTAGAGCTACATCACCTTAAGAATGAACAATTGAACCGACTATGGTCTGACTTCTAAGATCTTTTTGATCATTGGTGAAACCTCCCCTAAAGTTAAGTAATTTCAACTACCTCTATTGAACTTTCTGACACATTTGCAAGTAGATCCCTCTATTAGAATCCTTTAACAAGAGACACGAAAATATCCAAAATACCCATCCAGTTACTTTTGCCAAAATGTTTATTTTCTAAATTTTCTATTCATCTCAATTGCTATCCCAAGCCCTTCCAATCTTTTTTTTTTTCCAAAATTGATTTATTTTACAAATTTACCCTTCTTATCAATCTCTCAGGTAAAATTGCAACTTTAAAATCTCTTTCTTTTTTATGTTCATAGTTTGTATTGTTTTTCTTTTTCCTTTTGTAAAAGCCTATCTCAATAGTAACTGAATGGGCATTTTGGGCATTTTCATGCCTCTTGTTAAAGTATTCAAAGACAATGGGCCTATTGGAATCTACTTGCAAGTTGCAACTATGTCAAAAAGTTCAAGGGAGGTGATTACAATTACCAAACTTCAAAGGAGATTTCAGCAATGGTCAAAAGCTTCAGGGGAAGTTTCAGCAATTTACTCTAAAAATTATGATCAATTTGAAATATATAAAGATTTGAGCCATTAAAACTTAAAAGTAACGCTACCAAACTCCATTTACCTTTTTATAATCTTTAAAACAAATTAATAGAAAATAAAATAATTAATTTGATTAAAAGTATAAAACAAAACATTGGCTTTGGTATAAAAACAATCCGTAATCTGTGATGAATGCAACAAACAAGAGAGGGAGAAGGGAGAGGGAGGGAAGAAAACAAGAAAAATGCTTAAAGAAATGTAGAAGGGAATGATTAATAATAAATTTTATAAATTGATGTTTTTGCTTTTTCCAAGTTTTTATTACTTTAATTTTGGTTGCACTGACTGACAAAAAATTCCTAGACTCTGGTTGCACTAGCAGCAGATCCAGAGTCCCAAATCCCAATTAAGTGTGGTTGATGATGGTCTGACGGAGTCGCCATCGATTCAATCACATTAGGTTTGAGAAGTAGAAATGATCTCAGGGAGGAAGTCCGTAGTACAAAAGTAAATAAATTAACCTGGGAGCTGAGATTTTTTACGTTTAAGAATAAACTAATTAATTACACCAATCATCCCGAATAAACAGAGAAAAGCAAAGGATAGAAACACAAAGGAGAGATGTCTTTTAGATTGGGTGGAACGAACGGGGATGGAGTTTGAACCAAACAATGGCAAGTCTTTCCGCACAGAGGAGATGATGATCTATGATCTATCTGTGCAGCCTCCAGCACGAATCACAACTTCACAAGAATACCTATTCCGTCAATAATGCTCATTTGCAGCGACAGTTTTGCTATATGCGCAGTTGAGATCCAAGTATCAAACCCGGATGTTTTCAACTTTAAAATTCCTCTCCATGGAAGGTGGACCTTTTGAACAACCACCTATCCCCTGGCTGATACTATAAGTTCAATGTACACAAAGTCATTACAAGTAAGAAACCTCGGACACAACCTAACAACGCAAATATCTCCCTGGAAGCATGAGAAGAATGACAAGCAAACCGTCTCTTACCTTGGATAGCTGATAAATATATAAGGGAGTGCTAATTCTCCTTATAGTAGTTAAAAAGCCTTGTTCTAAGTTTGCATTCGCCAATGTGCATGATTTTGTTTCTCAAAAAACAAAAATTTCCACATTAATTAACAAAAACACCCAAAAAGAAAATAATAAAAAGAGTAATTTTCCAAAGTCTTTAACATCAAAAGCTGAGATATATGAACATATCGACAGAATTATGGAAGGGGTGGGAGGTGGGGATGGACAGTATCTACCTTCCCAAAAGAAGTGGGCATCTTCATATCATTCTATGCTTCCTTCTTATTCATCTGCCCTTTCCCCCAACAGGCATTTTCCTTTTGGTTCAATTAAACCTTCCTCAACCTGGAGCATAGGAAAAGGAGAAAAAACATGCAAATACTAGTAGATGCTCTCATAAAGATCTATAAAGAACTAGAATCAAGTAAGCTGGGGATGCGACTTGGGCGGGCTCAGGTTGAAACTTATTAAAATTTGAATGGGCCCAGCCCAAATGCCCACGCCTGATGCAATGTAAATTCCTCAAATCATGTAACCGACTTGCGCCCCTACTAGTGCAGTCAGATTAGAACTCTTTAACATCCAATAAAAAGTAGATCCATTGGTTCAAAAGTTGAATGTCATCAGATAGAAGCTTAATATGATTCATTTTTTGTGGATCCACTTGAACTCAACCAATAAATCCAGCTTATGGATGAGAATCTGGATACTGGCAAAAAACAGATTCTAATAAGTGACCAAAATGAATGATATAAATGCTAAGAATATGGGTTGATCAAACCTGTCTTTGAACAGAGTGACTTGAGCAGCATCAATCCAGTGCATAACATGGGGCCCATTGTTTGAAAGAAAAAAAATGACAATACAATTGGTCCCACGAGCAGGTCCATGGTGTTCAACACACTGTTCAAACTTCAAAAACACATCTGCCCAACCCATATGCTTAGCATTGCTGAATGAACGAAGCAGAGGCAATGAAAATCAGCTTCTCCCATCTTATAACCATCATCATATGAAACGTAAGCCACATGGCAAACTGAGAAACATGAAAATAATTCTGATCTGTTAAAGACAATGATACTGTGACAAATTTCCACTTCAAGGCATGAATTAATCAGTTTTCATCATTTTTTTTTCTGGTGAAAATTGTCACTTTATAGATTTGATACAGGTCAGAATCATTAATACTTACATATGATATGTCTAGATTGATACTTCCTTAAGGCTGTGTTTGGTTTGAAGGAAAAAGTAGGGAAAGGAAGGGAAATGTAGGGAAACCTTTACAAGCCTTGTATGGGTTTCCCTAAGTTTCCCTTCCTTTCCCTACTTTTTCTTTCAAACCAAACATAACCTAAGGGAAACAGACTACTATCAAATACTGACCTTGTGTAACAGCACTAATTTTCTGAACCATAGCCCGAGATTGGTCCTTTCTTCTGATCACCATTTAATGTAATCCTATACAAATAGAAAGCCACCATTGTGCCACTGCAGAAAATAATACTTGTTGGATAGGTGGAGTTATGACCATAAAATAAAAATCAAGGCTAGAAATATAACATGTCCAAATATGTGTTTTTGAACTCAGAAAATGTCGATTGCAAGCAAGAAAGAAACCTAAAAAACATTGAGAAGAAATCACAGTCAATAAATGAACTAGTCTCCTCATTGCATAATGTTAAAAGACTTTGCCTCATTATGTAGATAAACTTGAAGCATCTTGATGGATGATCAAATAACATCTTCATTAAATGAAGCACAGGCATTGGGGTGACTGCTATTTAGCTTACAAAACCAGATTTAAAGGGCTCAATAATTTCAACAAGTCTTTTCCAAATGCTAATTTTTTCATAGTATTTTTTTTTTCTAAATGCTAATTCTACAACTAGAAGGATAGCCATATTGGAATCCATCACCTGGCCTATCTCCACAATTTTGGCTCAAAAATCAATAAGTTTGACTGTAAGACTTCTGATCCAACCAATCACATCTTAACCAGTTACTTGGCCTATTTGTTTTCCGGATGACCTATCTTAACCATACACTTTCTTAACCATGCAACTCTGAATCCTACAACAGAGTGGACCTTTATTCGGACTCGGGGTGCACCAGGCTGAAACTTATCCCATGAACCAGTGTTATCAATGTGATGAGGCGATGAGTAGACGTTTTTGAATCTCTAGTAGATGACTAGTTGATGCCTAGGTAATAACTAGTCAGCAAAAATAAGATACGTTCTGAATTTAAGATATTGGTGTCATCATCATCTAAGCCCTGTCTCAACTATATGGGATCGGCTACAAGAATCCCGTTTCACTATTCCATTCTGTTCAGTGCCATATCCATGATGAAAGCATTAGAAGACAATACCAGAAACTATGAAAAAAATTAACAAACCTGATGAGTGTCATAAAGGAACTTGAAAATGATGGCCTCTGCAAGGAAAAAGAAAAAAAGAAACATCAGAAACAGCCAATGGAAAAGAGAGGTTAATAGCTATACCAGTTCCATGACAACATTATAATAGATAGTGCCTTTGAGCCAGCAAGGCCTTGATGCATAGAATAGGGCTAGCCTTCTGGAAGTGGCACTGTGGCAGATGTATATCCTTTTGTAAAGCATTTTTCTGTGGGATCCTCTCCCTCTTATTATTAATATATGCATCCATTAAAAAAATAGAGCCTTTACCTGTGAAAGCAAGCGCAAGTCCCTTAAAAATATTATACCTGCAACAGCTGCATCCCCGAAACTCTACTTAGAAATATGCTTTCTAAGATAACAATTGAAAACATGAAGTGCAAAATAGAATGCATAATTAAAAATAATTAATAATACATCTAGATAGTCAGAAAGCAATGCTTTTTTACCGAGGTGATATTTAAACCAAAACTCAACCAACATTCTTTGTTTCACAACACTAAGCCCATAGGAGAAGCTAAAACCATGACAAGAATATTCCTACACAACAAATTGCCCATGGTCTGAACTCTGAAGGAATATACTACTTCCTATTGAAAATACTAACTCTGAAAAAATAAATAATAACTGTATTAGTATATTACTTGCAGATAAACACTTCATCTACCGGTCAGGTTATATCAAAGTGTGATTGCAAGAGTGCTGGTTTATTACTCCTCTTGTTAGGATGCCCATTTTTTGTAGCTAGAAAACACACAAGACAATTTAGACATGCTCTTAATAGAACAGTAGAGGCAAGAAGAGATAAGGTCTGAAATGATCCAGAGAAAAAAAAAAACAGTCGTCTGGGAAGCTTTTTTTCTTTTCCTTTTGGTGAGGAGGTGGAGAGGACTCCTCTTTGTGAGAAGTTCCTTTGAGATTAACTCCATCGGTCCATCTCCATATTTAGAAATAAACCAAAATCTCATTATACATTTTTTTTTCTTCTGAGCCTATCTATGGTTTATGACTAAGGAGGACTCTTCATGACTTGAACTTTTGGAGGCTACATCCCTTATTAGATATCCTTCTTGGTTTGTTTGGTATTTGGACATAACATTTTATTAGGCTGAAATATTAGCCCTTATTCAAGGATTGAATTGGTAAAAAGAAAAGAGTGGACAGATCTGGTGGTGGATGGGGACTGTCAAGTTCTCAAGGATGAACGAGATCAGTCAGTTTTTGGTGGCACGCTTATGTTTCAGGGAGTTGGAGGCATTTCCTCCCTTTTTGGTGCTCAATTGCAGCCACAAGAATATATCCTTAAACTACTAACAACTAACTTATTCGCCCTTGGAAGGAAAAGAAGAAAATGTGTTTGAGCAGCTACATTGTGATCAATCTGTTAGGAATGAAAATCTAGATTTTCTTTTCCTTCTCTAACAATTAACAGGATGTTAATGTTTTAATTAGTTGCATCACCAGTAGAGTGTCTCATCTCTTTGGTTGTATATTGACATAGGAATCTGTATTCTCCCCTAGAAGGAAAAGAGGAAACATTATGTCAAGATGTATTCAAGCAGCTATGTTGTGGTCGACCTGTGAGGAACCAATATGTTTTGATTGGTTGCATCACAAGTAGAGTAGCTTATTGGCTGCATGCAGCATAGGAATCTGTACACTGTTTGCATGCTTTTTTGTCATTTAAAAAATGTCTACAAATATTTTTAAATTTTGATAATATCCTTAAACTACTAACAACTAATATATCCTTTTTGGTGCTCATGTACCTCCTTATTTTTTGTAAAAATATGTTGTTTTGCATTTCAGCAGCTGGAGACTACTTATTTGCTGAATGATGAAGATAGGCATTGGGTAATTATTTTACTCCTAAAAAGTTTTTTTACAAGTTTTTTTTGTAAAAAGTGACTAAGATTATATTAAAAAATAAGGAGGTACATGAGAAGATGTATGCCAGAGCGAAACAGAGAAAGGATTACAAAGGTAGAGCACTATCACTAAATAAACATTCTCTATGAGCATCAGATTTAGCTAACCCGTCTGCTACAGTGTTCAATTCCCTGGGAATCCAGTTCAACTTAACCTGCATTGAGTCCAAAGTGTCTCTAGCTTCTGCCAAGAGATGAACCAAAGTTTAGCATATACCAACAAAACCCAAGGATTTAATCCATTTGGAATCCTTTCTGCATTCTACTTTCAGCACCTATTTCAGCAGTAATCAAATGGCCCCTAAGACTAACTTTTAAAGCTACAGACTAAAGAACTCATCCCCCTATTAATTTCTATTGACATACATATGTTTTGGTGAAGAATGCTAGTAACCAAAGTCAGAGCGAAACTCACTGAATTCTTTACCCTACAGACAAAGTGGCACCTGTTAAAGGGGTATCCAAATTTGTCTTGTAGGGTGTCTTCTCAGGGTTCCACCATTTCTGTAGGAAGGAGAATTCAAAGAGTTGAAGAGTTGAACAAGGTGCTGCTTACTATCATTCCTCATATTTTAAGTATAAAATATTATGACTCAACGAAATCAAGCACCAAAAGATCATGTGAGTTTGTAGTAATAATCACAAATTCTTAGATGTACATGTTAGTCTTTTTGCTATTTTTGTTTAGTACAAGAGACACACAGATACATAAAATATGAATGGATATTTCCTCCACCCACTTTACCTAAGTGAAATGCTTCTCTATCTTTATTCTATCCATCAACTTTACAGTGACATGCCTGTGTTCACTACTTTAATCCATGCATAAAAGTCACATTATCTCTTATACGACAACAAGCACAAAAAGTATAGTGACCCGCCAAATACATTCTCACAATAAACCAGAAAATACAGGATCCATTGTCACTCAAGGAATTCATTAATCAACAAGAGAAAAGAAAAAGAAAAGAACAAAGAAAACATATAGAATTCACTAACCTGCTTGCCCTTTCAAAGCCAGAGCAAACGATTCCCCCCTTTTCCATGATCTCAGACTTGATATACTTAATGCTAGAAGAATACCCCCAAGAATAACCCCAAACCTAATGGCAGAAATGCTTCCAGTTATCATGAAGGAAAGAAAACCACCACCAGAAAGAAAGACACCTGCGCAAAACAAGAATTCCATGACAAATACATAACTCAAATTAAAAGGACTTATACCTATAGTCCATCTGTATGGATCAAAATAATATCAACAAGGAGAAGGGAAAGACCATTAAGTTGCAGAAGTAGGAACAGACTAAAACACATTGCACATCTACATCAAGGGCATCCGTACCAAAAGGGATAGTACATACCATAAGGAATCCCAAGGTAAAAGTCTTGAACCTTAGAAACTTCCTTCAAATCATTAGTTGAGGAAGCAAAGGTTTCCACAATGTCCTTCACTGGCTCAGGAGAATTGTCTGCCACTGTAGAAAGATATTCTTTACCTTCTTCACTGATTTCTCTTGCTATTATACTCAGATCATGTCTTGCTTTCTCCACCTGGATGCTTAGCTGTGCTGAGGTATCCTTCAAAACCACCCTTGCCTTCTCAGAGTATAACTTGTATGCTTCTTCAGACATGATCTGCATCTTTACGGCTTGTTCTTTGAAAGATTCTAATGTCTGTTTCAGTGCTTCTTGGGATTCCTTGGCTCTAATGTCAAACTCACTCTTCCCTTCAACTTCAATTTCTGAATTCTTCTGTTATACAAACAGACATTAAATTTACAATAACAAAAAAAAAAAAAACCCTTCAATTAAAGGGGTAAAAAACTGAAATTGAAGATGCAGAGAAAGAGAAGATTAATCAGATCTGAGCCATTATCATGCCTCAACCAAAGAAGAAGCATCATAGTTTCTCCAAGGAAAGCAGTCCTCCAGCACAAAGTACGAGAAACATGTTTCACTTTCCCAATTCATTTATTAGAAATTGATATTTGGCTGTCAACCCTGAAATTCGTTGCAATAAGATTCAAGTATCCCAATAAAGGACACAACACAGATATCTATTGGTCCTTGGGCATTAACTCTAAATAAGGTTCAGAGTATCAAAAACACAAGGTGCATCAGAAAGGCAGTTTTAAGAGACGTATAGGGTACACTTTACATACACATGGATACACTAGGAAACTCAAACATATTATAAAAAATATATTAATAACAAGAAATATAAACTTTATATGACTTTAATAAGTTACGTACGCATAAAAAACCTTTAATGGTTTTTACAAAGTGTCATATATCGGGATCAGGACACAATTGGTAACCATCAAAAAATGATAGAAGAACTAAAATGTATGTATATACCTTAAATTTAAAAAAAAAATACAATATAATATGTGTTAATATTTATTAGTAATATAAATTTTAATAAACAATTTTATCACTTAGCCATTTATTGACAAGCATCCACTAACCACTAAGAGGAGAAAGTTTACTTAAGAATCAAACTGCATATGATTATGACAAGCAATTAGAGTATGGCGTAGTGGTGGACCTATGGTCATTACAGTGTTTTAAAAGCGCAAGGCGCAAGGCGAGGCGCGTGCCTTTTTAAGAAAGGCGCAAAACGACAAAAAAAAAGCTAAAAAATAAAAAATCAAGTCAGAAAATTCAAAAAATATTAAACATAATGTTAATAAAAAATATAAACATAAATTTTAAAATAAATGTTTTAAAAAACCAATTATCTAAAATTAAATACATAAACATAACATGTAAAGTGTATTCAAATGAAAATTTAAAAATAAAAGCAAATATATAAAGCATTTTCAAGCATCTAAAACCCACAATCTCTTTTTTTTTCCTTAATTGCATTGTTTCAAGTAGTTAATGTGATGCAAAACATACTGCATTCTTGATTCTATGGGTCGCCTTTGTACCACGCCCCTCGAGGCAAACTCGAACAAGTCTATGTTAGGGCTTTTGAAAGGGGTGAGCCTAGGACCTGGGCGAGGCACATACCCCAAAATGTGCCTCACCTGTGCGCCTAGGCATGCCTTTTAAATCATTGGGTCATTACAAACTAATGGCCAAAGGTTCAAATATTCTTATATCCTACTTGTAGTTTTTATACAAAAATGGTAGGCTATAGTAATTGAATAAAAGTTTAATGGTGTGTCATTATAACAACTTCGAATTTGAATATTGCTTCAAATGTAGGAGGTAATTAAAATTGAGACAAATTTGAATTTGAAAAGTTTCTCTTAATATAGGAGTTATTGAAAGAGGGAAGGGGTAATAATAGGAGTTATTGATGAGAGAGAATGTAGAAGGATTAGAATGTTAAAAATCATATCTATATTGGCCAAAATGACCCAATACAGGTCCATATTGTCCCAATACAAACGAAAGGAATGAAACACATAATTTCAATGTGTTCCACGCATCGGGACCTGACTGGAATAATATGTGTCGACCAATACAGATCAATACATTGTGAAATTTTAAACCTTGCCTCTAAAGACCCTCTACATAACACCATGATAATGCAAAGTTATGGTGCCAATTGGAGGCATATAGAGGTTTTAATGGTGGATCCCCCCAGAAGTAAAGTCAAAATGTGGCTCGCGTACTGCATAAATTCTTGAGATAACTGGTACCATGTACTTGGATTGGAAACACAATGTTCAACCGCTTGATTATGAGCCACTCATGCATAGGCTTGCTAAAAGTGGGGGGAAATGTATGACTGATCAAAACAACAAATAATATTTATGAATTACTTCGTTGCTGCATAACTAAATGGTTGACGATTGCTCCACCTAATGTGTGTGTGTGTGTGTGTGTGTGAGAGAGAGAGAGAGAGAGAAGATTGGTCCATCTGGTTGGAAAAAAGATCAGCTGAATTGATTTTAAGATCGAGTTGAAGTATCTATCCATCTACGATCTATTCCTTCTTATCACCACGAAACGTCATGAAAATTCCATTTCCTAAGTTACGCAATAAGATCAATGATATTCGCCTATTCGGAGTCTCCACCCGTCCCCAGCGCTCAACTAGTTTAATTAGTAAACCCGGTTACTAATTAGCAACCATGCCACTGTCCGGTTCGGAATGAAAACGTTTAAGTTGCACTTACAATACATTAACAACACAATATTAGTCAGAATGCAATATGTTAAGAAGATTAAACGTATATAAATACAGAGAACGGAATTACAGAAAAGTGCAAGGTGTTCTTACCGAGTCTTCATGCGAAGCAGCAAATGAGGTAACCGATCCATTGTTGGACCTTGGGCGATGGGGCAAAGCAAAACGAGATCCAAACCCTTTGAGAGAGATGCAGCGACCGGCAACCGCGACCCTGTAATTGTAAGGACGAAAAGGTGAAGGTTCGGAACAAAACGACGAGGCAGAAGAAAGAGGAGTAGAAAAGGCCATGGAACCACTCCTCGTAGAGACAGTAGTAGAGTTAGGGTTTGTGTACGAAACGAAGCACTTCAGAGATACCGCCATGGCGCTTTGCTCAGACGAAAATCACGAGGGGCGGAGTCGATATGAAAATGCTTCTTTATTTCTTTGCTTAGTTCAGGCAGGCAGGCAAGTAAACTGCACTCAACTTTTCTTTTTACCCAAAGACAGAAAAAAAAAAGGTTAAATGCTTAAACCTCCCCTCTGGAATTGACAAATGCTGAGACGTTCCCTTTGTTTAGCGAAATGACTTAACAGTACATCTATTAGATTACTGAACCACTATTTTACCCTTTATTCATCTCCAATTTTTCAAAAAAATATGATATATATTGAAAACCGAAAACTGTATTAGTGATTTAGTGTTACTACTCGAGGTTGAGGAGAACGTCAGAGGTCCCGCCGGCTTCGACGATGATCCAAGTGATACCAGCAGAAGTTTCACAAAACTTGGGACAGCCCCTTGACCAAATAATTACAACCCCGGCATTCTCCGACGTTCCTGAAGCAATTTTCGACCTATAAGGCTGTAAAGGAAGGAAAACCTTTACAAAATTAAGGCTAAAGCTGCGGAATGTCCTCCCTCACAAGTAACTCAACAAAACGAGGAGCAACACCAGAAAAGTAATTAAATAAAAGAAAATTAAGACATTCGATTTTTGTTCAACAAAGGAAAAAAAAAAAAAAAAACAATTAAAGCAATGGAAGACAGGTTTAAAAAGGCATTATAAAAATATATAATCAATACCCATCGAAGCTGCGTGATTGTCTACTGGCTAGTGGCTGGCTACTGCAGAGGGAATGCACATGGCGAAGGCGAATATTAAAAGTGTTAAGTGGCGAACATAAATATTCAAAATTTAAAGCGCCAAAGTCGTTCTGTGGTTACATGACATCAATCACAAGCTGTTCAAAATCTGAAATCAAAGCCTAAGAAAATGATCCAACAACCGTATAAGATCGAAACCATTACACAAATACCAAACACTTGACATCAAAAACACGAAGCGAACTTATACGCTACTCCACACCTCAACCAACATCTGAATTCGGCTACGGAGAAAGAAACCTGCAGCAATGCGTGGGCACCATCATCTCTCTCTAGCAGGAGAACGAGCATCTGGCATCTGTGGCTGCGTTTGGCCAGGCATAAAGGATTGCAGGGAATTGCAAATTTGGGTTTTCATTTGATGTTACATACAACATGGGTGTAAACTAGACCTGTTCATGGACCGAAATACTCCGGCGGGCTTGGGCCGCGGGATCAGGATCAACTTTAGGCCCACGGGTTGGTTCGGGGTGTAAATGCCAGATATTGTTACTTTTCAATCTGTGATTGGGCTTTTGTAAATAAACCCGGTTCATAACATGGGCTTTTCGCTTTTGTAAATGAACCCGTACGATGCGCGGGAAAATCCAAATTTCTGTTAAATTATTAGTTTATTAAATAAAAATTTAAATTGACAATTTAAAAAAAAAAGAGAGAGAGAAAATTTATTTTGTTAATATATTAAAAATTATTGAATATTTTTCTAAACAACAAATTGACAATTCTCAAAGTAGCAACATTTATTATGCCATTTTATTGAAAATTATTAAATATTTTTCCAACCAAATAATTAATTTTCAGTAATTACTAATTATTAGTTCATTGAATAAAAGCTAATCAATATTTTAAGTTTTAACAACAATTTTAAATAATTTCTATAATTAGTTATCAACAATTTATTACATTTGTGTATTTTGGGGAAATTATTGAAAATTATTTTTTGCTCATAATAATTACCAGGAAATTATTTCCAAAAAATATTACATAAACCTATTCAATCAATTTATTGAAATTATTGGAAATTTTCTTTGTAATTTATTGAAACTTTACAATAAGTAGGGACTTTTATACCCATGCATCAGATGGGTCCCTACTTAACTCTCAAAACTTTCATTGTAAATTAATAAATGAATATTCAGAAACATAATAATTTTTGAAAAATTCCAACTAACAAAATAAATAAATATTCAGAAACACAATAATATCACTCAGCTTTCACTGATCCTGGCTTTTCACCTTTAACTAATCAAATGTGTTCTTTTCATAAGTTTTTATCTTTGATTGCATAATTTGTGCATATGAATTCAGATTCAATAAGGAAATAAACCAATTTACGAAATAGTAAAACAGTGATCGGATGAGAAGTTGAAGTTGATTGATTTTGACAAATAAAAAAAAAAGTTCTTTGATTTAATGAAATAAGTGAAGAATTAATATTTAATAAAACTATAAATTGGGAAAGTAGTGAATTTGGAAATGCGTATGGATCGGAATACCCAGAACCGGGATCGATTTAATCACCTTCCTGACCCAGATTTCTTTACAGTTGTTTCTCAAATTTAGGGTGGTTTGACGGTATAAGAACACATTGCTCGCTGGAATGACGCTGGAGTCCATTAAACCGGCCTATTTGGTCACCAACGATGGTGATTTTTAAATGTTGTTTTAGAAAAAAACAGTGGTTTTGATTGCAAAAAAATAAATAAATAAAACAATTTGCTAAAATAGTGGTTTTGATTGAGGAAAAACAAACTTCTCTTTGGAACAACAATAACGACCATTATTCATAGAAAAACCGACCCATTTGATCACCGATGGTTGGTGATTTTTATAGGACTGGGAGTAAGACACTCCTGTTTCAGGGTGATCGAAAAACTCTTTGAATAAAAGTTGGAAGTTATTGAAAATAGAGAAGGTACGCTTAAAGTGATAGAGAAGTCAATTTAGAGTTGTGATTGATTCAACAACACCTTTAATTATTTGTTACGTACGGTATTATGTGGCTTTAAAAACTTGAATCGCCATCAAACGTTGTGAAGAACGATTTCAAATACAGGAATCCGATTCATCAGAATAAAAAAGTAGATGGAAGAAGTGATCAACCTTGAGACTTGTAAACAAGAAAGAGAGAAGATGACGCCGATGTGGAGAAATAAGGCAACTCCACGTCCACGATGATGGTAAACGGTGAGGTGTGGTGTAAGACGAAAAACAACCCCATGCCTTCATACATATTTGAGGCAGTAAATGAAAGACACAAAATTTAGGGTATAATATAAAAACCTCCCCTAAGTTTCTGATAATCATAAAAATTTTCCCTTTAGTTTGACTTTAACAAAAACTTTCCCTAGACTTATAAAGAATTTGACAAAAACGTCCATAATTTATATATACTTTTACTAAAATACCCCCATTTGAAAATTGATCCAAAAAACTCCCTTTGACCTTATTATACTTTTCAAATCCCTGAACTCCACCGTTTGAAGACGAGGAACGTAGCTCGTGAAGTATTTGAGCCATTATAGGAATAGACTCAAACAATTTCTCGTAGAATCCTTTCTTGGCCTCACAGGTAGTTCAGACGGGAAGAACGAATTGTTATCGGAGCTTGTAATTCTGTAAAGACTGTTTCAAGAGTCCTTATTGATCGGGCAGCCACTCTGCATCAAGGGGTGGCTGAAACCACCACCATGGTTCGACAGACCAACTCTGTTGCCGACTGGCCTGAACTGACTGTGAACTAAGCCATTAGTCCCCTCCCCACAATTCCAAAACTAATCAGTCTCTCTTTGGTGGCTTCCCATCAAGTACTCATAATTCTCGGTCGAGTTTCGGGTGAGTGAGTAGCTGGGGTTGTGAGAGAAGGGGAGGGAGTAGGAGTACGAACGTGATGCTGCCGTATAGTCATCGGAGCATGACGGCGCCAATGAATGAGTGCTCCTCACTGACTTCAGAAGAACAGGAGGGTCAGCTTTTGGAGCTGGGTTCAAAGTGTTGAGGGATAGTGAGACATCCGGCAAAGCTAGAGAGAGTTTAAGGGTCTCAATCTTTGGTTTCTTTTCCCTCTTGTCTTTGTCGATTTCCTCTTCCTCGAACTCTCGCCTCGACCCTGCTCCCCTAGCATCGTTCAACTGTAGAAAATCTCTCTCTACCCATCTATCCTCTTCATTCTAGTTCTCCGGAGCCACTTCCTTTCCCTTATATCTCCCTTTCTCCAAATAACTCAACAAATTCTTCCCAGAAATCTCTCTGTCTTGAAAATCCATTTTAGAATTATCGCACAGGTAGCTCAGAGTCAGCTCCTGAGCACCTGAATTGCCATTTCTTGGCGGTTTTAACGGAAACCCATTATGACCAATCTCCGAACCTCGCAGAAAATTGGGACCCTTCTCAAAAAAAAAAAAAAATCAATTTTCCCATTTGGGGTCTCAAGGTTTTGCACGGAGACGTGATGTTTCAGTTTGGTCAGAGAGTTCTCTGTTCTGTGAACAAAACCATTGGAGAGATTGGTCTCTGTAATCATGGCCTACAAGGGAGCTCACAGTAAGAGAGATAAAGAGAAATGTACCCCGCCAAAACGGTAGAAATTTCAGAAGTCGTCCAAGGATTTGAGGGGAAGTTCGAAGAAAATTCTCTTCCTCCCTGGTATGCCCTTGCAGCTGGTGACGGACTAAGAAACATTCCCATGAGCTTCCTTGACTGGTGATGGACCAAGCATAACTGTAGATGATGAACCCTCATTCCCATTAAGCACGAGCTCCTTGACTGTAGATGGTGAGGGTTCAGCATAGCTTCCTTGACTGGTTTGGTTGAGACTGAGTCAGATTTGCCACGTGTATAATCCTTAATGCACGAGCTACTGCATTTCCCATTGTCCCACGCATTAAATGTTGCTTCTTTACCTAACTAGAGTAAGCTTCAGCGGCGAAAGAGGAGAAACATTGAAAGACTCGACAACCGCTTTGGAGTTTCAAGGAATATTGAAAGAGGAGGAAGAAAACAACGAAGAAAGAATAAGAAAATGACAGACTTTTCAGGATTACTCTTTTTTTTGAACCGATAGGGTTTGGATGAAAGATCGAAAGATTTGTGTTTCTCATCTTCAAAAGGTGGAGTTTAGAGATTAGAAAAGTATAATGAGGTCGAAGGGAGTTTTTTTGCTCATGGGGGTATTTAATAAAAGTACTTGTAAACTAACTTATAAAAGGGTAAAATGAGAATTTGAAAAAAACGATGCACCGGTTTAACGTTTTTCGTCTGAATCAGTGAGGGAAGGGAGATTTTTATCAAATTTTTTAAGTCTAGGAGAGGTTTTAATTAAAGTCAAATTAAAAGAAAAATTTTTATGATTATCAAAAACTTCAAGGAGGTTTTTATGATTACCACAAAATTTAAGCATATGAACGCAAGAACCTTATTAATTATCCTTTGCATGATGAAACAAAAATCACTGCCGATACCATTCATAACACAAATGAAAGGCCACGTTGACTACATTAAACACCCATCCCGCTTAAATATATAGCAGAGTAACCCGTGCTGAGCACGGGAGTGATACTGGACAAAATATCTGACATTTCATCGAATAGAGATCATGCTAACAGAAGTTTTAAAGTGTTTCTTTTTTTTTTCCTAATTTATACCAACTTACCCAGTAATAAGCGCCAACTGAAAGAAAGTGTATTTTAAAGAAGTCTGAGCAAATATCAAAACTTATTTTCAAGGTCATTAAAGCCCACTGGGAAAGGCATTAGGACATACATTGCCTACTCTCCTGATGAGTAGTAGAAGTCTGAGCAAATATCAAAACTTATTTTCAAGGTCATTAAAGCGCCAACAGGAGAAGCATCTGATGAGTAGTAGAATTAACCGTAAAGCCCTTTGAGCTCCCAAGTTCCATATATTGCCTACTCTCCTGTTGATAAAATTCAAGCTCACCGGAGAACTGACCGTCGATGGATTATGAGAGTTGCCCAAGGCCTAGATTACGTGGAATCTCCTGCAAGCTGCTACCAGCTTCATTTTCGTTGGAACTCTATGTTGTTTGCTACAGCACCGTGAGGTGCTGATGATTGAACCATCGGGTTCTAGAGCCCCATGGTTGAAGACTCCTGCAAAACATTCACCCGGATGCATACCGGAACTGGAAAAGACCGTCCCACCCAGTGATCCTTGCAGATATGTGTGGGAACTGTGAGAGAACTCATTGCTTGTAGACTTCTCTGAGCTTCTTGGCCATAGATGTGGCAGAAATTTTCCAGTAGCCATATAGGTTGTAGATCACCTGGCCTTGTGATTGGCCATTGTTAGTGTTCAGTCTGCCTGTTAGACTGATAACAGCCAAGGAAGAGAGAGAAAAGAGAGAAGGAGAGAAAGAGAAAAAAGGAGAAAAGCAGAGGAGAAACAAGAAGAGAAGATTCTGGTTGGAATGAGAGAAAAAGTTCACTCTCCCATTTGGTCATATGTATTTTATATTACTAAAATAATGTGAAAAAGTCACATATGCCCCTACTTAAGTTAGTGACATTAAATCTAACATAAACTTATACATCAGCACATAAACACAAGCATAAAGACAAAATTACCCCTACATACTCGATACTAACAACCATATATCTCTTGGTGGATGCCATGGGTATGCTGTGAAATCCATCAAAAAACTACCAACTCTACTGCTAGCTACTGCAAATTAAGAATAGAAAAATGTCATCGGTGGACGGTGGAGTGTGGTGAAACGTGAGTGAGATAGCAAACGAAAAAAGACAAAAAAATAACACATGAATAAGCAATTCGGGAGAAATGGGACCCTCATTTGTTCCCTATTCGCACGATTCGATGAAAATTACGTGTGGATACCATTTCTTGCGGGAAGAAGAGGCCACGTCGTCTTAACTAAAGCCCATCCCACTTTAATATTAATATATATAGATAGATAGATACTGAAATTCAGTAATATATAATAAAAATATATATTAGTAATACATGATAAAATTTGTTTATTCCCAATTTCCCATATTTAGACTAGACTTTTAGCTTTGTATAAAGGCCAGCTCTAGGCTCGATAGTCAGGTTGGATTTGGGCTTGGACCTGAACATTCTTCATTCATAAAGAGGCAAAGGCTGGCCTGAACTCAGCCTAGCCCATGAATAGCTCTTGTCTCTTGTATAAGCAGCTCAAATTTCAATCGAAACAAACAATATTTAAATTCAAGTTAATATTTAATTAGATTCAAATTTGGTTAATTAATTATTTTAGATAATTAATTTGTATATATAATACAAATATTTTATTATATAAAATATATGAATATAGGAATTATTTTATATAATTTAAATGTTATATATATGAATTACCTAAAATATTTAAATATTTTATGTTTTGTATATATAAATTATATAATTGGTCAAATTCGGATATTTATGGAATCCAATCAGACCTTATCCAAATTCGATGCATTGTTACACCTTCATGCAAACGAAATGCCACAAACAACTGATGAAAGGGTAGCATCGGACATAACCCAGGAACCAGTAAGTTGGTCATTTTGGAAAATAGATACCAGAGGGGAGGTTTACGGATTTAACCCTCAAAAAAATGAAAATTACTCAAACCTCCACTATATTTTGACCTTCAAAGAAAACTACCATCATGTTACATACCCCTTCCCTAAATTGTTAAAACTGACATGATGGTTTAAAATTTCTAAAATCACATTTGTCTTATTGATGTGAAGATTTATCAAATTACTACCAAGAATGTGATTTACTTTATTTAAACGTGAATCAATAATTACTTGATTAAGTGAACAAGAAATGCAGTTAGCCAAAACAAAAAGTGAACAGATGCTAAATTAGAATTGAACTTAAGCCTCCTCTATTAGCAGAAACAAATTGAGAATTTGCTTCCTAAAGCATTTGAGAATGGATTTTGAGACCTTGCTTCCTAAAGCAGGAATCAACAAATTGCCGTTTCTTGAAACACCGCCTAGAATGGATTTCTTTGCTAAGTTTTTTATGACTCCTTGACTCAACCTCTCCAACCAAACAGAATTAACCGTTTAACTCAAAATGCCTACGTGACACTGATACGTGGCAGCACATAGCCCCCTTTGTCAACACTTCTCGTTAGTTTTCAGACCCCCAGCCAATGGCGCATACTGTTCTTTATAATTTTGATTGGCCATCATGTCAATAACTCCAAAACTGCAACATGTTCATGCATCGAGTAAAGATGAATTACAACTCGGACTCAGAATACAGGTTTCCAACGTATTAATTACCCAAGGAAAAATTGAGGCATATAGCCAATAGATTCTTGGATAGGCCGTAGGCGATATGAAACGATGAACAGAACAAAATGTAACGATTACTGGGACAAGGCAGTCTTGATAACTAGTAACTACGAGAGCATACTCCAATGCTTTAACAGGCTCATTTAATACTTGCATTACGGATGGAAGATGTGCATGGCCCAGCAGATGTCATGAAGGGTATTCCCTTGAATGTGGCCACTCCTTTGTCATCGGTGTAAAGATGCTGCATCAACCAAAAACTATCACCACATAAACAGAGCAGGGCATTTAAATCATGTACATAAAGAGAATAGATGGAGACTTGAATGTATAGCACACATTTGGCAAAGGTATCCCTTTAAGCAAATAAGCAAGACCATTTCCAGCAATGAAGTTTATTGACACGATTGGAAGGAAAAATAAGAGACCAAGAACAAGGGCCATCTCAAACCTGAACTTCTTAAAATATCTGGGATAAGGTCTGGAAAAGTCTACACCCTGGCACCACAAAAAATCCCAACTATCCACTATTCAGTCTAAGACCTATGGTAGAAATACATAATATGAGAGAGAGAGAGAGAGAGAGAGCTTGTCAGTTGGATGGAAAAGACTCCGAGAATTGTGATTTGAAGGCTCCTGTGGACAGGGTAGAGAAAGAAACGGGCCAAATAGCTATGATAGCCAGGTACTAGTTGAATAAGCCCTTCAGTGCCAGCAGGAAGACGCATGATTCAAGAACCAGAACTTCTATAAACAATAAAATTAAATGCACCAGCAGGAACAAGAATTGAAATGTTGTGCACATGAAAGTTGCTAGACAAAGGAGAAAATTTACACTTTCAACAGGAAAGAAGTATATACCGGTGTGATCTTCTCCAACTGCTTCTTCTTGGGATTTATAACATCCTCTGGCTTACCATCGTGCCTAAATGGAAACATTCACAGATGAAGGTCAAATAATTATAGTAGTCCCTGTTAAGGGCAAAATGAGTTTTGCAGTTGTAATCAAAAGATAAATCTAAGTGAGCAAAACTATCCTTAAACAGTAGCAAAACAGTAAAGCATTAATGCTAAACAGAGCACCTTCTGAAGTCTGGAAATAGTCCTCTGAAGTGCCATTGAGCCTCAAATTTTAGGTGCAATAGATCTATGAAGGACTTACCATACTGCAGAGTATTTTAGGTGCAATAAACCTATGAATAGAGTTGAGGTTGAAAGATTCAAAATTTTAACTTTAATCTTTATAATATATGTCAGTAACATAACAGTCCCATACCCACAGTTTATAAGAGTGCCCGTCAAATACGGGGCTAACTGGAGTGGTTGAATGTTCAGTTTTGAATTCCACGACAGTCCCACAGTTTATAAGAGCTTTTCTTCATAGAAAAAGACATAGGATACACAGTAGGGGCTTTTGGTCTGAAACCTGCTCAATTAGATAGAGAAGCAAGTGGACCCCAACTATGGTCCTGTGTTGAAGATTACTTGGTTGTTTACTGCACTAAACAACTCAATAACAAACTTGGTACCCCTGTATGTTTATGGGGATGGTGCTTCTAGTCAGGTCATTCAATGAAATCTAACCAAGAATCTTCCAAAAGAGTTCACATGTTCCTCTTGATGCCTTATATTCATGAGGGAAAATTTCAGCTTAAAACTCCCTGCAATACAGCCTAAATAAGCCTCATTTTTTATTACAAATAAAAAAACATTGGAAGGTTGGACCATAAAAACTCAGCTAAGGTCTAAATAGTAAATACAAGGTGAAGTATGGTTATACATTTTTCATTTTCGAGATAGATGGATTGCCTAGGGAGCTTTCCTAATTAATACAATTAGAATTTTTTTCTCATTTGTTTATGGTTATACATTTTTTATTTTCAATGCTTACCCTGAAAATAGAACACGTTCCCCAATTTTGGCCCCTTCTGGAGGAATCAAAGGTTCCACAACTGTATGATCTTGATTAGAAGCACATAGTACCTGAGGCATACAAAACCACACAAACACACACAAATAAAACATCAAATTCATCTTTAGGTTTGACAAGAAAAAAACAAACAAAAGGAAAGGGGAAAAAAGCAATAATTATTCATACAAAGCCACACGAGCGCACACACAAATAAAACATCACATTCATATTTTTAGGTTTGACAAGAAAAAAAAACAAACAAAAGGAAAGGGGGAAAAAAGCAATAATGATTCAAAACTTTACAAGTGCAATGAAACATACTATTTTTAAATGAGAAAAGGTGAAAATACTTTATGACTCAAATTTATAGTTGCACCAGCCATGAAAATATTTTATGACTCAAATTTATAGTTGCACCAGCCATGAAAATATTTTATGACTCAAATTTATACAGAACATTTTATTAACATCCCTACTTTGATCAGTGTCATTGACCCAAAAGAAAAGGAAAAAAGGGTGAAAAATGAAGAAAAAAATTATGTTAGAAGCTACTTAATTCCCTAAAGCATGGGATAGACAAGTTAATGTCAAAACAATCATAAGCAAAAGTAATTTTGCAAACAACATAAGCAAAATATAGATACATGCACAAAAAATTGAAAACCACATAACTCAAATTCAGCTATGGATTACATGACAACTTGATGTGGCGCCACCATCTTAGCTCGATAAATATGATCTCTTATGGAAAGCTCAAAGGAGAAAACTTAGCAATAATAATTAAAACAATGAAGACAACTACATATACATCAAAGCAAAAGCACACTAAAATAGAGGTTTGGATCATTCCCGAAAGGAGAACTACCAGCAAGGAATTTTGGGGAGAAAGCTAATAGAATCCCATATTTTAAAAGTAATTCTCTATTTGGTTAATGTCTTATGAATAGGTTTAATCATGTTAAAGAGTCAAAACAGTTTAAAGAGTTGTATTAGCGAGTTTTTAGAACTTAAAAAAAAAAGTGGTTAAAACCCATCACGTTTCCTTCCAGTTATTTCAAGAGTCCACGTCCATTTTTAAATTACCCTCTAAGTTTCATATGGGTTTACCGTGGTCCTAATGCAATTAGGAAATCACTTCTAGACAATACCTCCTGAAGTTAGGGCCTTCTCTTGAGAACTGTACCACTTGATATTAATGCTTGTGTGAACCTTCAAAGCATGGTTTTCGAACCGCCGTTGACCCGGACGGTCAGACCATTCGGCCCGGGAACCATCCAGGCAGCCAGTTCCGTTTTACCCCAAACCCAGTCCCTGGCCAAAAAACGTTGATTCAGTCAATGGCCCGTTGACCTGAGTGGTCAAACAGTCGACCCGTTCAACGGTTTTGGCCATTTTTTATTTTTAAGTATTTTTTATTTTTTTAATTTTTGTCAGAACAGGTCATCCGAACCAGACGGTCAAACCGTCAACCCAGAAACCAGTGGACAGAATGGTTCTATTTCTGGGTTGTTTTTTAAAACCATGAAGGAAGAGGCCTGGTCAGTGCCTTTCTCCCCACATCTGTTCCCTTTGCAATGCAAGTGGAGAAAGTACCTAGCATCTGCTAATCTCCTGTACTTGGTACTTGTGTTACTGGCTTTTTTTATCAGTTACTTTTTGCTGCTGGCATTTGGGATGGGTTTTTTGCTCTATTTTGTTGTAGGTAGACTCCTCCATCAAACTTGGCAAAACTCTTTAAACCAAATTTCTTCGACCACCTAGAAGGAGAGGAAAGATATTATGAAGGTGTACTAGAGAAGCAATTGTGTGACCCACACAGCTTATCCAAAAATGGAAGAAAGAAAACTGATCAAAAAAAAAAAAAAAAGGGAGACTGTTTAGAGAGAACACCCAAGGTAGAAGCACTATCATAGAAAATATCACAATAAAAGTGGTGCATAGGTGAAAACAGTGGGAATGTTCAATGAGTTTCCACTAATGACATCATCCGAGGGTGGCAATCTCCTCTACTACTATGACTGCAGCAAACTCAATCAAATTAAACTTTGATGGCTCCAGCAGAGGTAAACTCAGGCTTATTGGGGATAGGGTGTCTTTAGGGACTATATTGAAGACATTACAACATTATTTTCTGCTCCAGTAGGCCACAGGAATTCAAATAGAGCAGAATTATTAGCATTACTACAAAGCTGACAAAAGATCTGACCTATACAAACTTCATGATTGTGGGTGGGATAGATTCAGAATGTGGACAAGACCTGCTGGCATTATAGAAATATAATAAAAGGGATAAAGGACCTCAAAAGAGGCAGAACTATCTCGTCAACTTGGGTTTATAGAGCAGCTAATGGGCTAGCAGATGCCTTGGCAAAATGAGAGGTAAAGGAAAATCTGTTTTGAGGTGTGGAGGGAACATTTGATGTATATGGACTATGAAAATGCCCATCTCAATCTCTAGGATGCTGCCATTTTGTACAGAATTTTATTTATTTTTCTTTATTTGAAAGCAACTGATTATATTAGAATAAAGAAGCAGAAGAGAGGTACATGAGAAGATAAACATCTATAAGGCCTGCAGGAATTAGCTAGGTAGAGAACTATCACAATGCATTACATCCAAAAGCGCACTGGATTTAGCTAACACTTCAGCCATAGAGTATAGCTCTCTGGTGACCCAGTGTAGGTCACAATCTCCACTGAAGTCCCAATATCTCTAGCTTCATTCAAGAAATGACGGAGCCTCCAAGGACCACTATCCTTCACTCCCAACCAATTTATAGTATTTGTGGAATCACCTTCTATTGTTAAAACAGAGATACCCAGGTTCGTGGCAAAGCACAAGCACATCAGCCTTGGCTGAACCAACTTCCCCAATTGGTTCACTGAAACCCAGCAGACAATGCCATTGCTTCCCCGGATCACTCCTCCAATACCAGCCTTGCTTGGATTGCCCAAGAAGCATCCATCAAAGTTTAACCTCATTCCCCTCTCCAACTCCATTGAAAGGAAACAAAGGGGGATTAAAATCTGTGGTGAGAAGAAGAGGATCTCAACTAAGTTGCTTTGCAGATCATTTAAGGAGATGATCCTGAATTCAGTAGAGCTTAGGACCTAAGAATTACATTATGTAGCTGATCAAACTCTTCATGAGATCTGGCCCTGTTGTTGAAGATTTGATTGTTCTTCTCCTAAACACTCCACATCACCGCTTGAATGAGAGAGCACCAATAAATCCCCCCCCCCCAGTTCTACCAAGTCCTCTTCCTTGCCATTGCCAAAGCCCAAAGGAGTTCAACAGTATGTTCGAAAGCAACCCAACTAAAACCAGCCAAGTTGAGGAAGTAATTCCAAATTCTTCTGGTCTTGGGGTAATGCACCAGCAGATGATCCATTGTTGCCCCCCTAATAAAGGCCACCCTAGGAGTGGGAGGGAACCATATCTTCTTGCAAGGAAAACTAACAACTTAGTCCTCTAAAATGGGAGCCCTGAAAAATGACTTAGTCAAGAACTTACCAGCAGAGTGGATTTTCCAAAAGCATTGGTCAGGGGAAGGAGAGATGTAAACCTCCAGAAGAGAGTTTAGGAGATGGGAGATTAAATTGTAAATTTTTTTTAACAATAACAAAGATTTCATTAATCAAACAGAATAATTAATTAAAAAGGAAGGGAAATAAACCTTCTTAACTCCCCCAACAGAGGCATGCCCTCAAAGTGAAAAAAAAAAAACAAAATTACAACTGAGCCCAAAATAAAGATTCCCTAGTCACCCCTTGCTTGGCTAACCCATCTGCAAACGAGTTAGCAGGTCTCTTCACCCAGCTGTACTTTATTTCCATGTCCTTAGCCAACCACCTGAATTTTTTCCTTTCATTGGTGTAGTTCCATAGCCCAGCCTTGTCTTCTCTCAACCACCCTACTACCACCTCCAAGTCCGCTTCAATTACAAGCCTCCTAATATTCATTTCCTTGGCCCTTTGAACACCTTCCAAAGCCGCAAAAATCTCAGCCATGAGAGTCACCTGCCCCAATTGGACCCGAGAACATGGCTGAAACAATTCCATTCTCATCCCTAAACACACCCCCAATGCCCGAATGCCTAGGGTTGCCTCTACTGCTGCCATCAAAGTTCAACTTTATAAAACCAGTGGGAGGAGGGGTCCAAGACAGACAAAGACCCATTTTCACATGGGCAGAACTAGCAATCTCTTTCCACCTCCTCAGCAAATCATCCACTGTAAAGTCTGTGAATAAATCTGAGGACTTCAACCAATGTACCACCCTGAAGTGAATCAAGTCGATCAAACTTTCAAAGTTTCTCTGTTTCCCGGAGAAAAATCTTGAATTACTTTCTTTCCAACAACTGATAACCAGTTTCCCCATCAGCTTTACAAAGAATACACCAACGAGGGACAAACACATCTTGGGTCTCTTTCTTTGAAGCAGATCATTAGTGTTGATTCTTTCCAGTAAAGTTTCCCAGCAAAAACTCCCAACCCTAGGAGGAATTGGCTCACACCAAATCTCTTTAACAGTGAAGGATAAACCTACAGTGCTGGAAGGCTGAGTTAAGACTTTAAAGGAAGAGGCACAAGAGAACATTTTCAAGAATAGCCAGGAGGGGGTGGGAGTCCAAATTCTGGTGTCTTCCTTTGTGGGGTCCAAGAAAACATTTTCAAGAATAGCCAGGAGAGACAAGGTGTTGTTTAGATCTATATCTCTAACAGCCCTTCTTAGACCCAAATTCCAACCAAACCTAGTGTTTGAAGATGAAGGGACAATAAAGGAAAAAATGAGCTCATTTTTCAAGTCAAAGAGAGCATACAGGGATGAAAATTGATCCTTCAAAGGAGAATTCCCCACCCAAGTTTGTTCCCAAAATTTTATGAGGTTGCCCGAGTTTAAATCATACCTGATTAGAGGGAGAAAACTGGTAACAAGTCATGGATTGCTTTCCAAGGTGAGGCACATGTAGTCCTTGCCAAGATTCCAAGATCCCATCCATTGTCCTCCAGCAGTCCAGCCCATGAATTCTAGCCCACAACTTCTCCTTTTCAAAAGGGAACCTCCATAACCATTTCCCTAATAAAGCCACATTCCTCTTCCTAATGTTCCCGAGCCCCAACCCTCCTAACTTATTATTCCTAATCACCATCTCCCACCCCACTCTATGGTCCCTCTTCTCCTCACCTAGCTCCCACAGAAAGTCTCTCATCAACTTTTCCAATCTATTGGACACCTCTGTTAAAATCTTGAACACAGACAAGAAGTAGATGGGTAAATTGGCTAAGGTAGCCCTAATTAATGTGATCCTCCCACCAAGAGAAAGATAATCCTTTATTACAAGAGGGAAGTCTCATCTCAACTCTTTCCACCACCAAATTCCAGAAACTTCTTTTCTTGGGGTTGTCTCCCAGGGGTAGGGGTAGACCTAGATAATTCAAGGGCCAACTTGAAACTGCACATCCCAATAGCTCTATGGGAGATTTGAGAGAGATTTTAACTTGGAATTAAAGTATGTAAAGAGAGACTTGAGCCTTATGCTGACTTTGTAAATATAGTCATTATAATTGGAATTTTAGGGTTCATTTGATGCAAAAAAAGGTTCAGTTTAATGAATCTTGCTTGTGGGAGCTTGCTCCAAGCATCTCTCTTTCTTTTCTAATAATTCTCCTTTTGCTTCTTTCTCTATTGGTTATTATTTTTTCTCCACACCAAGAACTATTCTTCCCTCTTTCATCTTTAACTTTCTTCTAATTTCTTATATTCAGCTAGCTGTATACCATCTTTCATCACTAGTTCATTATCTCCAATCTCTATGTACTTATTCCTACATTGTCATACTCCACTGCATATATGCTCGTCACTTGATCCATAATTATAATTTTAGAGTTGATTTGACAGGAAAAGGTCTCCAGTTGAAGACTTTTTATGGGTATTTTTCACACAGGACAGAGGGGAACAATGAAGGAATTATTTGACTCAGCTTAATGAATCCCTTATCTTTAAAAGTTAAAGCTAGTTCCCTAGCACCAGTAGCAGCTATCTCTACTAGGTTTTTCAATTAGTTTAAACATTGAAGAATACAGTTAGTGATTCATCATCAACATTGAACCCTTGTCCCAACTATATGGGATCAGCCACATGAATCCTGTTTCACCATTCCATTCTGTTCCGTGCCTTATATCTACCATTAAATTATGGGCACTTAAATCATCTCTTATCACTCCCACCCCAAGTCCTTTTCGGTCTGCCCTGCTCTTCTAAGGTAACGCAAATCTGGAAAAAAGTGAAAGAAAAATTGAAGAAGCAATCAAGTATCCAATTGCAGTCTTGGTACCTTATCAACTGCATCCACCTTTAAAGAAACAACAAGAATTAATCAAAACTTGTTAATTATAACAACAAAGATGTACATAGACACACTTTGTCAGGCATAGCACCAGGATAACCTAGTTGCATTTATCTACAAGTTCATTACAATTATTTGGCCAGAGTCCTTCAACCCTGGATGGCTGCATCAGGTGTAGGGCCAAGCATTACCCAGGCCAAGAGTAAAAAAGAGCCAGTTACAACCCAAACACAGATGACCCAACCAAATGTTTTATATCTTGACATGAGACCAATCCAAGGTCACAAGAAACAAGCACAAACCATCCTAAAACTCAAATGGTGAATACCAGAACAGAAAGCCTGAGAAAACTAAAACAAAAAGACTAAAGGGAAGTTTGATAGAAAGATCAAACAATCTGCATAGAAGCAATAAAAAGCATTTGCAGGACAGCAAAGCTTGGGTTTGATGTATATATATAGCCCCACATGTTCACCAACCCAGGCTGTTCAATTGAAGGACTCCTTGGATGAACCAGAGAGAAGAGCTCAAAATACCTTAGCAATCAGAAAATATTGGATGAAGAGAATAATAAAACTTTTAATGACTGGTGATCAAAAGATAAAACTCAAGGAGCTTAAAGTAACAAATTGAACTACATTTCATTTAGAATCAAGGGAAAGAAAAATAGCTCCTCAGATGATCCAATGGCTGCAGTTATGCCCTATAAACATTAGATGACCACACAGTTTAAATCACTGTTTAGGAGCCACACATATAAAACCATTAAACACAAGTTTAATGTCTCGTAGATGCAAATCTCTCAATTTAATTTATGGTAGACTTTCCAATCAAGTAGCACAAGCATGAGCAAAATTAGATTGGCAGTGCCAATAGAAATACAAATCTAACATAGATAAAAGCAAAATAAGATGACAATTAAAAAAAACCACATGTATACCAGCCCAGCAGACATCACATCCCTCAACTTTCCAGGTTTAACATTGGTAATCAGCACAACACGTCGGTTCTGCATGACATGACAAAGAGTGCCTCAAAGGGTTATTGTCAGGGAAACTCCAAAGTTAATTGATTGTAATATCAAATAGCATAACTAAATTAAGTTACTAAACTCAGGTAACTTCTTACTATTAATTCATCTAGACTGCAAAACTTTGCCAGGCCACTGACCACTTGCCGCACATTGCTATCTCCCAAGTCTATCTCCTCAACCAGCAAACTACAGAATAGATCAAAGGAAACAAGTCAAGAGGCATAACTAGGGAAAGTGAAAGTGCATGGAGCCACCTTAAATACATTATAGGTTTCAACAACTTGAATGATAAAAGGTTTAAAGCTCAAACCTTGTGTGTTCTGGAATTTATTTGGAATACCCAATAACCATAGTTAGGTAGCGAGCAAACAATTATTAACCAAATTGGAAATGCCCTGAAAACATGAAAAGTGGAACCTGTTTTGGTATACCTGTCTGCAGATGGATGCTTCCATGCCTTGCGTATAAGGCCAATCTGTATATTGAGTAAACTGACAGAAGCCTCTGTGTCCTTGTCAACTGCTTCTTTTTCTGGTAATTTGCTCTTCCCCTCAGTAGCTTTATTATCATCTGCAGCCTTTTTCTGTGAAATTCTCAATAAACACAATATATTGTCAATGCATGAGAATTAATGAAAAGCAAAACATATAAGAAACTAAAAAATTAACTAAAGCCAACCTTAGTATGCTAGAGTTTCCCTCTAAATGACACTAAAAAAGTCACAATATCTCCTAATACAAAATTCCAAAATTAACTAGAAAGTGATAATTATCCCTAGAAAATGTTTAATGCTGTTTGGACATTTCAAATGGTTTTGGTCATGCTGACCTAACCATTAATAAAAACATAGAAAGGAAATCATCCCAACCATTAAAAATCCAGTAACAAATAAGGTGCATCTTATACTTGAACACAAAGATAAGCCTTCATTCCACCACACACACACACACACACAAAATCTTAACAATATTGACCATGCATGTCATTCTGTCTATCTGAAAAGAACAAGGTATGAAACCTCAGCGCAACATAACAAAACACAATACCTCAGTACCATTCTTCTTTGATTTCACGTTGGCTTCCAACTTATCATCACTCTTTGTACTTTGTTCAACCTTTTTTATATTTGGTTCAGCTTCTAACCTAGCTATACTTTTAGGACACTGCAAACCAAAGAAAAGATTTATAAGCATTTGTTTTCAAGTGTGCCTATGGAAGAATGATACTTTGTCAAAAGTCTATTGCAGAAACTTCATGTTTTAGCCACTTGTGTTGGTGAATTGGTTAAGTACAAGGACTTCCAAGAGCTCACAGATTATCATGAGCCTCACCAACACAAAGAAACAAATTAAATGCACAGGTTTTGTGGCATATGGGTCATCTGGATCTGGTGCACCAATACATGCATAAGAATGATAAGCTTTTTTTTTATAAAAGCTCTATCTTATCAGGTAAAAGGCAATTATATCTACTCACTGGAGGATCAAAAACAGCCTTTTCCACTGGAACCAGTTCAAACATGTCCACAAGATCTTCCTTGCTCTACAAAATGAACAGTATAAAATTCAACAGAATTATTAGAATAAAGTTCCAGGAACAGACACAAGAACTTTGGCCCATTATTTTTCTAATCATACAAGTTTTTTTTGATAATTTTTTTCTAATCATACAATTCAACTCGTGATTCTATAATTTATCCAGTCTATGTGGTATGAAACAAATTGACTTGAACTTAATTCCATATATTGCCCTTTGTTTTACTGTTTCTATTTAAGGTGGTGTTGTAAGACTTGACTGGACACAGAACCAGAATACTTGCCGGGTCGCAGGTCAAATGATTTGACCGCAAATCACAAATAATATATAATAGCATATAAATAATATGTATAATAACTTTTGTAATTTGTCACATGTATAGCTTATCAAAAAATATATATATTTCACGTGCATAGGTGGCAGCTAGATGGTTAAGTCGTTTTTTGATACAAGTGACCAGGATTCAAGTCTTACAACTTGTATTTTATTCAAAGCATATATGTATTTAATCAATGTATATAAGAGACATATATGAGCACAAAAGACATGATGGATTAATGGCAGCAAATATTAACACACATAGCTAAGAGGTTTCAAGTTCAAATCTTTCTATTGGTATTTTAAAATTTGTAGCAATTTGGTGACCCACGTAGGCAGTGAAAACCATCTAGGTCATTGAAACCCAGTAGGTTTTCAACGGCTCCACCAGGTTGTGACCAATTTGACCAGTTTTCCAGAAATCTGCAAAACCAGGGTATTGAAAAATCGGAATGGCCTCCAGTTCCCAGGTTTACGGTCCAACCATCCAGTCTGATCCAAGTCTTACAAAACTTATTTAAGGATTTTTTAACCCTAACTAGACTAAAAACTTGTTTAGGTCATTTAAAACCTATTTAAGGACTTTTCTGGTTAATTTCCATTGTGTGAGTTAATTAACTCTAAACTTGAACTTGGTTATGTCATCCATTGCTTGCCTCCTACTCAGGGTCTTGGGAGGGGTACACTGCCTAAACTTTGGCTTTTTTTCACAAGAAATGAGTGAAATCAAACTTAAACATTGCATTCTCATGTTTGTCAACCTGAGATTTTACCACTGCATCAAATAATGGCACATTCATCCACTGTTTACAATGTAAAGTGGAAAATTGTGGTGGTAATTTTATATCATTGATATGATTTGATAATGGGATATTGGGATAAAATGAGGTTTCTATGTATTCAATATTTTAAGATATATTTGTAGTTTTATTGACAAATTCCTAAAAGACAGAAAAATCTTATTGATTCACAATTTGATTCAATTCAACTTTCTTTACAACTTGGAACACAACCAGTGTTTTAAAAGAGCACGGCGCAAGGCGAGGCACGCGCTTTTTTGAAGCAAGACGCAAAAATACAAAAAAAAAAAAAGAAAAAGAGCTAAAATAAAAAATGTCAGAAAATTCAAAAAAAAATGCAAAAATAAAATAATATATATATATTAAACATAACATTAATAAAAAATATAAAATTATATTTTAAAATAAATGTTTTGAAAAACCTATTAACTAAAATTAAAATACATAAACATAACATGTAAAGCATATTCAAATGAGAATTAAAAATAAATTCAAACATATAAAACATTTTCAAGCATGTAAAACCCACAATCACTTTTTTCCTCAATTGCATTACTTCAAGTAGCTAATGTGATGCAAAACATATTACATTCCTAATTCTACGAGCTGCCTTTGTGCCACGCCCCTCGACGCTAGCCCAAACAAGCATGTTAGGGTCTTAAATTCTTAGTTCCCACACAAAAAAATGATTTTATAATTTTAATTGTTTTTAATAAGATATTTATTAGGATGAATGAATGAACAACATTTGCAAATAGGGGGTTCTTAGAGCTTAGGTGAGTGAACGAAGCAGCAAACCAGACTACCAGCGCAGAGTAGAACCCCCCTATTTGCTAATGTTGTTCATTCATTCCCGGCCGCTAGGTTCAAAAAAAGCAAAAAAGCATCAAATTTTCAATGCCTGGACTGAGGTGCAAGGCACATCAAGCACACCAGGCGTGCGTCTTTTGAAAGGGCTGCGCCTAGGACCTAGGCGAACACGCCTGAGGCATGCCTTTAATCACTGAACACAACTACATTTTTCAAAATGTTCTACATAAACTACCAAGCGGAAAAAAATCCAGAAATAAAGGAGCAACATTCTATCCCCACATCATGCATCCCACCAAAATCAATGCATTGTGAATGTTTTGGCATAGAAAAATAAGGGCAACAACACACTGAACTTGAGTATGTACTCAATTTCAGGTCAAGCAGAGATCCATTTATTTGGCCTAGAAGTTCAAGTATCCCAGTATGGAAAATGTATATCCTGCATCATTAATAATACAAAAAGGGTTAAACCATATTTCAATTAGTATGCATGAAGTGTCTTGTATCACTCTCTATCACATTTTCATTTGAACACGAGTATCCAAACAAGTTATGTATATGTGAAACTAATCTGCTCAAAAAATAAACAGAAAAAATCTAGGTTGGGCTAAGAGAAAAAGAAAAAATGATGCATTAATTTCAAGATTGATAGTACCAGTGCATAGGAAATGACAATAAAAACTTAAAATAGGGACAATGACGGCAAAAATGATTAGGTAATAACATTCAGAAGCAGAAAATGTTGATTTGATATAAACCATAAATAATCCAATGGCCTAAGCCAATTAACTACTCTAGGCAGCCAATACTCAAAGGATCACCACAATACAAGTCCCAAAAGAATAAAGGGAATACTATAAATACATGACATGATCTTTTAAGTGTATTAGAGAATGATCATATGTGAATGGCCACATGATGGCATTAAATAGTCAGAGAACAAATGAAATTAAACTCAAAATATGAAACTCAGCACCGTCTGGACCTACCTGAATGTAGTCCATCCATCTCATCACATTTGGCAACATCTGTCTGTCCGGAATTGAAAGACCTTTCTACCAATGACACACCATTCAAACACCCAATGGGTTTAGTACATAAAGTTAATGAAAATAAATATTCAAGATGAAAGATTGCATAGGAGACAAAGTAAGGACTAAGGAGTAAAACTTTATGGTGGCCCAACGACCATGAGGAATAAATTTAGAGGTTAAAGAAAATGAAATCAAATTTCTTAGTCAAGAAAAGTCATTACAAATAATTGTGTTTAGCTAGCCAACCAGAAAGCTATTGTTGTTACTCATTGTTTTCCACCTCTAAGTACTGTGAAAAATAAATAGATCTACTTAGGGCCATTACCATCCTGGCTATCTAGAATCTTGGGACTGGATATAGTCATATGAACCATTGCACCAAGCAATGAAATTTTACCATTGCACCCCTAATAAGATCAACTTTTAGAGGTTTAAAAGATAGGCAAGCATGGATTTTAAAAAGAATAAACGAAAGAAAGATAAACATCACATACCACATAAGAGTGAATCACTGAAAATACAAGAATATCCACTTCAGAAGGCTTCAATCCATTGCCCAACAGAACAGACCTTTGCACCAAATCTTCATTTAATGCTTTAAGACTTCCATGACAAGCTTCCAAACCACTAGGAAAATTGCTTGCAAATGCTACCCACTTCATCACCTACAAAAGAAAATCAAATTGTTAGGACCAGGGAAAAGAATCAATTTCCTTGTCAAGTTGGATATGGTTTTCACTTGTAGACATAGAAATAGCATCATTTATCATTGTACAAGTGATTCATATGATTACCCTCAAAAACAAACAAAACTAGGAATGTTCTTGGATTTAGACACCAATTTAATGTAAGCAATGATTTATCGATCTACCTAATTTACCTCATCATTGTTTCTCAAGGAGACAGAATTTCCAGAAGACTCCAAAATGCTAAAGAACAAGTCCTTGATGTCACTTCTCTCAATGTTTTCATTTGAGTAGCTCATCTGCATGGATCAAATTCAAAATTCAGTAGGCTAATTGGCAACCAATAAATATAACAACCAAAAAAGTGCAAATTACAACATCTTAGTAATCATTCTAATTATTACTTTATAATATGAACAACAAATCCAGGATTTGCAGATGGATAGCAAAGTCTAATCTTTCTTATTATTTCTTTCACTTGATCACAGCTGCCAGGAGAAAGGGCATGGATGGATGCCAGTGGGTAGAGATGTTTGTGGTACAGGTTAAGTGGTAAACCCGCATTTTTTTTATCAATTGTAAACCCACATTGACTGAACCCTATTGGTTGCAACCAGGTCAGTCTTAACTAGGTTTTGGGTTGGGTTTAGGTCAAGACTGAACCACATTGAACTTGGACTGTTGACATGGTAACACTGAAACATTTTGAAAATACAGTCTTGGCTGAGTATCGATAACTATTTGCAGGATTGGTCAAGCCAATATCCTCATTTCCCTTCACCTGGAAAGGGCAGGCTCAAAGTTGGGGCAACTTTGGCCTAGGTTTACCATGGCAAACCCAACCTTTTGGCATCCCTACCAATGAGTTGAGTTCAGCACAGGTTTGCCTCAACCCAACTGCAACCCTGAAGTACCCACTACCAAACCCACCCATCTTGACCTAATGAACAGTAACCCTGTTCTTAGTGAAGATTATATTTACAAATTCTTCAATATCATTATGCCACCTGCTATAGCAGTATCATGTATAGTTCATTGCAAAGACCTACCAGTTATACCATATTCACAATAGTTTCATGAAAAACATAGTTTCAAGTCTTTCTCTAACAAGATTACGATAGAGAAGAGAATGAGAGACCAACTTGTTACATTCAAAAACCCTGAAATAAAGGGTAACATGACATAACCAAAACCCCACTCTAAACTAAGGCTGTTGGCCCGAACCAATGTTGGTTAGATGCATTTAACCAAAACCCCACTCTAAACTAAGGCTGTCCCAAACCTGATCTGATAGCATTGGACAAAGGAAGGTTTACCATTTAACCTGACCCATGAGAATCCCGAGGTATTACTGATCAAAAAATGGACATCCCTAGGTATAGAAAAATTTAGAGAAAAAGTAGGAAACAACCTTAAAGCACCACATGATTAGGAGATGAGAAATATTTTTTTCCTTTTTACCAGTAATCAAAATCCATTAATGAAAAATTACAGAGATATAAAAAAGGGCCCTTATGGGACAGGAAAATGTGAGAAACCAATATGAATTCGTTTGAAATGCACTGAAAAAAGTGGAAAACAGCAAAAGAAGACACATGAAAATTGCAGTGACACTGATAAAATTTTCCCAAGCATTTATTATGTTTTATTACCACATTACTAAATCTGCATGTTTCCCATAAGATGGAATACCAGAACAAATCTATTTCCCTAACATCTTTCCCAAGAAATGACAGTTCCATAATGGAAAATACATTTTACCAGTAAATAAATTTGATAAATGATAATCAGATAATTAGTGCAACCAAATCATTTCTTGGGAAAGATGTTAAGGAAATAGATTTGATGAAGGGTAATTTGGCCGACCAATCGCAAGGAGACACGTCGTGAGTCCAGCCTGGCTTACGTCCCGATCTGTAAGGGGCTAGCAGGTCGCTCCTCGACAAGTCGATGACCTTGGAGGTTGGCATGACCCCTCCACCCCGGGCAGACCCAAGTAATAAATAGACTTCCAAGGTACCGATCCGCCAACACGTGTGGCAAGACACCCTTATCTGGAATGGCACAATTATCAGTACCGAGTCAGGTGGCAGCACGATGCCTACCTAATACGCATGTCCACAGTTCCCGCACGATTCGGGGAGTCCGGATATGGATCACCGCCAATGTGGTAGGAAGGCACCCCGAAGAAAATAGACCGATAAGGCCAGTCGTTCCCAAATATCTCGGACATGGAACACAGAACACGGACCCCGACACTTATAAAAGGACTTCATTATTCCTTCAGAAGGTACGCGCAATCTGTGCAACCCACTCACTTTTTGCTCTCTCAACACTCTCATCACTAACTTAAGCATCAGAGTGCCCAACCCGAGTTCAGCACCTTGAGTACTCTAATCCTTTGTTTATTGCAGTTCGGTAGACCAACCACATCAGCCCGTCCGTCCAAGCTGTCCTCCAGTAGGGAGATCAGCAGATTCTGGCTACATCAAGATTCATTCTAGTATTCCATCCGATGGGAAACATGCAGATCCATAATGAAAAATACATTTTACCAGTAAATAAATTTGATAAATGATAATCAAATGATTAATACAAGCAAAATCATCATCAACGATAGATACAAACAATATGAGGTAAATCTGCAGGTCAGAGGATGGAAGAAAGCAGGATCTAACCAAAGTCCATAGTCACACTCAGTCTTCAATAATTTCATTGAAGAAATAGCTCCAAAATGGGTGAAAGGTTGCCTACTTTTTCCTGGACTAATGTTTGATTCAGATCTAAGCAGCTAGTGTGATGTTTCCAAACCTTTCTTACAATTAACAAAAAACAAAAACTTGAGATTAATCCGGATGATCTTCTACCCTTAGTACAATAAATTAGTTTCCAAAACCCATTGATGGAGTTCCTTCAATCACCCTCAACTAAATTAGCCTTCATAATTCTTAACCCTATGATAATGCCAAAACTTCTGCTTCGCTAAAATATAGCCTTCTCAGAACCACGGAGAAAATAAATGAGAAATCCATAATGTGCAGAGAAAGTATCTCTGATCCAAACCAGTCACAAAGTACCCAAATAACTATTATTAAGAATGATATTAAAATCACAAGTGAAATGGATATCTACCATTGGAGAAATGTCTTTTAATATTACGGATATGGTATTCTCATACAATTCACATTTCGAACATTGCTGGGAGGGGATCTTGGACTTGCTCAAGAAGGATGTGATGATAACTCTAGCTCAAGTAAACTGTAAAGATTAGACCACCACTTAGCTCTCTCTGTTCTTATATTTGATTTTCAAATGCATAAATCAGATAAACCAGAATACCTGATTTCACTTATCAATCATAGGTTAAAGTCCTGATTTTTTTTATCAATATTAAAGGCCTAGATTTCTTTTTATGTTATTTGACGATTTCATATTCAGTTCTTTAATTCCAGTTGGCCAGCATAGTTTTCAGCTAATAAAACATACTATGATACATCAAGTTTAGAACCATGCCAGCAACAAGATATACATGAACCTCCCCTTCAAATGTAGTCATGAGGCTTAACTCCAATAGATTTGCAGGAATATGTGGAACTACTTAACAGGAAGATCATATTGTCCAGTGGAGGCCTATACTGGAAAAGTTTCCAGAATGTGATAAAAAAAAATGCATTGCCTCTAGGATTGATATGTCAACATTTTGCATAAAACTACAACAGAAATAGACGTCTACGCCCCTTTTTGGATGAAGAACATAGACTGACCATTGCAGAAACTCAATTTGAGAAAGATCAAGTAAATTTAAAGGTCTTAACACTTAAGGGGCATCCTCACAACTGAACCAGCAGGGAACCTAGTCATTGGCATTTCCCATATGGATAATTGAAATATATAGTTCACTTCTCAAGGATATTGAACATAAAGAAGTCTATACAATTAGTGATGCAAATACATCGCACTGTTTCTCTAATTTCAGACTCTTAACTTCTTCATGGGATACAGCTAAGACTCAGGCTTCTATCAATTCTATCAGCAAGTCCGCTTATGGCAATTAAATTCATCAAGTGCCACTACTGATAATGTATACATGTACATAGACATGTATATTTATAGGTATATGTGTTCATTTGCATGCGCGATAGATGCATGCAAGAGTAGGATAAGCAGGTTGATATCTCATACATGTAGGATAAGCAGGTTGATATTGTCGACAATATCAACAATTAACTACGATTTTAGTTGCCTAGCTCATAAACACTGTAAGAGGCCGGTTGTTTTAATTTAATCAGTCGAAAAAGCGCTCATAAGCATTTCTCCCTTAATGTTAACCTCTGTAACATATTAGAGACAATAGAACAAACATATAAGAACTACAGAACAATTCTTCTCAAACATCCACACAACCATCAAATATGAATAAATATCGTCTCAGAAAATTAAGTGCCAATGACAGACAATACACCTTAAACCCTGAACAAAGCGAAAAGGGAAGACCCGCTGAAATAAGGACTGGAACGAAAAGAAAAAATCGCAATAAGAATTGAACAGTAGATGGGGCTTACAGGGTCTAATGAGAGGCGTTTGCAAAGGGAGTGAACCATTGCTTGCTTTCTCCTGTAAATGATGCTATCGTCGGCAGAACCGTTGGACTCCATTTCTTTTCCTCCTCGCATACAGTCTTCCTGGTCTTCAACCCTGGTAGTAAAGATTTAATTTTGTCACGATATAACTAGGCCGGGCCAATACCAAGATGTAGGGGAGACGGAGAGAATAGCATTGATAGCAATAGGGAATGCTCGTTTCAGGCTTTCAATGTACCTGTACAAGCCCAACAATAGTGAATAAAGCCCAGTGGAAGCCCAATAATAGTGATTAAAGCCCATTCAAAAAATATGGGCGCCAAAAAATGTAAGGAAATGAAGAAAAAAAACATAGAAGAGAACGTCTTTTAACCCCATTTTCTTGACTTCTTTGTTCCTTTCTTTTAGTTTTAGTTTTAATTTTAGCCGATTTTCTGACTGTTATATTTAAAAACAAATTGGTTTTCTTGTTTCCAACTTGGGTGGGTGGGACTTGAGAGGATATGAGGATATCTATAGGCCAGTGAGGACTGAGGAGAGGATCCAGTATTGTAAGACTCGGATCGAACCAGATTGTGGAAACGTGAAATCTGTGAGCTATATGGCCTTTGTCCTGATTAAATGACAGTTTTTACGAGTTGAATGGACTAACTAACCACCCATTTAACCAGTACATCATTCCAATCAAGGTTTTTTGGGACAGGGAACCAGTTCCCGGGTTGAACGGTCCCGATTGTCTGGTCTGAACGGACAGCTCGCTCTGATATAAAAATAAAAATTTTAAAAACGGCCAAAAATTATTGTACAGGTGGACAGTTCAGTGGTTCAACTGCCTGGGTTAATGGTTCGCTGACCAAATCAATAGTTTTTGGCCAAGAGGCGATTTTGGGGTAAAACATAACCGGTCATGTGACCGGTTCCCAGATTTTCCAATCCGGTTTTGAAAACACTGGTTCCAATTTTTAGTCATCATAGCCTTAAAACATTGAGAGGATCTTCCGATGGCCCAATGGCATTGTCCATCGTCTACTCAATGTTTTAGGGTATTTAGTAGATTTAGGGTCCATTTGGTTCACAGTTGAAATCGGAATAAAAAAGGGAATGGTCCATTCCCATAGTTTGTTGGAATGGGAATAGGAATTCGAATCGACAATAATGTGATTTCATTCCCAAGGGAGGGGCAAGGAATGGCCATTCCCTCAAATGGGAGAATGTCATTCCAATAGGAATGGGAATGAGATTCCGATTATGCCCAACCAAACAATTGGAATGGGGATGACCCATTTAAATTCCAATTCCAAACCTCTATTCCTGCGAACCAAATGGGGCCTTAGGTTTTGTAAATGAAAGACCAAACAGAAAATGTATTCAAGCCCAATAAACTGCCAATTGCAGGTATTTAGACAAGAGACCCAAATTTTTAACTACAAAAATGAGATCGGATTCAATCATCACAAAACGATATTCACAGTCACTTGCAGCTGTGCATTTAGGACTATATCTCCATGAATAAAAATATGAATATAGAGCTACTCTCAATACACGGTTGCAAGTGGAGTAAAGCGATAAGCACCCATTTATGAGGATTGAATCCGAGTTCATGAAAAATAACTGCAATTCAAATTAAATTATGAGTAAAATAGAGTAAAAAGTGTAGTTTATTTCAAACGCAGTTAAAATTCTTCAAATCAGCCAACCCTGACTTGCACAATGATCGTCATTTAGACTTTTACCTTACCTCTTCGTCGCGGATGACATGTGAAAAGTTCCATTGCACTTATCGTTTCGTTCCTGATCTCAGCTTGTCAAAGGTTTATTCCACGTTTCGTTCCCGTAACAGAGTGCCCATGGACTAACGAGTTCGGATGGTCTTGTCTGTGGGGAGATGTTCCCAATGCAGAGGGGATGGGCTGTGGGGTGCATGTGGGGCCTGCTTTGTGGGGAGTCCATCCCGTCACTCAACTAACTCAGTATGCTGTTAGGCATCATAGATCCATGACCTGACCCAATGTTTTCATGTTCTTAAAACATGTTTCGATCTCCTACCCACATGATACATCGGTAATATTTTCCCTACTTGCAACGGTATATTGAAGATGTTTCGAATATACAGTTCTAATGTCCTGTGGCAATGTACAGTTCAGTGTATCTGTAGCACTACACGGGATTAAATCAAATTTAAATCCCCAAATCCGATCGACTTAAGCAAACCAAATACCGGTTTTGAATTCAAATCTGATTAAATCCAATCCATTTGCAGCTATTTATTCAGAACCAAATAGCTCAACAAGTTGGAAATTTCAGTTTTAAATATGATTGGTGGGGTAGAGGCAAGAGTTGGGAGAAGGGAGGGTTGAACACATGGCCAATAATATGAATACAGTATCTGTCATATTTTAACCAACTTATTATGCATAAAATTTTAACAAAAATATTATTATTCATCAAAAGAAAATTCTACAAAAGGTTATCATTTTCGGATGGAGATTGAATGTTAAATACAGAATGAACCAATAATCAAAACCAACGTGAGGACCACCCATAGTTCAGAACTTGGATAAGCTCTAGTGGATCAAGAAATGTCATTTTATAAGCATATTTATATAGAGGTGAATCTGAATCAAGCAGCAAAGTGGATTGCAAATTTAAGACAATTAGGTAATATTGTGGATTCATCTGAATTTCCTGCATATAGAGATTTAAATCTTATTGTTTCGTTTGATTTATTGGGGAAGAGCTGCCCCACGTCTAGAGAAGCTACTATTTTTTTTTTACTTAAAAAAAGGGGAAAATCTCTGGTCATTACCCTGTACTTTGGCTCGAGTGACAATCTAATATCCAAATTTTAAAATGCGATAATTCAGTACCCGGATTTTCAAAATATGATAATAACTTTCAAAATGTGACAATCCAATACCTGTCGTTTATCAGTCCATTAATCAGTTGTTAAGTTATATTTGGAAAGTCAAAAATGCCCTAAAAATGACATATAATTATCTTTATCAACCATCCAAACATTGACAAATAAAATAAATAGTCTCAAATTCTAGATTCTTCTAAACAGTCACCAACTTTTTTGAATAGAAGATGATAGGATTTGGGACTATTTAGTTTTTTGTCAACGTTTGGATGGTTGATAAAGAGAATTAGATGACATTCAAAGGGCATTCTTGACTTTTCGAATGTCACTTAATGGTTGATTAATGAACTGGTTAATGGTAGGTATTGGATTGTCACATTTTGAAAGTTTAGGTACTACATTATCACATTTTGAAAGTTCAGGCATTGGATTGTTGCATTTTAAAATTTAGAGACCAAATTGTCACTTGAGCCAAAATACAAGGTACTGAACGAGAATTTTCCCCAAAAAATGTATAATTTATAATTAGGACACATACAATACACGGGGTTTGTTAAGCAACAATAGAAACCTATAGACAAAGTAAATTAAAAACAAAAAAACAAATGAAACCTACCAAGCTCAATCACTTGACAAAAATATAAGATAATCTATAATAAAGTTGATGTAGTTTAAAGAAATAGCCATTAACAACATAGCTTATGTAAATAAAGTTACTGTTATTCACCGATGTGAAAAAAAATAGTTAGTTGAGACATAAAGATTGAAATGATGTTGAACCATGTTTCTAATAATTTTGGGCATTTTCTACTAATTTATGATCATTTTTGTTAATTGATGGTAATTTACAATGATTTGAAAATTCTACTACTCTATGATAACTTTTCGAAAGAAATTGCTGGTGTTTTTTTGCTAATTCCTACTAATTTATGGTAATTTATATTAGTTTATTTATTTCACTATACATTTGTGTAAGTTTTGTGTTTAGGAAAAAAACTAATCATAGTATTCTATGATAGTTTTTGGTAAATTCCACCAATTATTGATATTGTAGGTGATTTCTACTAATTTATGACAAATCATTAATAATAACTGGTGTAATTCCTGGACATTTCTATTATTTTATGATATTTGTTGGTAATTACCGGTAATATATTGTAATTTATGGTAATTTATAATGAATTGAAAGTTGTACTAAATTATGAATATACATTGGTAATTTTTTGCTAAGTTTTGATAAGTTCTACTAATGTTTAGTAATTTCTGATAATTTATTTATTTCCTTAAAAGACTATGTAATTTATGTTTTATGGAAATACTGGTTGTATCAATTTATGGTAATTTCTAATAATCTATGATAATTTATTGAGTGAAATCCACAGGCTGTAACCATTATAATGCTTTAGCTTTTTATTTTTATTTAAAAACAAAACTAAAATGACTGCCACATTAGCTAAATTAAAACGAGTTGGTTTAAGGCAATGTTTTAAGACTTGGATTGGATTGGATGGTTGGACCATGAAAACTGGGAGTCAATGGCCTTTATAGCCTTATGGGTTTCAATTAAATGATGGCTTTACCGCCATGATAATGGGTAAAACCAAGACCCAAAGAGCATTTCAATTCACTCCGGTCCAAGTTTGAAATTGGCATTGGTGAACAACGAATGTCCCCTATGTATCATAGAAATAGAAAGTTTACATCTTTTTTGCAATATTTAAAAGGGTCATTTATTAAAATACTCCTTATAGTTCCATGAATTTACTAAAACTTATCCTATAATTTATGTTTTACTTAAACATTCTCTATATTTTGCAATTAATTTACTTAATCGACCTTCTATTAGATGGAAGTAGAAAATTATAATTTTAATCATAACATTCATTAAAATAAATTTAATCAAAAGAAAATAAAAAACCATTTTTGCCCCTATAAAATATGGACAACCACTATAATTTTTTCTATTTGGTCAATTTTGTTCTTTATACAAAAAAGTATTAGGGGTGTTTTTGGCATAAACAACCATAGATCCATACCTTAGAACATTTTTTCACTCAGTTTAGGGACACTTTTGGAATAAACAACCACATGTCCATGCCCTTGAACATTTATCACTTAGTTTATGTGATCATATTACCATTTTCAAATGGCAAAACAAATAGTTTTTAATGAAAAGTCAATTAAGTAAATAGACGGTAAATCATAAGGGGTGTTTTAGTAAAATTGAAAATATAGGCTAGGTTTAAGTAAATCTGTGAAACTAGACCTGTTCATGGGTCGGGCCGGATCGGGCTTTTACTG